ATCGGATATCTCGAAAGTCTTAAACGCGATAGCTTACAGGAAAGAATATGGGCAGTTTCTGCCTCATGAATTTAGAAAAATTTTTAGCTGCTGTTGTATCTTCAACACAAATATTTGTTAGTAGGTAGTTATGTATGTATCTTAATTTAAAAAACGGATCAATAAACCTGTTTATAAAAACATTCACTATGTTGGCAAACGAAAAATGTACTTATATAAAAAAAATGCCTTCATTTTCATACTACCTACTTGTCCTGAAAATGTCGATAAACAATTGCAGACCATTGCATTACCATTGTTATTGTTACAGTAACATTATTCCAAACTACTCTTAATTATCAAAAACGCTGTGCCAAATACCAACGATTCCCTTTAAAATACCCCCGTACGTAAAGTATATGGCTCCCTAGAATGACTTATCATTGCATCCTCGTTAATATTTCCTTATCAGTCACTGTTAAGCCAGATGTACACATGCTACTTGCCACCGCTGCTGATAAGGTCTGATCTACGTGACAGGTTTGCCAATGCACATATTTTTATGTCGAACGCAACAGCGAGAGTTGTGGCAACAGAAATTGAAGTGCTCCAAATTATTGCCTCTATGATAGTTTTTCCTCACTAGTTGGTAATTTCAAGGGTTATATTGTATAGCTACCGCTAGAGGGCGCTGCATAACAAACGAATTCATTATATTATGTATTCGGGTGGATTTTGTTGTGATTTCCGTGAGGTACAACAGAAAGTAGGTCACAAGTACGTGAGTCCCGCCTTGTTTTTCGGATGGAGGCGATTTGTTCGGATATCTGGAGGGAAATAACTCATTTTACGTAACCGAGCTTTTCGATTTTCTTAATCCTTAGACACGCTAAGGCTCCGAGCAGTAAAATAACAGTGTTCGTAAGGCGTTGTGTTGTGTGGGTATTCCCTCGCGTCGTTTCCTACGTACTACTCACAATTCAATCTAGTTATGATTTAGTTTCACTGCTTCCACTTCAATCAAAAACGCGTAAATCAGAAATAGAGTTTTAGTCGACGTCTGCAACTGGCTGACTGTTCATACCTTGGTGGATTAACTTGAACGAATCCTCGCCTGTTTGTGTATTCCACCCTGCAATCAAACTGAGATTAGTGCAATTAAAATTAATAACACTTCCCAGTAGTATAATTTGATTTTTTGTTTACCGCAACGCTGGCCTCGAAAACCATGTGACTATTACAAGCTTTAATCATGCGAACGACAAAACAGAGATAGTATTGCCGAAAACCACTGGTTGCGAAAAAACACATCGGTTGTCATGACATTTTATTATCTAAAAATTTGTAAATACAGTATGGAATAAATTCAGTAAAAACGAAACAAATTTTTTTTTGGGAAAAATTCTCGAACAGTTCGATTTTTAATTTAAAAAATACATATTTTAGCATAAAAGGCGATTTTCAACCGTCACTTGTTTTCGAGTAATGACGTCATCGACATTTTTTTTAAATAGCAACCCCCTATTTTTTTTCTTGATTCTGAAAGATCGTTTCATTGTCCGACAGTATTAAAATGTTGCCATTTTACATAGGAAAGTTTTCGAGTAAATGACGATGGAATGTTAGAAAATCCAAATCATGTGTTAATTATGATGGATTTATGTCAAGTAAATAGAGATTTACACTGGCAAATACTTTTTTCAGACGAGGCCAGGTTTTGTCTCAATGGTACAATGAACCGTCAAACTTGCAGGTATTGGAGTCGGGAAAATCCTCATTGGATGGCAGAGACACATACCCAACACCCACAGAAATTAAATGTGTGGGCTGGAATAGTTGACAATAGAATAGTAGGGCCTTTCTTCTTCGAAGGAACCCTTACAGGAGAAAGATATTTAGAGTTTTTACAAAATGACCTTGTTCCAGCACTTGCAGTAATTATTCCTAACGATAATGACCCTGATATTCCTGATTACACCATATGGTTTCAGCAAGACGGTGCACCTTCGCACTATGCGCGCCCTATGTTCGAGATTTTCTGGACAATTGTTTTCTAGGAGGTGGATCGACAGACGAGGACCGATAGAATGGCCCGCGAGATCCCCAGATCTTACGCCCCTGGACTATTTCTTATGGGGCTATTTAAAGTCCAAAGTGTACGTTACTAGACCACATAATTTAGAAGGACTCCAAAATTGTATTATAGATGAAATACACAGAGTTACCCCAGAAATAATTCATAATGTGCAAGAAGAATTTCTACACAGACTTGCGTGTTGTCAAGAAGTCGGTGGGTGGTAATTCTAACACTTAATTTAGGTAGAAAACTTAATGAATTGTATGTGCTTGACTTAGGAATTGTTATTTTTTTAATGAATAAAATTTACGTTTTCTAACATTCAATCGTCATTTACTCGAAAACTTTCCTATGTAAGATGGCAACATTTTAATACAGTCCGATCGACAATGAAACGATCATCATGAAACAAAATAGGGGGTTGCTATTTAAAAAAAAGTCGATGACGTCATTACTCGAAAACAAATGACGGTTGAAAATCGCCTTTTATGCTAAAATATGTATTTTTTAAATTAAAAATCGACCTGTTCGAGGATTTCTCCCAAAAAGAAATTTATTTCGTTTTTACTAAATTTATTCCATACTTTAGGCGCGTACTGTATATTAAAATTTTTTGACGCGTCGTCTAAAAAATCCTTATTTATTTTACTCTCTTTGATGAAAAGCTGAATTGGGTTTTCAAAAGCTTCAGTTCGGTTCGCAAATGGGTGAATTTGATTTACGAAAGGTTAAATTTGAAGAGAAAAACCTTCACATAAATATACACACGGAAATAACATCTCCCACCAAGAATACATTCATTTTGAGAAAGTGCAGATGCGTTTTCCGTCTTCCATTGGCAATTTCGTGTCGAAATACGTGATGCGCATCGAGCTCCCCCTCTAAAAAACCCGAATTATACTTAATAAATACACTTTAGTGTGTTTTGGTTGTTATCCTTTGTGATATCACATCCGTAGTGGCAGTTAATGTCGGATATTAAGTCGTAAAAGGTTTACACTTCCCTTATAAACTCACTTTGTGGATGATCCAAATGGAGGCCCGAAATAAAAATAAAGCGTCGTAAAACTCGTAAAGCGTTGGAGAAGTTTTATGGGTCCCCGAGACATAAAAATTAAAAGAAACCGTACCAGACGGAAAATCCGGTGCATTAACGGCGATATCCTTGTGTATCTTTATGTATCTCCGCTACAAGATGCTGTCATCGAGGAAAATGTCTAAAACATATACAATATTTTGCATGAAAATGTTGTTTAAAAAGAGAATACTGTTCTGTTATCTTATTCCATTAATCTTTCCAAATCTGTATCTATCTCGGAATTAGAAACTGCAGGAATAGATTAATTGTCAAAAAATAAGTAAAGATTGCTCTAAAAAAATGCACCACTTTTTTTTGTAGAAATAATCTTAAATTCCGGTACTGTTACGTTAAGTGAATAAACAATGTTTTTTAATAGCAATTGTTTATTAAACTACTTATGTTTCTTTGAAAAGTAGTCTCGAATAAATCCTCAAGATTTATCTACTCGTATACGGGGTTCAGATCAAAGGCTTAAGCCTCGCCAAGGATTTCTCTAATAGAATTGATAAGATACGTCGAATTCCATTTTTACGAAACAGTTCTCATTAATCTGTCAATAACATTTAGAGCTTCTTCTTCAGTTCTGGAGCCGATGCCTTAAAAGCTTTCCATTCCCCTTGGCAGCAATCCATCAAACTAGAAGTTCGTTGATCTGAGCTTTTCCTATGTACATGCCGAGAGAACCGCAGATATTGTAAAAAGAATCGCCGGTTTCGCATTGTAGATAGCTTAATATATGGATATTCAATTCAATTTGATACAAATAATAACAATACTATACAGCGAGTTTTGTAAAACAGGCTGTATTTTTTTTAATTCTCCAATTTTATCTGACTCATCAATAAATTACATGTTCTTTCAGCACCAGCAGATATTTCACATTAAAATTGTTCCACGTTCAATATTTAATATCATTTACGATATTTGGACATGCTATTGGACACGAGCCAAAAACCAAACTAACATCAAAGGCGGAGATAACCCTCTATTAATAAACGCAACGAGCTGATTTCGTTTTAAAAGAAAAGCTATTGACCACTCTCAGGTAATCAATTACTATTTATGATGACATACAAGCGGAATAAAAATAGGGAGGGCTAAAAGTATGGTAGATCTGTTAGTTCGATGATTTTTTTTAGTAATCTTTGTAGTCGTTGGTGGCACTTTCACCATTAGCGACAAAGTCTAGTATCACTGCATAATTTACTACCATTTTAAGTAGGTACTCCTTTAATGGCATATCTTTATTTAATACATCATTCATTTCCAATATTTGGTTAACTTTGATAAAATACGTACAACAAAATGCGTAAATATTGAATGAGACCCTCAAAGTGTAAGGGCAACCCAATTCTTCAAACGATCGATATAGAACGAAGAAAATGTATTTAACATACTACTCTCATAAAATATTTAGATAAATTATTCAAAGCACTATAACGTTGAGCTTTAATACTCGCTGAAAGGTAATGGCAATGACAGATTCTAGACCAAAAAAGATGATGTATAAGAAATACTGCGAGAGGGAGAAAAAAACACAGTCAGCAATATTTTATTATGAGATAGCATAACTCAATTTAATGACAAAAAATAGTTTTAATGGTACAGTACACTGCTTTACCATGTCAAACTGGATGTTCACAACGTCAAAGATAAAGCAAATTACATCGATAAGTGATAGCTCTAATAAAGTGCTAGTCACGATAACATTCTGAGTTAATCTAACGGAAAAGACGCTGAAACAGTTAAAATGTCATTAATAGTATCAGTTAACGCCTCGAGGCAGATTCTAGTTTTTCTAACTACATACAACACGGTGTTAAAAAATGTCTAGGAGATAAACGTATTTCTGATAATTTCCAGATGAGTTCTGCGAAGAATTCCCCCACAATTTCATTCCTACACCTGGATACTGGATAGAATGTTCGCGACAGAAGATCACCTCCGATACCATCTGGGATGAAAGCGAATCCGAGCACGAGAATGAAATACAGGAAGGCGAGGAAGAGGAAGATAATACGGACGGAATGGAGCACGAGAACGGTTTCAGCAGACGGAGGGATCGAAGTAAGTAAAACTATATTTAATACAGAATAACTGTTATTATTTGGTTTCTTTGAGGCTGTAACGACTTGTACGAAGACGACGAAGACGACTCTTCGTCGCCAAAGAAGAAGACGGCTATTGAGGAGCAGTGGGAGAAAAACCAAGGCTTCGAACTGACAAGTGTGGAACAAGAGACCTACGAGAAATACTTCTACGGTACCGAGCATTGGAATTACTTTACGAACGATGAAGACCTAGGTCCTGTTATATTGTCTATTAAGCAAGAAACCCTCAACTCTAGAGATCAATTTAGGTTCGTCCTTTTTTCACAAAACAGTAATTGAAGTCCCTAGTTTGATAGAGCATCGCGATCAACCATCATTTTAGGACAAAATCCTTGTTGCCTACCTTGAAATATAAGTTTATTATGTCATGACCAAATTTTTTAATATAAAAATTGCAACAATTAGATATTGGCAGACTTTTGATTGAAATATCAATCTAGGGATAAGTCCCTAAATTGATAAAGTACTGCAATTAATAGCCATATTAGGGCTAAATTACCATTGCCAACTTTGAAATTTGAATCTTCAATCCATTTTAAGCAATTATTAATTTTTTCACATATTTTGTTTGTTTAATAACCCAATATTCAAAAATACTGTTGCAATTTAATTTTATTAAGAAAAGTGTGATCAGTCGCAGTTCTTGTCCAATCTAGTGACTTTAACAGTGATAACCTCGCTTCGTTTATTTTGATGACGTCAAGAATGTAGCCGTGGGGCTTTGTTCTCTCATTGATGGAATGAATTTTACCTTACTTTGTAGCAGATAACGTTTGGATTTAGGCGCGCTTATAATATTGATTTAGCTAGAAGCTTCCCGTATTAATAATTGTATGTAATTTCCAGAATATTGGTGAGAGCTATTAGTTACACCGTTCACGGTTTAATCCCGGCAAGTTGTGTTTTCGCAGATCGATATAATCGCGAGGAGGTGGTGAGATCCTTAGGAAAAGAAGTCAACATTAACCCGCCCTTAACACTCGGACAACTTCCTGATACACCTGAGGAACTTCTCAAACTGGATCAGGTATTTCCTTTTCGCTTTTCCTTTTTCGCGTAGATTCCTACGATTTTCCTCAACTTTTTAAATTTTGCGAATATATGTTTTTAGGTGTTCATAAAATCGGAGCTGAAAGTTGGCGTCATCTACGTCAAAGAAGGACAGTACACGGAAGAGGAGATCTTAGACAATAACGACAATTCTTTTATGTTTGAAGAATTCCTGCAAATACTAGGGGAAAAGGTCCGATTGAAAGGTTTCGATAAGTACAAAGGTGGATTGGATACAGTGCACGATCTCACTGGTAAGATTTTAAAGCTATGAACAGCATTTGATGATCATCAACGATTTTGTTTAAAAACAAATATTTCCTTTTCTTTTATGTTTGTACAACAATTCCTTCTGAGGCTATATATTTCACTGACCCCATTCGACTTTGTTTTGTAACAACGGTTTCTGGAAAAAGGCCGCGGTAATGTCAATGACTGCTGTTAGGAGCGGGACCAAACTTTTGCAATATCCGTTGCCAGTAGAAGGGTACGCTAATTCCTCCGAAATCGTTAGCCGAATGGGTCCGGAAGTAACCTCGGCACGGAATGAACAACATATACACAATAAAGAGCTATTACTTCCATGATTATAATTTAACGAGTAGGATAAGTGCAACGATGAACATTTAATAGGATCGCTAATATGTGTAATTAATTTCGTCGCTTTCTAAGCATGCGAAATAATAATAGAGGGTGTACGTAATTTATATTTTATGTAGTTGTTTTTCCCGATAATGACAGCTAAAATGGTAAAATAGTAAGTATAGGGTGCGTCAACATAAATTACATTCTTCCCATTTTACTTGATGCTTCATAGTCCATTTCGTGTGAAAGTTTAATCGTTTTTTCAATACGTGTTCGATTATTGAATTTTAGATATTTTAGTTTGTACAACTTAGGATACCAAAATAACTAAAGCAGACATGCAAATATATGAAAATATATAAATATTAATTAATCAATAGAAGGAAACTCTCATGATTCAGACTCAACTCCAATTGTCCGTTTTACATTTTAAATTAATTAAACGTCGTTCATGTGAAGAAACACTTTTATATCCCTTGAGTAAATAGCACGTTTTCGATATGAGACCGTAACGACGGTAATAGTAAATATGGAAATAGTCTTCTTCCTATTAACTAAATTGCCGTGTCATCGCATGACATGACATCGCATATTTTTTAAATGATACCCCACTGTGACACCGAAAATATTAATTTTAACGGCGATGATACATTACAACCAAAAAGAAATACAAATCATTCAAGAAGACACTCAACAAATACCCGAATTTATAGTCTCATCCATTCCACTGGAAATTGTTTTTCTAATAATTGAATTCACACCTGAATCTCTCCTTTTTTATAGGCTTATACTCCGTCTATACAAACTGGAGGAATATAGAGATAATGTTCCACGTCAGTACACTGTTACCATACGAACGGCACGATCCACAGAAGTTGCAGAGGAAGAGGCACATAGGCAACGATATAGTATGCGTGGTCTTCCTTGAAGCAGACAACACTTCGTTCTCACCAGCCTGTATAAAGAGCCATTTTCTTCACACTTTCATACTAGGTGAGCTGAGTATCCTCTTTTACAAAGTCTTATGACCATCATTTCTCATTTTGACCAACCGAAACAAATGACAGTATTTTCTTCTCCAAAATCTCATTTTCCCATCTGGTCCAATAAAAACAAGTAGTATCCCCTTTTCCAAATTCTCCCCATCGCGTTTTCTCATTTAGTCCAACCAAAACAAACGACTGTATCCCATTTTTCAGTCTCACAATAACATTTTCCCATCTTGTCCAACCGAAACAAATGACAGTATTCCCTTTTTCAAACTCTCACATCACCATTTCTCACGAGTAACAAACGGCGGCTTTATTTTTTCTAATGTCCCACAATCACAAACACAGATAACAGTGTCCTGTTTTCCAGTGAGGACCTCTCCTAGGATCAAGAGGAAGCCCACGCGTTACGAGGTGTCGGTGGTCACTAGGGACGAGGTAGGTGCCTACAAACCTTACCTGTGGGAGCAGAGCGTCTTCGACAAAGGTCCGATGTTTCGGGAGTGGCTACTGACGAAAATAGTGAACGGCGAGAGAGCCAGCTATTCGGCACCGAAATTCGCCAGGATGCAGGAAAGGACCAGATCGCAGATGCTGGAGGACATCGTCGCCAATCTACAGAACCACGCGGAAACCGGCCAGATACCCAAACCCTACAGAAGAGGTAAATAAATGTGGGAATACCTCCAAGGTATTTTTTAGGTCTATGACATAATTCCGGATGTTGTTCTTTAGACCAAAAAGTCTTAATGATTAAATGGTTAAGTGAAGTTAGTTATCGTATACCTACGCCACTGGATCCTGCTCAAGTAATCGACAAACAAATGCACTGCAACCCTCGTGATTTTATCATATCATCGCATTTCATCGTAATCTCGTTAAAGACGACAATCAAGTCGGTATCTAATTGTACATCAATAAAGTTTATACAGATTTTATTGGTCTGGAAACTGGGATGCCAATTTCGTAATATGAATTGTGTCTTTCCACAACCGAAAGAAAACAACTGTTCATAAAATCTGATTCCATACGAATGGTTTCCAAGGTTTCGTTTGATATTTCCTCGGTATCTAAAACAATTCAATCAAAATAAATCTATACTATATCCTATCGATTTGTCTTTGTTTGTACGTGCTGCAGCAGGATTGTGTGTTGTTCACTTAGTACCTTTTACTGGCTTGTTGGCGATTAGTTATTGCGTACAAAAAATCTTTCGTTCTAGGCTCCTGGAGGCCCATCGGCCACATGAGACCATCCTCGCCGCTGCTGGACAGCGTGCGCGACCAATTCGAAGACTACGACCAAATAGCGAAAGACTTCACCAGGATGTTCCTGAACACCGAGGCGAACACGCTGGCCAACGCCCAGCTCTTCGACGTCGCCTTCCTCGTCGGCCAGTCCAAGCAGAAGGTGAAGCTGGTCGGCGTCAGGGCCATCCTGGGGGTCCGCAGCAGGGTGTTCCAGGAGATGCTGTACGGCATCCAAACTGGTTTCGGCTCACCACAAGTACCGGTTGCGGAGCTGTTAGCGAGGCCGGTCCCGACGCTACTCAGCCCCCAGCAGGCGCGACCGAAGAGCAGCAACTTCCTGCAGGTGCCCGACATCGAGTCGCCCAGACCCAAGAGCGTGCCCAGCTCGCCCATGGTGAAGAGGGCGTTCACCAGGCTGGGGACGATCACCGCCGGGTGGGGCAGGTCCATCAGGAAGCACAACACCCAGCAGTTGTCGGCCGACGACAAGAAGAAGTGGGCTAGCAGCCAGGACTGTTCTAGTAAGTGGTATATTATTGCTTACATGAAGCCTCAAAGCTTCGCGCGTAACGTCACAGATTTAATACACTGCAATGTGATTCAGAATCCTGTTCTATTGGAAACTGCAACCACTGGCGATGACGTCACGAGACGATGACGCGTCAGACGTGAGGCTTTGTTTTATAAATCTTTCGATTTCAGACAAAGAAGGGAAGGACAAGGAGGGCAAAGACAAACCCTCGCTCTCCCAACTGCCGGTACCGAGACTCAGCGTTTGCGCAGATGCTCAAAAAGTAGACAGGGCGAAGCTGGCCCAGACTGAATTTTCTATTATTGAATTCGATCCCGAAACATTTCGAATATTGTTGGACTATCTTCATACAGGGTCTTGTCCGTTAACGTGTTCAACAATACCCGGATTGATCTGTGCAGCTGAGCATTATGACCTGCCCGAACTGCTACAGGCATGCTTCCATCACGCCAAGCAGTTCTTGAGGATAGACGTGGTAAGTATTTAGGTTAATATAGGAGGGTATACACGTACACGAATGTACAACGTAATAAATCGTAAATTTGCAAAGATCGTGTTGCCTTTCATTGAAAACACAAATTAATTAATAAAAAAAAATAGATAGCAATAAATTTTTATGGTGAAAGTACGTAATAAATATTGAATAAGTAAAAAACTAAGTGAAAATTAGATTCAACTAACTTGTTTCTGTGATAAAGTAATCTACAATCGATGCAATAAAGAGAAACATATATTTTTATTGACATAAAGTCTTATTCAAGCAAAAAAAATCCAACACAGTGCATACAAGAGCAAACTACAAAAGAAATCGATAATTTCAGGTGTGCTGCATGCTGTGTTCTCTGGAGAACTACTACTGGAGGTACACCTCTGCTTCGGAACTTGTAAATATGATCTTGGCTTTTGTGGAAACAAGAGCGTATGCCTTATTTCAAACTAGCGAATTCCTAAATTTGAGCGAATCCATGGTGCAAATGATAATGTGCAGGTAAGTGAGCCAAGACTAGAGTTTATTGTATTTTCTGTCCAGCCATGGAAAAACAAAAGAAAGAAGGGTCTACTACAAAGGTTCAAGTCATTATTTGAATGTTGTATTTCCATGGCTTGGCAGATCTAGCCATGGAAAGACAAAACAAAGACGGATCATTGTTTGAAAGTTGTATTTTCGTGGCTGGGTCGATTACGCAAAAATATGTTCTGATGGTGTTCATTGTGTTGACTTTTCAGGAATCTCGAGGTGCCCGAAGTACGAAAATTCGAGGCGATGCTGGCTTGGGCTAGGCACAAAATTCGGACGAAAACTTCTAGTAAATTGGACGCTAAATTAGAATTCAAATGCATCATGGAACGTTTAGCTAGGGATCTAAAGTTGTACAGAATATCGCCGCAGGAACTCATTAAGGTAAAAAGAAATCAGTTAAATTCCCAAAGATCGATTCATCTTGCCCAAAAAATTGTTAGAATAAAAAGGGTTAACAAAAATGTGGGATTCGCCCTGCATTTTTTTCGTCCTTAGTTCTAAATTATTGTAAAAGACTAGCTTGCCCTTCTTCGTTTCAGGTTGTGCTGCCCTCGAAAGCTATTAAGAACGAGAGGATATTAGAGACCCTAATGTTCCAAGCCAACTCTGGCATGTACAGAATCCAAGATTCCTACATCAAGGAATGCACCCAAAGACTGCAAAAACAGGATTCCCGGTTTTCAGAATGGGAGTCTTTCGACTACAGCAATTAGAGACTTTTGTGAAAGAAAGTAGTATAGGAGACAATCATTACGCTACAAGGACTTTTAAGAGTACGTTAATATGCCGCGGTGATCTAGAGCGGAAGATCCGTCAAACCGAAACACGTCTTCCACGTCAAATAAACAATATTTTATAACTGTTAATAAGAAATAATGTATAAAATCAATATAAAAACGTCTCCAAACAAATCCACCACATAATCTTAGTACACATGCTGTAAAAGCTACATTTTTTCATAAAATTACTCAAACACCTTTAATTTAAGACAAAATTAGAAGGCAGTCTATAATTTTATAAGTATTTGATGTTCTGAATCCAATTCCAGCACCAGAATTGCTCCATTAAGTCAGGTTTACAAGAGATTCTAACCTAAAAGTGTCAACAACGCTGGTTTTCGCTATATTTGAGGTTATGTTACACCACGTGGTAAATCGTTAGAATCAAATTGAATAATAAATAATTTCTCGAGAGGAAAGAAGAGATTCTAACGATTCAAATTAATTTTGAAAGAAAGACAGTACTTTTAACCTCAAATATAGCGTAATACCGTATTTTCGCACTTTTAGGTTAGGATATATCTAAAACCTGATGCGATCGAGCAATTTTGAAATAGGATTCGCGTCAAGAAACTCTGGAAAAAACTGTGTTTTACTTCAAACCTTCGCTCTTAGAAATAGTTTTAGAGAAAATTCTTACGCTTGTTTTGTTTGTCAGAGAAGCCAGTCCTAAAAGTTTGTCACACAAATGTCTTTGCCTCATGGCAACGGTTTTACCATAAAATACCAATTTATTTACCATAGAAGTGGTGATAAATGAAAAATACTAAACACAAATTCTTAATTTATACCTAAACCTCATTCACAACCGAATATTTCTTCTACTAATGCCACAGAACGGATTTTCTGATACTTGTTTCGGTTTGACTGGTCCTGCGTGGCAGATGTACGACCGTTGAAAATTTGATATTATATTTATTAACTAACCATGTCATCTGGGAACAAAGTGATCGATGTTTTATTGTTGTTAAAGATTAAAGTGTGTGGTTGCAGGACAATCTCTCTAAAATTACGTGTTTTGCCTTGAGTGTATTTTTTCTAAACGCTTTTAGGTACTTACTTTCCGTATCCCGTTTAACATCAGTACTTAAACTACGCGTCAGTTCATTGTAAAGGGTACGCTATGAGGACGAGTGCATTTTAAAGAAAAATGATAATAATAAGCTTCCAACTATTCCTCGAGTAACCCCACGTCGCTGTCATTATCCTTATTATTACATTTGCTGACGTGGACCCACGAAACCAGTTCTATGGTATATAATTTTTTGTTCCGTAATCGACATAACCTTAAAACATTGAGAAAATAATAAGTACAATTAAAAGAAATTCGTATGGATCATAAACAAGTAAAAAAATGAATGCAACACCAGGAAAAACACATTTTTTTTCCTTAGTTTTATTTTTTATAAGAAATGTGTATTGAATTATTTTACGGATTTTGAGGTGTTGTTTTTAGACCAGCCTTTTTGAATTAATGGAATATATGAAACAGAAATAAAAACCATAAATTAAATACGCCAAATAATGAAATTCTTAATATTGATACGATATTTTTTTGGGATTCTTGCGAACGACCATTTTGAGACGCGATCCCGCCCCTAAGCTCATTTTGAATCATTTTCTTTTAAAATCTCAACAGCAAATAAATTCAGTTGTCGAACTGAAGATCAAGGTGGGCATAGTTAATAATTATTAGTAATAAAAAAATTCCTCTCGTACCGTACCCTAACCCAAACGCTGTCTAGTCTAATAATTATGCTTTTTTGAAATTAAACCTTTTATCAGAATGGGTTAAGCAAGGAGCAATTGATTTTTTTAGCCATTAAAAAAATTATCAAGCTACACTGAAAAAAGTGTTCACAATTGCTTAAGCTACCTACAAATTTATCAGTAATTTCAATGATGGGCAAATTTGCAAACATGTTTCTGTTATGATATGATAAAAGACGCTATTAATATAAGCCTAGTGAACATTTTCTCTTTCTCTCTAACATTTTTTTCTTTTGTAGTAGCTCCAAAGGAAAAGTTAAGCCTTTAAAAGACCCATCAACTACACTAATGCAAAAAATTAAAGTGTCAAAAGAATTTCCGAAAAGTTTCCATGATTTTTGACAGACTGTATTTAGGTGAAAAATGGTCGTATCGGGAATTAAAGTCGTATCGGCATTTTGGAGCTCTAAGATTCTAGTTTTTAGATCTTTTGGTCGAATTTTTTTAGGAGCTACGGTTATCATGCAATTCTAATAAATAGCGCAACAAAAAAAATTTGCAAATTTTTTTTATTTTCTCCATGGTCCGTTGAAATTTATTTCAGCAAGATGAAACTTTACAGGGTTCTTCTGGGTATATCGAACTGTAAAAGTCATGCTTAACATTAGTCATTTCGTGAATATTTCTAATTTAACCGTCAATTTTCTAAAAAATAAATTACCCTTTTTTCCGGTTTTTTTAAATTCGTGTAAAAGATGAAAAAAAAAATCCGAAAAGTTGCGGCAGAATGTTATAGGAAATTTATTCCAGTTTTCGAAAGTACCCTTCAATTCTCTGTACCACCATTTGTCGCCGAGATATCGATTGAAGACAAAAGAATCCTTTTCCTTTAAAAGTCCGACATTTTGATGAAATATCGAAATTTAAAAAAACGGAAATTGAAGCTGAATAAACAAGCTATCTGGTACATGCAATGGTTTAGCTGAAAAAAAAATTCCAAGTCCGTGGACGCTATTTCTTAGAATTGCATGATAACCGTATCTCTTAAAAAAATTCGACCGAAAGATCTAAACACTAGAATCTTAGAGCTTCAAAATGCTTCTTTTTAATTCTCGATACGACCATTTTTACCTAAATACAGTCTGTCAAAAATCACGAAAAAATTTCGGAAAACCTTTTTAATTTTTTCATTAGTTTAGTACTCAAATCTAACGGTTGATTTGAACGTTTATAGTTTGGAATACCTCAGAAAACAATTCAAGTGTGCCCATAGTAAGAACTTCTCTACTTCAACCTCTGTCTCTAAAATCGTCTATAGTAACATATATATCGTTCGTAGTTTTTCGAGAATTGATAGAAGGTCTCTATATTCCAAAATCATTCATTATTTTATTTGCAGTAGCGCTTATTTCATTTGTAGTTCCTCAAAAGCTAACTTGGAGTCACAAGCTTTAGTTTTAAAATCGTAATTGTTTGTAGTAGTGTTTATTTCGTCTGTAATTCCTCCAAAACGGTGTCACTAAATTCATAGCTGTATAGCTGTAGTCACATAGTCACTATATTACATGGCTCTAAAATCGTTTGTAGTTATTTGTAGTGTATCAGCTTCTATTTTTTATGTACAGCTGAGTATGGGTACTAGTCTCAATTTTGGATCAGCTAAAAATTAAATAAACGTTACTACTACATGAATTTTACACTGGATTATGGTGACTCTATGTAAAATTTTAAGGAACTATAAACGGAATACCCAACTGTTACTATAAGCGACTACAAACGATTTTATATACAGCTTGGAGTATAGTGATTCTCCATCAATTTTGGTGAATCTACAAACGAAATAAAAATGAAGGGAGGTATTTCTAAATTTCTGTTACTTAAAACTTCCTTGGTTCTACAAGCAATGTGAAGTCTTGCAGTAATGGACGAGAATTTCAGTTACAATTTGTAGTGGATCAGGGAGAAGATTTGAATAATACTCCTACATTTAATGTGATTGCTTCTGTCGAGTAAAGTTTTTAAATTCCTAAAACTTGTTCAAAAGAAAATTCTCCACTACAGTCACCTAGAACCAATTTTCTATAGGAATCAACCGTCAGATTTTAGTTCTGACAAATCTGCAGCAAAATGTCACTACAACTGCGTACCATATGAATTGCAAAAAAAAACGTCTCCTTTTATTTCTATTTGTCCTGAAGACATAAAAACTGGTGAAAGGCTTAATTTTAAGCTAAAGCAATTACTACGTAGTGCTGATTTCAGTATTTTAGAGAACATTGATGGGAAGTCTTTAATTTTGTTACGAGCAAATCGTTTCGTAAAATGGCGGGTTATGTGGACCTTGTTTGTACTTCTTAAAAGATAAAATAATAATAAGCGTCGCAGGCTCCGTGAAAAGCATTCCCCTCTAGCGCCGCGGAGAGGGGGCAACGGCGCATTTTCTGTTACTAATGTACCGCCGCTTCCCCCTCTCGTGTAGGGGAGTCCTCTTATCGATCTTGCGATGAGGTTAAAGTCATCGTCGCTGTTTATAAAAAAAGTATTTATATGTGTTCGATGTTTAAAACTTATAATAAGAAACACAATCAGGTGTTTAAGACTTAAATATATTTTAATTACTCCTAGATAGCAAAAAATGTTGACATATTTTGATACTAAATTAATAAAATAATAAAATAGTCGAAATTATTGAGGTTTATCGTCCGGCACTTTGGTTCACAAGCAAGTTCTAGCCTGTAATACTGACATAACCTCCAATTATTTTCGTTTTAATAGAGTAAACTGATGAGGGATGAAAAAGTTTTAAAAATTAAGACAAAATTCGGTAGTGGTTGATGAAAGTTAAATGCAGGTAATTTTCCTTGAAATCTCGAAAAGGGTTGCACCATAAATTTTTTATAAACCGTTTTGGTGAGCTCTGTTTCATCTTTTCGGCACATGACACCATTAACGAGACGCAGTCTTTCGTTTGGACACAAATAGTAGTTTATATATATCGTAAATTGACAATTTAAGCGATACGTAAGAAGTAGAGCGGATAGTATTTCAAATGTATAGACGTTATAAATCGTATTAAAAAGTCGCTTTAAGTATATAGCATCTAAAGGTGAACATAACCTTAAATATTGTTGTCGAGTTTGAAGATTTATCTGTTCCGCACAATGAAATGAATGATGTGAATATGCTTAGACTGCGACAGTTCTAGAATTGTAATTATTAGAAAAACAGAAAGTCGCTGCATTTTCATGCCAATACAAGCCTCAATTTCGTCTTGTTCTTTAGTGACGTCACCACACGCGCTTAGGCATACCGTACTATATTCGCACCATCTATAGACTTAAAATTTTTTTAATTTCCCTTTCAATTAAAAAATCTATGTAGCTTTGGAAACGCCCAAAGTTTAAAACTTAGCCAATTACTTTTCAGACATTTCCAGAGCCTTCTTTATTTACTTTTCTAACTACATATTAAATACAAGCAAAAATTTATTCCTATTTTTATGCTTCTTTTTGTTCATTACAATTAAATATGAAACATAAAGTATGTTCCAGAAGCCATGTGGTTAAAATGTTGGCACTTATTTTTGGGACACCCTGTATATACAACCTTATCCGAGATTTCAGGTGAAGATACCCCTATTTAAATGTGTGCATAGAAATCACCCCTAAAAAATTGTAAACAGCAACTTTTAACCTGGATTTATTTTTTAATAATTTTAAAAATAGATTTTGTAAAAGTATACAACTTGACAACAACGTAATAAGAGGTAGAATTTTTATAGTTAAATGGAAAATTATGTCAGTATTAGTAGGTGGCAATTTCCTACATGTACCGTTCCAAATATTCATTTATGTAGTGTCTTACTAAGGAATAGCAACCGGATCTCACAAAAATTAACTCTCAGTAACGTTTTCGTTGGAATGCCGCGTTTTATATCATGTACATAATATTGTAAATGGCTGGTGTTAATTTTTCTGGGGAGTAAATCTTTTTAAGACTCGTTGTCAAATATTGTTGCCTGTTCCGAAGAATATATATTAAAATAGGTAATTACTAAATATTATACAATCTTTGTTACTTATTTTTATACACACATTATATGATGGTAATGTCACGTCCTTTCCTAGACACGCATTTTGTACTACAAAAATTATTTTTTCACTAGCTGAAAGGAGGTGACATTAACGGACAACCTTTACTTTTTTGTTAGGTATTTATTTTTCCTGTACTTCCAAGTGACGACCAATAATTGTGGATAATAAGTTTATGCAATGTTCGTTGTTCTGTCAGTGTAAATTAAATGGAATATTATACTATTACAGGTCAACTTTGAGGTGAAATAAATTTTATTTGGATGCGTTAAATATTTTCTTTACACTTTCAACTGATACGTTTTTAAGCAGAACAAAAGAAAAAGACCAAAATAAGTAGGTATATAAATACAAATTCAATCTTAATTTACAATGTAAACCACTCATTTTTCAAAAATCTGTCAAGTTAGAGTTGTCATAATATTCCCATCCACATGTACACAACACTGATTTTATAACCTACGTTATCAGATAAGTCAGTCAGGGCTGACGCTTGCACACAAATTTTGACGTATGTAGGCCGTCAGGATCCAGAGGACGTTGCAAACGTCACCGCAACAAATTGCTTAACTGTGCTTAAAACTGTGGACAATATCAGCAATGAGACTGACCCTCTTGTACTGTATTTTGTGTACGTAGGTACACAACTTAAAACTTATAACTTATAAGTAGGTAATAGGTATACTACAAGAGTTCTAGTGTACATTACAATTAATTATTTTAAAACAGGAAACTGACAACTGACAGAAAATATACAATAAAAACATAACCTCACACTAAACATACCATAGTGTCAGCACAAATTATTACCTATGAGAAGAACAATTCTTTTTGGAAATGAGTATTACCAATCAACATAATATTTCTAAATCAACCATGCTTATGTCTATATTTTATCTATCAAAAGTTCCACACAACACAACTTCACAGCGTTCACTTTATCAACAATGAAATAACCTTCATCTAATAAACTTTAGTCCTGTTCTGGATGACTAACACCAACTTTTATTCATCTACGGTGTCTTCCACCCAGGTTATTAGATCTACAAAACTTATACTACATTTTTTTTCGTACGACGAACAGTCGTGGTTTCTCCCTCTTCGTTCCGCTGTTGAGTATTCGGAAGAAAGCCCGAAATTCTTACTAGCTGAAGGTCTATAGAAAAATAAATACTCAATATTTGCAGATATTATATCTGTATTACTTACGTAAATATTATGTGGATAATTTCTCCAAGAACACCATTAATGTCTTTTATGGAATACAGAGACATTTCACAGATAGCTCGTAATAAACAAGGTTTGCCGGGATAACCATTGCTAAAAAACGTAAGAGAAAGTAGCAACTAAATATTATTTTCAAGTGACGTAGGTGGGGTTTTTCTTAAGTAGATATTGACAGGTATTGACATGCATGTATATGTTTGTAATAAGTAGTTAATGTAAATCTATAAGTTCACATGATTAAAAAAATTAAATACAGATGAAATGGCATCAAACTTATAAATTAAACAAGTGGTTTGGTTGGTGGTTGAAGTGACAAAATTATGCAGTAAATACGACAATATCAATTGATTAGACATAAGAAAATCCCCATCTCAGTATACCTACGATTCAATTCTCTTTTCAAAGGCCTTATAAACCATTTGTCTGTCCATATCTCTCTCAATTAACGGAGGATATTCGAAAGACGTTTCGTTACTTGGTAATGGATGGAGAGCTTCAAAGAAATGTGAGTAATAAACATCTCTGTGTGGTAAATCGATGGGAAAAGCTATGGCTATAAAAATCTGAAAATTAAAAACCACAGCTGCTAGTAACAAAGTAATAATAATTTTGTTTTCAACATTTTTAAGCTAAGAAGCAGATATTACAGAATTTAATTACTAATTACTAGACCTGTGCGTAGCTAGGGGGGTAGGGGTGTGCACGACCCACCCCAGAAAACCCAACAATAATATTTTCTTTCTCATATTGACAAGTCACTGACTGCGCCACCTTTTTTTTTAGAGATCTGCACTGAACTAGCAGCAACCCTCTGGGCCAACCCCAAGCAAAAATCCTAGCTACGCCCATGGTTTTAGAACATGACAACACAGTAAAAATAAATATCAACAAACGTTTAAGAAATTATTAGGTACTTTTACATTAACCTAATTAAAAATCTCTGCTATAAATATTGGAGTTGCTTACCCCCATTGTGGTAGCACTAGGGAATCGAAGTTTTATATTGGGCGCTGTGTAACTGTCCTGACAGAAACATTTCACTATTATTGTCACAAAAACCATTACAGAAAATGAATTTAAATGTCTGCACACGAAAAACGCATTCGATTTTCCGCCACATAAAGCCATGTTGAAATTTTATTTAAAGAACTTATTTTTCGTTGAAAATCTCATTACTTTTTCTGGAAGGTCGCAAAACTAGTTCAACTTTGTCATGCTTGGAGACAGGTGTGAATTATATAACTGCTTCTGGTGCGTGTACATCTATATTTTACATATTAATGTGTTGGTTTAACAATTTAGCTTATTTGTGTAACAAAACAATGTATGGCAACTGGGTTCGATTGAAAATATGTAAATTTTTGTATTTTGTGAATTTGCTTTTAAGGATTAAAAGTTCTATTTGTTTATTATTATTATTTTAATTTTATGTACGCGTATATTGAAAATTTAGTCAATGGCAAATATAAAATATTTAAATAAATATTAATAAAACGTTAAAATATCGCTGTCAGATGTGCAAAATAGTTATTTTTTCAAAAATCCATAACATTCTGTGATGACTACGCGTAGAATCCAAATAAGCAAAAATATGCATTTAAAATAAGCAAGTAGACGGTGATTTCCGTATAACCGGAAGTGCTACAACAATGGTATTATTTTATTTAAAAAGAGCACCCCCAAAAACCCCAAAGTAAAGCCAAATTTGAAAAAAAAATCGATCCGTTCTGTATATGCAATTATAACTTTACACTAGGGATCTTTCGAATAATAGATGTACTAAATGTCACAAAAATTGCTTTCATAAAAATAGCTTTCTATACTATCTGAGACGGACAATGGAAATAGTTCTGAAACTGGCATCTAGAGGGCCGTACCTCTTGGACTTGTAACTAATCAAACAAATGACGAACTTGTTGCCAAGTTGTTAAAACGCCCCATATTCTTTAAATAGTGTTTTCCGCAAAGACAAATAATTTCAAACATTTAATAACTGAATAATCTAAAGCTTATCAAATAATAGGAATGTTATGTCAGGCCACCTGAGTATTTTCAAAGAAGTAAAACGAATAAACAGGTGCAAAAAACGATCAAACCATCAAGATTTTAGGTACTGAAATCTACGAAAATACTAACTTTTTTATATATAATTCCACATGTAAATATTCTTATAACATTTACTTGCTTAGTCCTACATATAAAATTGTTTACTTTTATTTATAAGTACGTGAAAATAATTTTAAAATGTGGGGTTAGAATAACAGCAAACGCATGTTTTACAAACGCTTTTTTTCAGTTATTTTATTTGAGTAAATTTAAATGGTAACAATGAATAAACAAAACATCAAGGATTTTATTTTTGTGCTTACTTTTGTTCTACACGTCTTACTTTTAAAGATTTCAGTACCTAAAAAAGACAGAAATTTCACTATTTCTCGGCCAGGAATATGGCCACCTTAATAAATCTGGATCTCTATTATATACAGGGTGTTTTAATGAGCAAGACTTCAGTAGCGTATGAGAAGTAATTTTAAGCAAAATATTCTCAATAAACATATTCACCAAAATTCAAGGGTGCTCAAGTTTCTAAAAAAATCGTTTTTCTCGATTATCTTGTGAATGGAAAGAAAGAATATTTTTTTGCTTGGTGGAAATATTTGTTGCATCAAATCATCAAATACTTTAAGAAAGAAACACTGTTCTATATTTGTTTTCATAGGCTGCACCATTTTCCAGTAAAATTGAATTGCTTCATTGTATCTGCTACAGTAGATGACATTTACATTAGGGTCCATCGGGTAAAATAGTCGGATCAGCCTACTTTTTGGTGTAAACAAATTTGTAAAATACGATGCCGCTTAATCAAAAGTGGTAAATTACAAATTTCATTACCGTCAGTCGTTATGATTCGTTTATAATGAACAATGACAAACCGTTGCTTCTACCTTCGAAATAATGTGATGTTATTGTTTCTTTAATTTTTACCAAAATTTAATTGCCAATGCCAAGAAAAATTCCAAATAAAACAACTGGTCACGTGACAATCATTTATAAAAGCTCTGAAGTACATGGATAGGATAATCTTGGGATCTATTTATAGTAACAAATACTTGATCTTCATTTGTTTTTTACTTACTCTGTTAAGAGGGCTCTATAGCAAATAGGCAACCAGCAATACATTTTTATAGATTTTATTACACAGTTTGTCTAAATATCGATTTATGCACAAATAACAGACTTTCCCCCATTTTAGTGCAGATTTTCTATAAAAAGGAGTAAATTTGAAACTCGAATGACTTTTTGGTGTAAAGAAATTTGTAATTTACGATGTTCAAAGCGGCAAATTACACATTTCTTTACAACGAAAAGTAATTTGAATTTCAAACTAACTGCATTGTATAGAAAATTTGCGTTAGAATGGAGGAAAGTCTATTATTTGTACATTAAGTCATATTTGAATAAAATCTATAAAACTGTATTGCTGGTTGCCTATTTACTATACAGCCCTCTTAATACTATTGATTTATGACAAATTACTCATTCTTTGTAAATTTTAATGCAATTTTTTCAAACATGAAAGAATCCTCAGGTTAGAAAACAGAGGGTTTAAAAGGGAACCTTGCGGGACACTTCAGCTGAAATGACAACGGAACATTCCAAAAACGTTCTCCGTTTTGCGTCAAATTGAAATAAAACTGCCAAAATATAAATAAACGTGTCTCCGGCTTTATTCACCAACAAGCCCTGTATAAAAGCGGTTAAAGAAGCAGAATCTCCACCAGACTCGAAAAACTCGAAAATAAAACAATATATAAGAAAATATATTAACAAAACATGGATTTATTGAATTTTCATATGGAGTATGTTAAATAATCGGTTGCAACAATTGAATAAATGATTATTTGAAGATTTTGCCTTGGTTGAACTTCCTCCCGCCCTTGTCTTCGCCCTTCCAAGAAAAGTACTGCTCGACCAACTTCTTAGTCTCCTCGGAACTGGCGTCAAGTTTCTTCCAATCGTACGACTCGTAATCGATTTGCCAGTCGGGACTAAGCTGGAAAAAAAATTTACAAAATCAACGAGCCTTGATTACAAAAAACAAAAATAACTTACAGGGAACGCTAAATCTTGACCTCTCCACACCCAGATGCCGGAGATCGTACTGTTGTTGTCTTCCCCGAAAAGGCACACAGAGGCGAAAGCTTGCTTACGCATTTTATCCAGTCTTTGGAACATGCCCGTGATTAAATTGCAACTCATGAACACTTTCGCCAGTTCGTCTGGGTACTTGTACTCCCCGTACCAGATGGAGTAGTTTTCGGGATCGAACTTCTCCCAGAAGTATGGAATCGACTTGCTCTCGTCCTCGTTGGAGTAACAACGCTTGAAATCGTCCATGTTGAAGGTCCTAAGGCAAAATTTAGACAATTGTCACTACCGAAGTGACGTCACACGCGAAACGTCGAAGATTTATGATCTCGATGACAACAACTTACCCCTTGGGCATGGAGTCGAAGGGATCCTTGCTCTTAGGCTCCTCGGCGAGAGCAGCCTCCACCGCGTCCAGTTCTACTTTTTTAGGCGTTTCTTTCTTGGGTTGCTGCTGTTTCTTTTCTTGTTTCTTCTCTTCCTTCTTCTTGCCCTTACCTACAAAAATAAACGAAACTATGTCGAATAAATTCCTTAAAATCGGACGATCACGGGAGAAAGAAAAACAGTGCTTTATTATATCAAAAATTAGTTCCTTCTGTTCAAACCTTGTCAAACAAATAATGAATTTAACAGAATTGATAGGATTGTTAAAATGTGAAGTGTTTTGGTATTTTATTACTTCGTCAGTATCAAAGTGACGTCGGAAGTGTGAAAAACCAAATTTAATATATCTCCCTTCGTTACGAACACTGCAAATTTGTATTGGCAATATTCGCCTTTGAGAGAGAATATTTATACATTAGGCGGTAGCTGTTTTGGTTTGACTTGGCGGCACAATATGTTAAAAAAATTCGAAATGTCATTTTTTTCTTCCTATTTAATTATGTATCTTTTCTAGAGTTGATTTTAGGTGAAAATGGAAGAGGAAAAATATTTTTGTTATTCATTTTTTTACAAAATATGACTAGTTACAAAATCGAACGAATCATGATTATTATTGTAAAAATCGAAAAAATCTCCAAAATTGGGGTTAAAAACATTACTTTTTAGGGAATTTTTTGGGGTTTTTAAATTGGGTACAGGACCTTCACCACCTCAAGAAAACTTCATGTTATGTAGAATCATCACACCAAATTTTGCACAGCAAAAATCAAGGCCCTTAGATACCTGAAAATTTAATCACATACAGAAAGGCTCTCATGCTTTCAAACGCTTTTTGAAAAATTCAAATCCGTCAATATCAAAGGTAAGTGCATAAACTAATATACTGTTTATCAAAGATCAAAAAGAAATTTATTTATTTATTTAAATATTCTGAAATTGTTTAAACAACAATTATTTTCAAAATATGACGAAAATTAGTAATATAATGAGTTAATTTCTCATTTGCTTATATTTTAAACAATAAATAATATTTGAATTATACTTTAATCACAAAAAAAAAATTAATATTAAGAAAAGAATAGTTCTTTCATTTCGATATATTATTTCGTATTCGAAAATTACGACCTTCAAAAAATAGATACACGTATATACCGTGTGATGATGAAATTTGGTGTGGCGATTCTACATAACATGAAGTTTTCTTGAGCCAAGTATGAAGGTCCTATACCCAATTTAAAGACCCCAAAAAAAATCCCTAAAAAGTAATGTTTTTTAACCCCATTATTGGCGATTTTTTCGACTTCACAATAATAATCATGATTCATTCAATTTGTAACTAGTCATATTTCGTAAAAAATGTATTACAAACATTTTTTTCCACTTCCATTTTTGCCTAAAATCAACTCTTGAAAAGATACACAATTAAATAGGAAGAAAAATATGACATTTTTCGAATTTTTTTAACATATTGTGCCGCCAAAAGTTAAGCGAACGTTTTTTATGCGTATAGAAAAATTTTCATTTCAAGTGATATTTGAAAGCCAAAAATCTCCTTGGATATATGATTCACCCAAATATGGACTTTTTGAAACAGATACCATCCGGACTATTATAGTATATTTCTTACAAAAATTACAAGACAGATTTAGGTACATATTTTATTTCTACGGTGTACCAAAAGCTACTAGAACTGCACTGAAGGGGTAACTACTCTCCGCAATACGTGTACAATTTTGCACAAAAAAGTTCGCAATCTTTACATTCTTGCAGCTTTTACAGGAAATCGTGCACAAACCGCGTCGCAATCACTAAAGTCTCTTAAAACAGGATGCGATGAGGCTTATTAGTAGGCATTTTTTTAATATTGATTATTGGAAACAGGTGGTGCAATATCTAGTTTTAATACCTCAATAATTAAAGCTAAATGTAATCTAAAAAATTCCCTGATATTTCCACGTACATTTAAAATATTTCTCAGTCTGCAAAGACATAAGCTCTATCGGTAGTGTGGTTACCCCCTTGCTAAACAATATGTTACAACTTTGTCAAAAATGTGTCTCATACCTTTCTTTGGATGATCTATAAAATATTTACATATTTACGCTATACTTACTCTTTTTATTATTTTTATCCAAACTATTATCCTTATCGGAAACGCAATTAAATAAATTTGCAGCTTGAAAAATAAAAAATTGTGAAAAATACGCAAAAAAGTTTAAATAATCATAGCAAAAACCGACTGAAAATACTCTACATTATAATAACTCAAACTAGAATAGGCACCTTTTCTCTAGCTTTGAATTGAAGCATAATTAAAACAGTTAACGATTTACTGAACTCAACACAATTATTTAATTTCCGAACTTTTCTTACCTTCTGCAACAACGGATCCAGCCGTAGCAACCTTACTGCAAAGCTCGACTTCCCCAAGGACTGCTTTGAACTCTGGCTGGTTGATTAAGGTCGTGAACCATCTGTTAACGTTACCAAATGGCCGTCTGTAATCTGGATCCAAAACGTACTTGTACGCATTAAGCAGATTGCATGCCACTACAATATCGGCAAGGGTTATACGTTCACCAACTAAATAAGTGCGTGCCAGTAAGTGACTGTTAAGAACCGTTAGTGCAGACTTCATGTCATCTTTTGCTCTCTGAAAAGCCTAAAAAGAGTACTGAATATTTAATACCACCAAATAAAAAAATCCTGAAAACACATACTTCCTGAGCACCGGCATTGTTCCTTATAATGCCTAAAATTGGGAAAACCCAGGCACAGCCAGCTGGAAGTACTTCGCCTTCTGCGAATCCAATCCACTGCAGAATTTGGGCAGTGTCATATTCATTTTTGCCTCTAAGCTGGTCGTTCGCTACAAAATAAGCGATAGCGTTGCTGTCTTGCAAGCATTTGCCATCGTTTGACTCAAAAGCTGGTACCTAAAATAAACTGTTTTAATGTCATAACCTCCCAAATGTCAAAGTTATGACGAGAATGTTTAAAAAAAACTACTAACCTTTCCTCCTGCAAATTTCTTTAAGAAGTCTTTTGATTTATTTGTCTCGCCAAATACGAAATTTGGTGCCACTTTGACGTTTGCTTTGGCATATTGTGCCGCAATAAGCGCTTTTGCGGCACGAAAATTATCAGGGTAAGTGTAAAGGGTCTGGAAAAAATAAAGATTACGTTTATAAAACACGAAACTGGGAATTTGTTTGACGGCTTTATTCGCAAAGATGATTTGTATTTACGAAGATATTTAAACAAATTTAATACTCACTCCAGCAGCCATTCTTACTGCACGGTTCTATTAAAAAGAAAGGATGAGTAGATTTACAAAACAAGGATAGACAATCCTCACAAAGCTGGATAAAATTCGTCCAAAATATTTTAGGATTGGTAGTGTTGATCCGGTTAATGGTTGGTACGTAAGAACCAAATGCACTGAACTGAATAGAACTTTGTCAGATCTGAAATGATAAGTAAATGGAAAGCAGGTGATCCAATAGCTTGTTTGTTTCGTGTTCCGTGTTCGTTCGTTAACTTCATTTTACTTTTGACTTGTCATTCGAGGGTATGTGTCATTTGTTGCGCACTTAGATTAATTTTATTTAATTAATGAAATGAGTGAAATGAAAAACGATACAGATGTGTCTGTAAGTAATAATACCGTAGCAACCCAAAGAGCAATTGAAGGCAGTCCAAACACGGAAAACGTAAATAATCATCGTCTGTAAAATTCAGGTTAATCACTTTCTATATATTTTTAGCAAAATGGACAGCCAACCGAATTACAGCGGCAACCTAGCAAATTAGAATCTTTTTTTGGTATAGTAAAGTCCCTTATTATAAGGGGCATTATAATATACTTCATTTCATCATTCTTTCGTGGACCCCAGGCCCCTAAAGTTACAGAAAAGGGCACCCAAGTGACTTACACACCCGCCAGAAATATATTTCAAGAAGGAACAGTATTAAATTTGTATATTTATTTATCAGAAAATGAAACGGTGAATAATTACCATCCATCAAATCTATTCTGGTACAAGGAGGGTCTAACGTATGGGGACTGGTCATCCGGCCCTAATGGGGATGGGACTTATTTCATAGAGAAGTCCGTTCCAGTGACGCCAAATATGAGAAATAATGGATCTCTTTTCTTACACGCATTTTTGACACGATCGGGCTATAGCCCTGATCCAAAAGCCGAGAATTATGCACGAAACCAGATGTCTTCTGTAATGAAACAGCTAAATAGGTAAGTAATAAACATTAAGTTTATGAAAATTAGCTGAAATTTTTCCAGTACCTACTTTAGTTAATCAATATTTGCTACTGTTCTTAAATTGTTACCTTACACCTTCCAAAAAAAGTTTAAACAACTGATCTTGTTGTATTGTGTAATATTTATGGCCTCCATAAATTAATCTGTTAATGCCAACTAAAACCTCAGTAAGGTCGAATTTTATTTGCACTTAATAATCAGTTATTGTACTTGATAACAATATATTTAAATAGGTTAAGTGCATAAATTTTACACTATTTCAGTTTTTATTTTATGTTTTTTCACTTATTATCATTTTGTGATGGAGTTAAAAAGTTGGAAAACACCCTGTTCTAAAAAATACATCTGCCATCGCTATAACTTGTATCATTCCTTTCAGGTATAAAAAACTGAAATCCAGCGGTACAAAAAATCTGTTAACCGGAGAAAGCGAGAAAATAGAAGTGGAAGACGGCAAGGTTATCTCCCATTGGCACCCCAACTTCACGATAAATCTAGTTACGGACCAAACCTCTTGGACATATGGTTCCGTGCCTGCACCTTTAGACCAGTACATCAGATTCAGCGATGACAGAAAGTTCTACAAACCTGTGCTCTTTGCGAATGACTTCTGGAACATGGCCCGTGATTACAAACCTCTAAACGATAGTTTAAGCCTCCAGATAACCTTTCAACCGTTGAGCCTTTTCAAATGGCAATTGTACGCTGCCCAACACACTAGACAGATGTGGAATATTTGGGGCGACAACGAACCGGGCCAGTCCGATGAAGAACAGGACACGTTGAAAGAAACGTTATTGGATACCAACCCTTACTTGTTGGGTATTACCGTCTTAGTTTCTATAGTTCACTCCGTTTTCGAGCTTCTGGCGTTTAAGAACGACATACAGTTTTGGAACAACAGGAACTCGTTAGAAGGCCTCTCGGTCCGTTCGGTATTTTTCGGTGTCTTCCAGTCTCTGGTAGTCTTATTGTACGTGTTGGATAACGAAACGAACACTCTCATTCGAATCTCGTGCTTCGTCGGGCTCGGTATCGAATTCTGGAAGATATGGAAGGTGGTGGACATCAAATTCGAGAACGGTCGTTTAACGTTCAAAGATAAGAGTTCGTACGTCGAATCCAGTACCAAAGTGTACGACAAACTGGCATTTAAGTATCTGTCGTGGGTGTGTTTCCCGCTTTTAGCCGGGTACAGTGTTTACGCACTGTTGTATTTAGAGCACAAGGGTTGGTATTCGTTCGTTTTGGACCTACTTTATGGGTATTTACTCACGTTCGGTTTTATAATGATGACGCCGCAGCTGTTCATCAACTACAAGTTGCAATCGGTGGCGCACCTTCCTTGGAGGATGTTGACTTACAAGTTCTTGAACACCTTCATAGACGACATGTTTGCGTTTGTCATAAAAATGCCGACTATGTATAGGATAGGTTGTTTCAGGGATGATATCGTTTTTCTGATATTCTTGTATCAGCGTTGGATATATCCCGTCGATAAGACCAGGAGGAACGAGTTCGGGTATTCTGGGGAGCAGGAGGAGAACCAGAAGAGTATTACCGAGGGTCAAGACCAAAGTGCGATAGAGACGAAGAAAGACAAATAGTTTATTTTATGCTTTTTTAAGTCCTTGTTGTTGTGCGTGTCTTTCATAAGCGTACCTATTATTGTTATGCGTATAATATAGTCCAAGAGATATTGCCTGTAAGGCCGTAGTAAATTTTTCGAAAACGGCTCTGTTTTTATTTCAAAAACCAACTTTATTTTAAAAACTAAGAAAAGATATTTGAAAACAATAACACCGTACGGGAAACTTTATTTCTTATTGCGTCCTGCAGACAAATGTAATACATATTAGCAGAGTTCAGCAAAAGTACTAAAACGCTTCTTTTTTCTTTAATTCAAAAGATTTACAAGCCAACGTTTGATGGAATTGGTACTATTAAAAGGTAAATTAATAATTTCATCAAAATGTGATAAGACGTTCGGAAAGATATAGAAATAAAATAATGCCATGTAGAAATTTTGTTTAATACAATTAAATGAGAAATAATTGGGCAATAAAAATAAAGAAATTATTGTATCTTTATTTGAATTTATAAATATATTAAAAAAAAACAACTTGTTGAAATGTCAATATTGCAATAACTGATTCTGAAATATGATCAGACAGTCTACACTAATGATTTACTGTCCTCAGATTAATACTAGTATAAAACGGTTAAATTCATCACAAATAGCAAACTATTTCAAAATAAAAATTACACAACTTCGAGTTAAAGGATAATTGGAAAATTCTGCTATCTTTCCTATACCGTACCACAAAATTATTGTTTATTACCAACCTAGCTATTGTTAGTAACACTATTATTGAAGCTATACAACAATTTACTTTTAAATTTTCATCCATTGCAACGTTTTGCTTGAATAAAAAATAATTCTTTACAAGAAATTTTAAATGTTAAACAATGCACAGTTGGTAACTACTGCAAACTAAACAAATTGCAGCAATTCTGTCCCATTGTGTGATAATAAACATACAGTTTTATCACATAACATGTGTTATGTTTATGTGAGTTTTATCCCCGCAATTTTGTCGCCACAACAAAATTGCATTGTCTGACACGGGCTACAGGCTCAACAAATATACAGGGGGGCTTTCGTTTTAGCAAAAATAATACCTATTAACAGCTAATATCAGTTCAGAGTAACTCTAAGTTAGTTACATACTAATAGCTACTATTTTTCCCAAAATGCCAAATCGAAACGCCCTCAGGACACGCTGTACAAAACAAACGTCAAAATTAGTGGGCAAACGTCAGCCCTTACTTTTTATCGGACAGTGTAGCTTATAAAACCAATGGTTTCTAAATTCTTTTTCCTGTAATATTGTTTATAAACTCAACAGTTGACATATTTATTAAAATTTATTAGAGTTTCTCATCCATAAAATTATATACCGGTGGGGGAACGAAACAATCCATAATATAGAGCTACTGTATTACCAACGAACCGCGATTCGACCTCTCTTGTTGACATACAGAAATAAATCCGGTGGTAAATTTAAATTTATAATTAATTTACAAAAATTTTTTTTAACTATAACTTAATTTATTAAAATACCTACTGGTAAATGGTAAACACACATCTGTAAAGACAATAAGTAAATATTAAATAAATTGAAATAATTAATTTTATAATATTTACTATCAATAATCCTCAAATTTTATTCTAACTCTGTGTTCTCCTGACATTTCAAAATTCTGATCAGGCCCGGATCCAGAGGGGGTGGCGATGTGGCGATCGCCACCCCCAAAGCACAACATTTTTTAAAGATCTTCAATTTCTCCAAACGACAACAGGCAGTTAGTCGATATTAATGCAAGTCCCCCTTCCTAACCTACACCTTACGTCATCAAAAAAATAACAACAACAACAACAGCAACAATAATAATAATAATAATAATAATAATAATAATAATAATAATAATAATAACAACAATAATAATGATAAAGAAGTGCTTTGCGCCACCCCCAAAACCAGTCTCTGGATCCGGGCCTGATTCTGATCACCTTAAGACAGCGTCATCAAAGCTAATTTCCATTTACTCAATATTACTGTTTTATGTAACCTGCGATTTAGGCCATCTTCATGGGCGTAACGAAAGGGGTAGGAGTGTGCACACCCTAGCATCTTTGCGGTGATTGCGTGACTTTTTTTAAAAATCAAATCAAAACGTGTTTAAATTTTATAGAGCATTGTTTAGAGATCTTTCTTTTTTGAGGCCTTTATAAAGCTTGCAGCCCTGCGCCCACCCCAAGCAAAAATTGTAACTACGCCCATGGACATTTTTAATGTGGATTGGTCAATTTAGTGAAACTGACTGAGATTTTAAACGGAATAATACGTCAGTAAAAACATACACTTAAAAAAGGGGAAACGGAAATTATAAAATTAAAACGTTAAGTTTGTGTAACAAAAATAAAGAAATCCCTAAAGTGTTTTCCCAAAAATCGATTCTAAAAAGCAATCTATAGATTGCCAACTTGATTATTGCAATTCAACTTGATTATAATTGGTTCAGCAAGACTGGCTAGATGGCTCTACTATATAATAAAAATAATAAGGTTTTCTAGTTCTTAGTGAAGACTGAAGAGTGAAGACAAGAAGGGTTGTTTTTTACGGCAGAAGGTTTTTAAAAAATTGTAAGTTTTCCTTTTGCAATAAATCCACAGTACATATATAGAATATACAGGGTGGTGCATTTAAAATTATCAAAAATTTTAAATATTGTGAATAAAAATATCAAATAAAAAAATAGATACAAATTAAAATTGACAGAAACATTTTATTTATCTCTGAATAATGTAAATATATGAAAGATTCTGTTTCTTAACATAAATAGGAAATACAATTATAACAACGTAGAATTCAATCTTATAAAGGTAACAAGAAATTGCAATAATAACAATGTAGGTTACAACTTTAATAACTTATTTAAAACTACTATTACTACTTACACAATATATACAAGGCTTATTAAAACGATTCGGTCATTGTTAGTCTGGTTTATTCAATGGGATCAATGAAAGTTACGTGGGTTATTGTTCCAAATTACATTACATTCCAAGCGGGCAAAACTGGTCAAAAATATTTTCAATACACTTACTAGTTGATTAATTTGCAAGGTTTTTATTCGTAAATTATATATTTATATTCAATCCTATTGAATGAACAATATTTATATACACATTTGAATATGACTACCTAACACTTAAATAAAAAAAATGGCCACAGGAAATCGTGATTTATTATCATTGATTAATAATTATTACTGGAATTAAGAAATTTTGGGAAAGGCATTTGGCGATCCAGGGGACTGATGTTCATCCTAAAAAAAATTACAATAGATTACCTACCGTTTACATAACTTAATTATTTGTTGTATGGATGAAAGAAAATGTAGTACTGAAATTATCCAGTATTTAGTAACTTGGTGATCAGGTGCAAATAAAAAGTTTTTTTTGAACTTTGGTAAAGTAAAATATTTTTCTAACACAAAATGTTTCTATCATCCTTAAATCTAAATATTACGAATTATAATACACATGGGAATGACACAATGACTTAGCACATATTTTCCCTTGAAATTCTTTAAAAATCAGTAGATATGATAAGAAGCAAACAATTCTCTAATGATATTGTACGGCACAACTACTTTGTGGACTAATAAAGCCCAAGCACCACTGAATCACACGCAACAGTTAAGATCATTCATCAGTAGAACCACCTACAGATTAGTAGGTCGCTCTCTGCCAGTAGGTACAAATAAGTAATGCATTATTAAGACATAACACACTTTGTAGGATTTAGGGATATTTGAAAAAAATGTATTCAATTTGCCATTGTGCAAAATACCAGAAAAAGTGTTAAATTACGTCAATTTTTTTAGTAAATAGCCTACTTTTCTATTATTTTTGTTTGTCCATGAGTATAACAGGTGGAAAATGATTTAACATCAATGCGTAGTTCAGAGAAACTTACCTTCAAGGGAAAAACTGTAATAGTGGTATTTCCTAAAGCGAGCATTTTCTGGGGCGCCGTGAAATACCAGGGCATGATAGATACACAAAAACAATACAAATATTTCAATACTTTTCAGATAATGTCACTTATATCTGTATTTAATTTTTGTCGTATAATTTTCTTGGTAATAAATGAACAAATCAAGAACTGGGGCACATTAAAAATCTAATTCAATTAATTATTGTATCTACCATATTGATATTCGATTAAAAACATTAGTAACTTCATCAAAATAATAGATGGCGCAGCATCAATGGTTTTTCTATCATTTCATAATTCGGGCGAGCATATTTGAAACAAGTCAGTGTTAGTCAAAATTTCCTGTTCGAATATTTCCTACACTGTTTTATAAACCATATACATTCATTTCACAAGGTTTATATATTGGTTTATATTACAAATAGTTGTATTATTATACTGATTGTAACAGTTTTTTGATGTCAACATTGTCAGTGTGTAAGTAGTAAACAAAAGAGTGTATTAAATGCACAAAATAAATAAATCAGTCGACTCTTACGGCTACCGTACTGGGTATTTTTATTTTACGTGTATGCCGACATATGTAACTAATAAAAAGGAAACTGATGGTAATACACGGTTGAACTTTTGAAACGTCTTAAAAAATTTGGATAAAATAAAATGTTCCATTTTTTTCACTGATAAACAACTGAAAGAGATCACTAAAAAACCATTTTAACAAATAAACAATAAAATAAGTTTGTTTCAATATCGTTAACATAGTTAATTGTTATTTAATTTCTTAAGTAACGACACTTTACACATAAATGTCAAACTCTAATCATACAGTGTGATTCATTCTGGAAACCGACATTTTCAAGTAAAAAAATGAAAAGTTATTAGCTATACGAAAACCCGTATAACAAAAGAAAATGGGGCAGTTGACAATACATGTACCTGTCTAATTTTCAATAATAGGGTTGACGTTAGTCGAACGCAAGGGGATAATTGAAAAATATGTAAATCAGTGCAAATATACACACCTGCGAAACAATGCTGGACCTGTTGCTGGAAATTCCAAGATCACTGGTGAATGGGGTTCGTAGAGATACATCGGCGCAGCTTATATCCTGTGGATCTACGCTTGTGCTTAGATCCACCGACGAATCACTGCAAAAAACGATTCAAAATCGGTCACACAATTATTCTAGTTCGCTTTTAGCACTAAATCCACTACCAAACAAACTAACCAAGCAAAAGTAATGACATGGCGCCCAACGTTGCCAAATGAGCCAATAATCTACCAAAACCCACGACAATATGTTCCACGTCCATAATCTTGTGTTGTGTTTGCTTGCTTTCATAGTGGATTACACAGATTACACAAATGGAACACAGTCAGGCTGGTGAAAATTAAAATGATCATCTTTAGATATATAAAACCATATCGTTATATGAAAGGACTATCTTTACCTTATGATACTCCTACAGTCTGAAACGGTGACATCCAGCCGCATCCTCTCCGAACAATCACCACCGGTCTTATCCTCGTCGGGAACGTCGTCTTCCAGGAGCGGAAGCTCGTCTTCTTGGACAGGCATGTGGGCTTCCTTGCTTCTCCGCTCCCTCTCCTTGGCATTGATCTCGTGGCACTCGCATTTACACTCATCGGGATTGACGTAATTGTAAACCACGCTTTCTTGCAGAACGCTTTCCGGGACCTCGATATAGCTCCTCGAGGGTATCGTTTGTATCCGCTTGGGAGCCTTCCTTTTCTCCGGAATCTCCTCGAAGTTGATCCACGCCTTCTGCAGCCCCTTGGGGGGCAGCGGGGGCGGCGTGTCGCTGACTTGCGTGGGAGTGGAGCGGGTCGCCACGGATATCCCTTTCTCCGCGAACTCCTGCCAGTTGGTGTTCGATTCCTTCTTCCGCGGGGATTTCACCTTGCTACCGTCGAAGGACTCGTTCCTGGGTAGGGAGATTTTCAGTTTTTCTATGGTTTTCGTGACGCTTTCGACGTTGAAGGAACCCATCACTTCCTCGCAGTACTCCTCCAGGCAGCTGGGATTGATCGGGGTGGTCGACCTGGGTCTTTCTATCGGGCAAGTCTTTATCTCGAAAGTCGATCGTTGCTTAATGGGTACTATCGGCACCGCCGCCGACCTCTCTAAAGGCAGTGTGGTCGGTATGTACGGCAGCTCGTCCTCGAAAGAGTCCTGTTGAAAGACGATAGCTTTCCTCTCGGGTTCCGAGATATCTAGGTCTAATTTCAGATCGCGGTCCTTTCTACTTCTGGGCAGGTCTTCGGAATCTCTTTCGGATTCGGAAGAGTTGCGATCTTCTTCTGCATTCGAGCTGACTATGGAACTAACGCTACTTAATGCACCGGTGGAGATCTGGGATATTCGTTTGAGGTTTTCATTTTCAGTACATTCTAACAGTTTAATACTATTGGATTTTGTAACGGTACTATTGCAAGTTTTGTCTTCAGTACGTTCGTTTTTCAAGTCTTGAGTTTCTCTTTGTAAATTAGTGATTGTGATATCCTTCTTGAGTATTTCGTTCGAGTCCATTCCGTTTTCTACGACCGTTTTTACTTCTGGTTCCTTCGGTAGCTTCTTCGGCAGTTTTGTGGTGAATATCTCATTGTCGCTTCCTAGTTTCGTTGAAAATACCACATTCTCGCTACTTGTACTGCTCTGTCGACTACCGTACTTGTTCACAACGCTGCTTTTATTAATCACGGGCTCTTGCTGTAGAGGTACGGTTTCCACGACGACGTTTACGTTTTTACAAGCGGGTGCTTCAATGACGGTCTCTTGAGAATCTTGACTAGAGGTCTTCCAATCTTGGCTGACGTTCCTTTCTTCGTAATAAGTAGGCGAGTGCAACGGAATACGAACGCTAGCGGCATCTAACGGGTTTTCGTAATGTGTCTTGGTTAGTTTCGAGATACCAGGTTCGTTAAATTTGAATTCTACTTTGCCTATACCTTCTATGCTTGGTAGAGTCTCTTGGGAGCTATTCTCCGATTCAGATTTGATCCTGTCTTTCTTATTCGATTTAAACAAGGACAACACGGATTTGTGCTTCGACTTGCTGTCTATGCTCTCAGTGGAGGAAGGTGCCGTTGACAATGAAGACTTGTGACTATCTCTGTCTCTACTTTTCGATCTACTTCTACTTCTGGTCCGCAAGCTGTCGCTAGCTTCCCTCAATATGCCGGTTAAAGTGTTTTTCCTCTTGTGTCCGGGAATGGATGGAGATTCTGGACTCATGACCGCTTCTTTGCTTTTAAATAACGACGCGAAGGAACTTCGTCTTGAAACGGATGGAGAAGGTGTTACGCTTTCTATGTTGCTCTCGGCAATTCCGCTGTCTCGAGGTAGTTTTGGACTGCCGTTTGGTGTAGTGGAGGATTTTCTTGTCTTTTCCAACCTCGGTAAGTAGGTGTTTTCCGTGAAGGTGTTCGGTTTTTCGATATTTGGGACGTTGTCCAGTTCCAAACTATCCGGTTTACGCAGTTCTCGGAGTGGGAAACCGCCGTCGTCGTAACATGAATCGGGCTTTAATTTAATTCGAATGTACTTTGGCTCATCGATTTTCTTTTGGATGACGGGTGATGGAGTTGTCGATTTTGACTTTTGTTTGACATCTGGCGGTTTACTGATCAGTGGAGTTTTAGATTGAAAACTGGCCGACTTTACCTCTCGAAGTTTCTGCTTTCCCGCGACGTTTACGTGCTTTGTGGCATTTGCTACGGGGATTTCATTGTCGATGGGCAAAGGTCCTTTTAAAGGGATATAAATGTATTCGACCCCGCTTTCCGAAACGAATCTTTTCGGGATTTTCTCCGTGCTGTTGCTCTCGCTTGCGGGTTTATCTATTTTTATTTTAACATCGCTCCTAACGTTTTCCACGCGTGGTTCTGTCTTTCGTAAGGGTTTCTCTGGAGGTACTTTATTTAACGCCTTATCAATGACGGCGACTGATATGCCTTCAGCTAAAATCGCCTCGGTAGGATCGTGCTTTCTCGACAGTAGCACCTTCTCCATTACCTCCGATTCAACTTTGGTCCCTGGTTGTTCTACGTCTGATTTAGCTGTTTCTGGAGGTTTGGTACCACAAAATGAAGTCTCCAGCACCATCTTATGCGGCGAGGACGACCTAGACAGTCCAGATTGGCCTGACATAACTGACAGATGACTTGCGTTGGACAAACGACTCTGACCAGAACCCTGGCTGCCGATGCTAGACAATCGTGACGTTCTGCCGGAAATCGACAGCAATATGATGTCTGAACATTGCGAATCCTTCCTCACGTTGGACGCGTCCTCCTGTACGGTCGGAGACTGCGGTTTGGCCTTGTTCTTCTTCTTCTCTTGCACGTCTTGGAAATCCAGCTCTTCGGTGGAAGATCTCAAGTCTAGAGCGCCGTCTTCCTTGAAGCCTAGTCCGAGTTTGGCACTGTTGGGATCCCGAGAGTCGAATATCTCCCTCTCGGGACTGCTGTCGCGGCTGTCGTGGTGCGAGGAGCTGCTCGCTCGCGAGATGTCTATTCTGGGCGTGGTGGTCGGCTTTAAATTCGGTTTGATCTGGAAGGTCAGAGATGTCATCGCCGGGTTGGTGGGAGAGGGACACTTGTTGATGACCCCTATCAGGCTTATTCCTCTGACGGGGTACGCTGGCGACGGTGCCCTTTCCACGATGGAGGGGGTCGTGGGTGTCGCATCCTCCCGAATGCCTGGCAGTCTCACCACCGACCCTGGAACGGACTTTTCTTCGGGACTCTCCAGCTATAAAGGAATAATAATATACACAATAATTGTGATATTAGTTTCATGAGGGATTGTATAGTTTAGTATAATAGTATACTGGCAAAGTGATTTTAATGACAATGAAGCTTTCTGCTGGAGCTTTTGTTGAAGAATGTTAAGAACTAAAGCATTTTTTGGTTACTACGTTGATATATTTGCAAACTGCTGTTAAATTTTTTTTAGGACGTATCAAACATTAGTGTAACAATCTTCTTGGGCTGGAAATACTCAATGAAGTAAGAGAAGAAGTTCCCATAACGATAATATCTGTAATAGCTTTCATATATGATTCACAGAATACAGCCTATCGCCGGCTAGACGAAGCGATTCTTAACTTAACGATATTTCTGGAAATAACTACTCTGCGGACTACATGCCCTGTCTGGTAGTGAATTATACAAGTATATGCCGGTATATGTCTGGTGGATTCGGCTGACGAATGATCCTATTTAAAAATTGCTTCGCGTGATTACGTTACTCAACAATTTCAATATACCATGTATTTGTTTTTTTTTATTAATTATATTTAGACATATCTGAAGTATCAATAGCTACTCTCCCGCTAGTTATACTCGAATTAAAGTAGACAGTTAATTATATCCAAAATAGTGACAATTTTTATCATCCGGCTATACTGCTAAATATTGCTGGAAAGATATGATATAATTGAAATTGTGTGTTGAAGCGGAATAACAGATAATTATATGCAATGGCATAAGTCACGCGAGCTTAATTCGTTATTTTTCGTCCCTATCGGTTCCATTGAGGAGAATGGGATAACGTAATCCCAAATTTAGAAACCACCAACTACTCAGAATATTAAGATTAAAATGAAACGTTAAATTAAATACAGTTTAAACAGTAATAAACAAAAAAAAAACGATCGCTGACAGGTAATTATGAAGTTACATTTAGGAATATCTAATGCAAAAATTAAATACGTAAATGGAATGGAAAAACAATTTGATGGAAACTTATATTGCTTCTACCGCAAATTTCAATAAATTTTTAATTTTGCAGAATAATCACTCCCGCAAGTTACAGAATACAGAAATTCTAAAAGGAACATGCAGCTGTATCAAGAGGTGGACCACAATTCGAAAATAATAATCTTTATTATACACTTTCACATTCTATTATCCTAAAATATAACTATCAGCAATCGATATTTGCTAAAAAAAATCAAATACATTAGTAAAGTAATTAAGTATATCCATCCCCCATTTTAAAAAGTGTGAAAGTCTCTGTCCTTTAACTATCGAAAGCCCGATAAGGGTCGTTCGCCTTGGCCCTAAATTGGACAATGTAATTATTCGCTGCACTAATCAAGACCAACCCTGGGCGTAGTGTATGGATGTGCTACAAAGCGTAAATTGAGCACAATATTTTACACTTCATTTCATACTTTGGAAGGATAACAGAGATACAGTTTGTGTATCTAAGCGTATTTAACAGTACCTTATGCGAAATATTTAAAAAGCGTATTTAAATATACGTGATTAAAATATGCTTGTAATTTATTGGTGTATAACGTAAGGATGCGTATTTAACAACTTAATGCGTATTCAATTCTTTAATGCGTATAATATTCATATATGAATTTAATTTGGTGCATTTATGCGTATTAAATATTAAGCGTATTTAAATACATCTCTTTTTGCAAATAGAGTGTTTAGCAAGTGCATTCGAAATGATTAAAATATACAGAGATGCGTATTTAATAGCTTAATGCGTATTCAATATTATACAGCGTATTAAAACAATTTACGCATATTCAATAAAACACTTTACACATATATTCATGAGAATTTGAGCATATATTTATGCCTATTTAACATTGTTACGTGAGACGAGTATCCAACACGTTTAAAAAGTGTATTTAAAATTATTAATTATTGATAATTACTGTATAAAGTAGGGGCATAAATGCGTATTTAACTTAGTGCATATTCAATATCTTAGTGAAGTTGGTAACAATTTATATATGCATTTAATTTGATGTATTTTATGAGTATTTTTAATGTGTAGTGTAAGGACACTGACGCGTATTTAACAGCATAGAGCGTATTCAATATCATTATGCGTATTCAACATCTTAGTGAGCATTAAAATGTCTTATTTTAATAAGTCATGAACATTTGTGCAAGTATTTTATTTATGAGTAGTTAAAATTACGTTGTTCTTTAAAACGCGTATTTAATACACCTATTTTTACAATTAATCCTTAAATGTATGTGTATTGAATGCGTATTCAATATCTTGACAATTTGTGCTTATGTTTAAGCAAGTGGTCCACCTCTCGAGCTGTTTTGAGAAGGTCTTACATCTAAGGTTCGTGTTTTACATGCTGTATGTACTCCTCGTGTATATGTTAGGGTTTTTTAATACATAAGATAGAATTAAATTACGTACTAATATTTGAATGTCCAAAATCATTATGTCAAACTTATATGTGTCATGTTGACAGAAGCAATTAAATTTTCGAGACTGAAATAAGTGAAATTTAAGTTATAAGATTAAGTATCTATTAAATTTGGTCAGTTTTTAAAAAAAGTTGTAAAATATGGCGAATGCGCCAGGAAAAATGAGAACGTCCCGTCTATACTGAAATTTTGTTTTGAATTAAACAAAGCACTATGCTTTATTTAAAAGATCTTTAGTGAATCTTCGATAAAATCACTCATTCGAAAATCATAAATTCAAAAGTGTAGTAAAATTTATGTGTAATCGAAAGCGTAGCAAAATTTTCTTTTCGAAAGTGTAGTAAATTTACAGAGCATCCGACACAATGATCCTGGAGATCCAATTAATAATATAAGTGTGGGTCTACGCTAGTCTGGGGTGATACGTACACGGGATCTCACCTCGTCAGAGAGGTCCTCGAAGGAGGCGAAAGGGGCGGGTCCCATGCGCTTCTGACGTCGGCCTACGTCACCCGGGCAGGGGCCAGGTGACGTCATGATGTACACTACTAGGTTTCACTGGCAAGCAACAAATGGGTCATGAGAACAAACTAACTACTGACAATTGTACAAAGATACAGCGATATAGGACATTTTCACACTATTTACCTCAGATATTTCACATGTTGACATATTCCCGAAAGATATAAATGGAAATATTAAAACGAAGATCCGATATCTCGAATCGGTTTCGAGGTATAGACCAACAGTCATTTAAATAGAAAAGAAAAAGTTCCAAAATCGATAGAAATGAGTCAAAATATATGCCCCATTTCTTTTAATTTTTTTCTAAGACATTAACCTTTATTATAAAAATGAAAACAATCAAAATATCTGATTGCTTATTGCTCTAATATACCTAAGGCCTTATTTATGACCAGCTCCAGAAAATTTTAGATTCAACAGAAGTTATAGTACATTCAACCACTACATAGTTGGACAATTGTAGTCTCTATCGTCATTCGCCACGTGGCCTCAGCGACTCCGAATACTAATTAGGATTTTGCAATCGTCGTTGCGATATTTACCTGTTATCTGTGGTGTTTACAATAGGTTTTTAGTAGTTAGTGTCAAAAATGGGTAGTTATAGTGTCAAAAATGGTTTGCGTGTACTCGGAGTTGATGGATATCGTTTTAATTTATGGTGAAGCATTTGTGTTATGGTGAAACAAGACAACATGTGTGTTAGTTCGTAGAAACTGAGTACAACGGACCCAAATGTGTTTACACATTGGTGGATAAAATATTGAACAATTGTTGTAACATCGGGTATGTCAAATGATTTTATTATTTAAAATTTTATTAATTAATAAAGGCAAAAGCAGTTGAATTTGCCGATATAAAATATTCTATTTTCATATTTCTTTCTTTGCGAAAGTTTTTGTCCGTTTTTATCACACCGCCATGCCGGTAGCATTGTACGAGGTCAGGTTTTACAGTGGACCAGTTTCCAGTGCCGTGCAGAAGTGTATTTTTAAATCATTTTCGAACTGCCCTCTTTGATTTTTTCTTTACAAAATTCTATTTGTAAGGGTCCCCTGTACATCCAGAATTTTTTTTTTTGGATAAGTTCTGAATCACCCGGTATAGGTTCCCCTCATAACAATTTCTACGCAGATTTCTTTATAATTACTCAAACTTAAAATGTAATAGTTTGTGGTACATTTTTATAATTTTACTACATTATTTTTTTCGAAATAAGGATAATTTCTTGTACAATTATTTAATAAACCAAAAATATGGTATGTTTACACTTTTAATTTATTATTTTTCATTAATTTGACGAAAAAAAGGGCAGTTTGGTACAAACAAAGTATGATTTATCTTTCACTCGTAGTAGGCCAAGCTAATGGATGTAAAATAATATCGGATTCTTAAATTTCCAGTAAAAAATGCTAATACAATTTCTCTAAATGACAACAAAATCGTTTGTAATTGTATGCTAATGATTTTAAATTTTAATAAAGTTTCTAAAGGTTTCTAAGGTCTATCTAACAAAACGTGTTCGAACTTCATTTGTTTTTTACTTATGTTAATGTCCTGTGCAGATATAAATCAGAACACGCTGTATATTAAAGTATCAGCCCATTTGATATGAAATTAAACTTTTACAAAAAGAATTCAGAAAATGAATGAAATGAAATTAGGATTATTTTCCCTTGATTTAAATAGTAATGAACTGGAAATTGACATAAATGCAAATGGCCTGTTAACAACAAGAAATAAGTCTCATAAACGTGAAAACGTGTATTTCTGCGGGATATTGACCCGAACACTAGTTAATCTTAAAATGTAATTATAAGAAATTGATTTTTCTACATTAGTTTAGCCTAAATTTAGACGATAAACTGGCAATTACTGAAACATAGAACACCGTTAACTTCGTTTACGAAAACAAAATGATTTGCTTTACCATTATTCATTACGCACATCAAAACCGTATCAGAAATTATTATTTTATTATTTATTTATATAAGGTGTCCGCTAAGGTCGACGAGGTACGATATTAGGGAAAGTATAGGTGCCAGAACTTCGGAAAAAAAAATTTGATTGAGCGAGTCAATAACAATCTTGAAAATAATAACAAAAACGTGTTCCTCAAATCATTATCATTATTTATCTTTTGTTTACTAATTTGCGGATAATTTGATAACAAAAAAAGATATCGACCCCTTTTTGACGTCAAAATGTAGCTATTTTTATGCTCTTCAAACTAACCTATAAAAAGTTTTATCCTGCTATTTCACTTTTTTAAAAAAACGTGAAACAACCTAAACTTGGATAAATATCGCCAATAAATAAACACTTTCGTTAGAAATCTCAAACTTATACTATATTTATTATTTTTTGTGCTGATTTAATTTATGTAAAGAAAAATATAGAGGGAAATGACATTACCCATTCACCACGAGATAAAGCATGAAAAGACCTTTCCAACGAGGTATAACACTATGGGCTTTAGATGAGCTAATCCTCAAAAAATGCATTTTTCTAATTAAACATTAGGGACTTGCCCCACCCTTTCTGTCAAAGGATAGAACAAAATGTCAATAACAAAAGTTATGCGCAATGAATCCGACTATCCATATTTGTACTATTTAATATATCTGAATAGGAAACATTTCTGACAAAAATTCAACTCACCGTTTTGGTATGTAGATTGAGCCCCCTAACGGTTGAGCTACAAACTTGAAAACTATTTCCAGCGATTTCTTTTGGTCGATTTATTAATCAAATTTTTTTCCCGAAGTTCTAGGGGCTATACTTTCCCTAATATTGTACCTCACCGACCTTAGTGGGTGAGGGAATATTAATTTTTTCGTTCGTTTCTATACCTTCCAACAACAATTTATTAGCTGACACTTTAAAGCTGAATTTGTACTAATTCTAAAATATTTCTAGAGCTAGCTTAAAATTTTCAACATAATCTTTAAACAAATATAGACATTTGATACAAATATGCGGAAAACAGAAAACGCAATCGAGATGATAGTTGGGGCAGAGTTCTGAACATGATAACTGATCGACAAAAATAAAAAATCATGTAGGAAACATTTTCTTCAAGTTTTTATACATAAAATATGTTCAAATTGGTGTAATCTTTCTCTGTTTTTGTACTCAAAGATATTCCCTACTTCCAAAACGAAACAGGAACAAGATATATTAGATATTAAATATACTTTTACCACCACTGAATTGAAATTGTATCCTACAACATGTTTTTTGTTACTAGAAACAAAGTAATCTAAAATATATAACAATAAGTCAATCGATTTCGTATAAATGACAATTATTTGCTGGTTACTTAATAAATAAATCTATAACTATTTTCATTTACATTAGACGATGGATGAATGGCCGGTTATAAATATTGAAAACGATGCTACATATAGTTACTAGTAAGTACTCAATCAACAAATAGAACTATAATGGGTACCATTAAAGTTTCCTATCTGTGTATTACCGACTAAGTTAAAAATAACTCCGTTATGAACCTCTTAAACGTATTTTTAGGCTCTTTAAGTACGAAAACGCACATACTTTTAAAAGCTTGCTGTCCGTAGGAAAATCATTGGGTATATCGCTCTCTTAATAAAAAAAACGTAATGTTTCATGCAAACTTGATGTTCTAAAACGTCTTTCAAAGTGTACGAAAACGTATAATGATGTTTTGGCGTTTAATTTTTGAATCTCATTTAAACGACAAAACTTTTACTTGAGCTACAAAAATATTTTTTCTACGACCCTTTTGATTAAGATTGAAATTGTTTAATTTCTGCCTCAAAATACTAGGTGTTGATCTCTTTTTAGTTTCCAGTAAATTTACAAAGTTAAAAACATGTTTCTGATAAAGGTCGTAGAAAAAAGTACAATTATCAGAATGCAACTTACGAGGCTCGCAATTTCTTGTTCCTATTGATCAAAGTCCTTGAATAGAGTATCCATATCAGAAGTTAACAGAACACATAGTATTAAGTTTTTCAAAAAAAACATGTTTATGAAATCTGATGAACGGAATAACTGATTCGTTACTTTATCCATTCTGTATACATGCTAGTGTTTGACGTTTCTAAAGCAAGTTGCACACGCTTTTGCTGAAACCAAAGATAAAATAATTTGACATAACAAAACTTGATAAAAGTCCATTTTAATATGCAATTTAAAATAAACAATCTATAAATAGTATATAGGACCTAAAACCATTGTGACCTAACCTAGATATAGCCTACAACTTTTGTTATGTCATATGTAAGCAACTGTTTCTGTAACGTCTATAAATTTTTCATGAAGCTGTCAATTACAGTGGAAGACAGCTACATATAAAATTAATAAAGTATATTTTCATTCCGAATATAGTTATCGTACATCGTTCTGCTTCACACCAATCATATTAATGTCTCAGTCACACTATTAGTGAATGGCGGTTAGATACAAACAACAATTAGCGGATAAGAAAAAAACTATAAATGCGAAAACAGCCGCTGTGATTTAGAAGAAGAATTAGCGTAGAAAACCAAATTTCACAACATATTGAGCATATTTCGCATCTGCAATTGTCTCTAACAGATTTATTAATTAATTTAAAAAAATTTAGTTTCTCTATGACAGAAAATTTGAAATCGTTCCTCGAAAATTAGATACATTGGATTTACAGTCGACGTTCGTCTAATTCGACACAAATAGCAAAATCTGCGAGGGTTATTTTGATGGTCCACGAAATGGCCATATTAAGAGATTAAATTTGAAAATATAAGCGTTCGAATGGCAAAATTTTCATAAAGACTTTCCTAAGATATCTTATCTACACGGCAATTACAAATTTTTCTAATTTTTGGTGCATGCGCCAGTCTTACGATTTAGGTACTTTAATATTTTGATAAATGTCTACAAAACTTGGCTAAACTGGAATACATTACATAATAGAATATGAATTAGTCCCTATTTAAAGGTAGAACGAATGGAATAAACTTTTATATCGACTTACTCGCAAAAAGTTCTTTATTTTCAAAATGCGATTTACAAAATTGTTTAATAATTTAATTCATTGATAGATATCTCGAATTTGGAATTATCAGTCTGAGAAATAATGTTAATAAGCTGGAAATGGATACTTGTCACAAAATAAAACATGCGTAAAGATACCAATTAAGAAATCAACAAAATGAAATTAATATTAATCTGTTTTATGTGGAATTACTCGTGAATTGAATTGTGGAAGAAATATTACCATTATATAATCTGTAAGAACAAAAAATACTTACAATATAATTTCTATTGTCATTTTCCTCGTAATAATTGTCTGCATCTTATTATTACTAATTAATTTAACCTAAAATTACTTTTCTCGATACTACCCCGACTTTACCCCGTAACAAAACTTGTATTTTTTAAACTTTCACTTAGTAAACACTGCGAGAGATAATGATAACGCCAGAGAATGCGAATCAAACAGCAAACGTGCATATTTACCCAAATTACACCCTTCCCCATCCACCCCTACCTACCATTTAGGTCAGCTATTATCAGTCATGTATGCATTTATAAAAATAACCGCTAATATTATCGATCGGCACCTTTACGGAGATGGCATTATAAAAAATTGTTGAGAATTATGTAAATGTGGGAGACACCGGGGGTGGTGGGCAAATCGGCCCTTACAACGACAAATTACACATAAACATTTACCTGGTGGGGCCTCACGGAGCCACATAGGCGTCTGCGGCTAGTAAAATCATATCACAATGGTTGCTAACATTTTGGCTAGCTCTGATTACATATTGCGGAGCGTTCGAGGGAAAATAAATCTATGGTTCGAACATAATAGCGATACGCAACTGCTTTAGTCTTTAGCGGACGTAGTTGTAGTACTCGGTTGAGGCGTGTGTCGATTTTCCGACCCCGAAATACGAGAGTGGGGACTTGGTTTTCTCCGTATCCTACAGAGAGCGTACGCTACTGGGATATAGTGCAGGATATAGATCAATATTTCTACTTGGTCAATGACTTCATAAATACCTGTATGTTAAAGGATAATCTCGTCAAGCACACGGAATTGCATGACTACAATTTTCACAAGTCTTCACATTGCTGCTGTTTGAATACCAAGATACCCATACGATCTACGTGAAAGTTACTGGATATGTAAAAAGAGTTACAAGAAGGTTTTTTTTTAGATGCTCTAACTAGTTCAAGGCAATGTACTACAACATACGAAAAAAAAACGTGTATTGTTTTGCCACTGACTGCTGTTCTGCAAAGAAATTGATAATTGTCTCAATTTTTAATCGATTTTCCAAGTTTTAATTCGAATCAGACGCCGTTACTATCAGCCTTGTGACGTACTAAACAATAGACATGCTATTCGCGAATGCAGCTAAGAGCTCGCCCTCTGGCGGTGACAAGTGATACTAGCGAAACAAGGTAAATATTTCTTCTGTGTGTGACATTTCGTTTTGTATTTTATTTAAAACTGTATTTAGTGTTCGTTTTTTGAACACTGTTATTTTAAGAAAATAGTGAGGAAAATTTCAGCAGTTATGGATAGAAAGAAGAAACTGTCAAACTATTATTGTTCAGTTCAAGGTTGCTCTTCATGGTCCAAGAAAAATCCAGAATTAAGTTTTCATCAAACCACTGAAGAAATTTTCAAAATATTATTGCCGATAGATAATACTCCCTGAATTTCATGAGGATTGTTAGTAAGTAAGAGCACTAGTCTGCAGACATAATATAAATTTCTAAATTTAAATTAACTTTGCTCAATTTTCCCATATAGTACCACATAATCAGCCTTAAAAACTGCCTCTCCTAATATACAACGAGAGTTTTCGTTAGCATATATATGTAAATAGGAAATGTATTCCACAACGGATAAGTTCATAGTTATAACTTAATAAAATGTACATTACATTGTAATGCTAGAGACAAATAAAGTAAACAAAAATACTTGCCTTAAAATTTATTTATGAAATATTTGAAACCTATAAAATAACACAAAAGTCAAATAACCGCAGTTTGATAACAAAATTACTAATAATAATGGCAAATAAGACAAATGTTGAAATAAATGTGTAAACGCGAACGGCAATGTCAAAATTACCTTGTTTCGGAGCTTACTGCTTTCGCCGCTTGGTGCGCTTGCATCTTAAAAATAATCGCGGATTACAGAAAACTTGTTATTCAATTAACTCCAGTCTGTAAGGACAACGGTATAAGATTTTAGTTGAACTTCCCGTCAATAGATGGCGCAATTAAAGCATAGTTTGTGTTTATAAAAGTTTATATGTAAACATTGTAAAATTTATACACTGCGAGAGTGCTAGACTACAACTATTTGTCAAATTCGTTGTACTTTTATATTTTTATAAATAGTCTAATAAATAATGATTTATACAAAAATAAAAAACAGGCCAACTTTCCAGTCACAGTAAAAATGCGTTACTGTAAGTAGGTAGTATAGTAATGTGAAAAAATGGTAAGCAGCCATCGAGTGAACTGATAAACTGTGTGCAAAAATATATTCGTGTTAAAAATTTACTGTTTAAAAAATCAGTTTTTGTTAAATGCCATTTTCAAGTACAAAAATAGGATATTTGCATAAAAAACGTGTAATATTATGTCACTGAATATAAGCTGAACTATTTCACTAGTAACATATACATTTTTAATTGATTTTCATCATTTTTATTTAAATCGTACGCCATTGTTATCAACCTTGTGATATACTAGCTTTTAAGCTATGCTAGCAGACTTTTGGTACCAAGGAACAAGTTCTGCAATGCCTACAGAATTATGTTTAAAGTGCATTTTTATTGCCAAATTTTTAAATATTGGAAATGAATTTATTTACCCTTAAATCAATATAAGGAGGTAAGTATAAATAAAAAATACTGCAGCCACATTAGAAATAAATATATTAAAAATTACAAAGCACAAATAAATTGTAGGATCATTTAATGTTTTCCAACTTATTCTTAATTAACTTGGCTAATTTAGGACTGCACAAATCGAGCGGTGTCTGGTTGTCTCTATTTTTCGTTTCGACATCAGCTCTATTTTCCACTAGCAACACAGCGACTTCTTGTCGATCTTCCTCACAAGCTAAATGTAAAGGAGTGTTGCCGTAGACGTCCTTCTGGTTAATTCTTAACTTATCGATATAATTGAGGAATATCCTTACTATTTCAATATTTCCTTTCGATGCAGCTCTATGTAATGGCGTGCTTCCTCTTGTGTCAGTTATGTTGATGTCTGCATCATTTTCCAGTAATAACCTACAAATCTATACAGAAATACATTTAGCACTTCAAAACAGTTAATTTAAAAAGGTACCTCAGTCCATCCTTTGGAAGCAGCATACTGAAGTGACGAATGTCCATTTATGGATTTATGGTTCACATTATCGCCTTTTTCTAGTATTAATTTAACAATTTCAGAATGTCCAGCAGAGCTTGCTAAAATGAGAGGTGTTGTGTCCGTGTCATCCAAGGAATTTACTGGCGATCCAAGTTCAATTAAGTAAGTTACAAGTTTTAAATTGCCACTGAGGACCGCCCAGTGTATCAGCATACGTGCATTCTATAAAATATTTAAAACTTCACGTACAAAGGACAAAGCAAAAATAATTCATACTTACAGAATCAGTTGTCAGTAACAATTTAGGGTCTTCTTCCACTTTAGATCGAACATATTCAAAGTCTCCTTTATGGGCTGCTTCGTAAACTGATTGCGAACTCATGTTAGAAAATATATTTTAATTATCACCTTTGTAATATTTATTATTTGGATATTATGAAAACAAAAATGACAAACAATTTTACATAACCTTCTAACTCTAACTTGGCGGTTTATAAATCTAAAATCTGTCAAAGATAAAAGCGTATTCCATTAGTCCATTAGTGTGCATGAACTGCATTCGTTTTAATTCACCTCACTGAACGGTGTCTGAAATATTGAATGCACGTTTTTTTTTTAACTCTGGGTTACTCTATTTTTTTTTCCAATTTCAGAGTATGAGGTGTTGAGAAAGTTTCGTTAATATCGAAACCCTATAAATTGTATACGTTTTGTGATACAAAAGTGATACAGTTTGCAAAATTAACTCCGTAGTTGCAGAAGTTATACCAAAATAGAGAATAAAAATTCCCTACAACAGAAATAATTTTGAACACATTTTGAGAATTGTTGGTGTTGGTAAACAATAAACAGCTGAGCCAACTGACGTTTTGTCATTTAACATTGACGACTTAAGAAAAATTCAAAATTTTTGTGAAATTAAAACAATGTAAGTTAATACCTATCCTTACATAATAATGTGAAATAGTCATACTTATTCCAGTTGTATTAGTCATAAATTGACAGAATAAGTTTGATCAAGATATGAATGAACTGCGTTTTAGCACTGTCTCCATCTCGGCACAATTACGGCAGCCTTCAGCCTTGCATTAACTTGTTCCCTTTCTTGTTGTTATAAATTGCTCAATTTGCGTCTGAAAATAGTTCTCTGGCCTCGTTTCTAAAGTATTTGCAACAGTTTTAGCTCATAGAAGTGGTTGATTGTGAAAATACATTGTGTGATAAAATGAGTCAAAGTGACAAAAATGTACCTAGTGAACCAAAAGAGACTGGTACTTTACCAAGAATTAGGACTACCAGCGAATGCTCCTATACCAGCGATGATGGAACTTCTGGATTTACAGAAAAAAGGTAAGTAATTTGAGCGCATGATAAATAATTCACAGCATATTACATTTACATTGTCTGTCATATTTAAAAATAATTTGTTACATGATGCTACAATTTTACATAAAAAAATTGAATAAAAATATCTTTATTTAGGGTTGTAAATGGGAGATTAGGGTTCTTTGGGTATGTTATGATATATTTACGTTGATCCTTGATGTGAGTAGTGGGTGATATTTTTTTGTTTTGCAATTTTTTAGTACTAACCAGGATTGTTTTATATTCACAAATTTTTTAACATACGAAGATTTATAAAATATTTGCTTATTTGTTAATGCAACCTTTTTAGACAGAGAACTACATCTCAGCAATTCATGGTAACGAGTGGTCTCACCGCTGCTTCGCCTCCAAAATTCGTGTCTTTAGAAGAAATAATGCAGGCAGCTAATGGAATGAGAGACATGGCTTTGGTTCACCAAATCGTGGTCGATGAAGATTTTAAGTTGAAGAGAGCCGAACCGCCACCCAATAGCATTCAGAAGATGATCAAGGAAACCATGCACAAAGCGTTTTGGGACGTTCTAAGGGAACAACTAGCCGAGGACCCACCTAACTACGCTCAGGTTAGTCGCATTTTATTTTCAGTGTGTCTGTTATTAAAAATTATGTCAATATAATTTTTTTCTTTTAAGAGTGTAAGGTGGAAGAATATTGAATGTTGTTTTTTATGAAAACTGACCATGTTTACAGACAAAATAAATTTCCAAGACCTTCCAGGTATAAAAAAAGTGTAACGACCACAACAGACAAGGACAAGGTTACTTGTAGGTTGTAAGAGCTTTATATGGAATAAAGATGATGATTCACTCATATTTTTTTTTTTTGTATCGGCATTAACTTATGTATGTTGTAACAAGGTTTAAGATAAAATATGCAGTATTGCTGTTGCCAAGACAAGGCTTTAACTATTTTTTGCATTTTTTTGAATAAATGAATTGTAATTAAAAATCAACCTGCCAAAACATTCTTGTAAAATATTTGAATACTTTGAGAATTTATTTCATATTTGCCGTTCACAGTAGATCGAAAATGAGATAGTTGTTATTTTTATTGCGTTTTTCAGGCTTTTAATTTATTGGAAGAAATAAAGCAGGGGTTATTTGCCGTATTACTACCTCAACATACCAGAATAAAGCAACAAATTTCCGAAATATTAGATAGCGAACTTATCAAACAGCAAGCTGAAAAAGGAACGTTAGATTTTAAGGTTTGCCGAGTTAAGTTCTTAAAAAAGAGACGTTTTAACTTAACTATTAATTCTTGTAGCATTACGCACAATACGTGATCTCGGTTATGTCTAAGTTGTGCGCACCGGTAAGGGACGACAGAATCAAAGAATTGACGGAAACCGAGGATGTAATTGATACATTCAAAGGTATTTTGGAGGTATAAATATAAAGGAGGGATCGACGAACGTTTTTTAAATTGGTTTTTTTTAGACTCTGGATTTAATGCAGCTGGATATGGCCAATTTCACCCTTCAGATGGCCAGGCCGGACATCATCGCTTGTAGCGTCGATTTGGAGAGGAAGAAGTTTGCAGATTTTCTTTCCATTCAAAACGGTAAGTCGTTAGTTGGCAATCAGTCATGCATTATTAAAGTTTTTTTTTTAGATGGGTTGGAACACACTCGTAAATGGTTGCTAAAGCACGTGAACACGAGCGAGCCTGTACCGGCCGATGTGGAATACGAAAAATTCATAAGAAACATTCTAAAGAAAGGATTCCTACAGTCCTGCGTCGATCTTTTAGATTGGGAGGAAGACGCGCAATATCCGGAGGTAAATCGTCTGTTCTATCGTCCTTTATCATTATTTAAACTAAACGGTTTTTCAGACGTTTATGCTGGACGAGGAGAGACTGATCGACTTAAAGATGAGGACATTCCGACTCATTTCCGTAGCCACGGTTTTGCTAGTGACGATCAGCAACGCAGGTGCCGATCTACAGTCTATCGCACCTTTCAAAGACTCCTTAAAGGAACACATCTCCATCTTGCTGCAATCCGTTAAGAATGATAAGTAAGTTTTCGTGAATTGTGTGTATGGTGAACAGGAAAAATGTTTATATTCGGGACTTCGTCTGCATTAACAAAAAAAATACGACGAGTCGTACAAAAGCAATCTGCTTTTACAAAATTATTTTCCATTGCAGTCTCACTCTCTGCTACTTGGTTAGTTTCATGCAGTTGGTTTAATAAAATAACGGAAGGCAACACTGATAAGCGCACATACAACCGGGTTCAGGAGCTGCCCTGTAGCGGCGTAGACAATAGTTTAAGTGCAACTTAAACAATGACTTGTGACTCCTAAAACTTACCACTGTTATCATTTTGTAACAATCCCGTTTTCTACAACGAATCAATAAAATTTTCAGAGATTTAAATGAAACTCTGCCGAACGTGGCCGAGCAAGTGGTGAATGACTTGAAAGAGGCGCAGCAGAAGTACGAGCTGCCGGAAATGTTCCAAGCGGCAGAGGCCAACTTGAAGCAGCAGATATTGGACATCGGGAAGCCCGATCATAAAGTGAAGGCGATCGTCAGTAAGTGTTAAAATTAAACCGACCGTAGCCTGGGTGGCACCGATATTCAAATGTTTTTTCAGAGCAACGTGTTAAGGATTTCTTCTTGGACATCATAGAATCGTCGACGGCCGCACCTCAGAAGGTGCCTTCCGGTCTCACCGCTCTGCAGAAGGAATTGACGGAAACGGCGGGTCAATTTCTGAGAATCGTTTCCCATAACAGTACAGTATTTTGCATTTACTATTACGATATTATCGCAGCCGCGCTGCCTAAGGGTACCGCCACGGGTTAATCAAATACTATCACAATAAACAGATCCAGCTTTTATAACCAATTTTTTTAGTCGAGTTGCTGTATTTGTTCGTTATATTCGCTTGGTTGTTAATTAAGTTACACGTAATTCCTAAACGTTCTGATAACGATAAAACATACTAATATTTATAACTAATATTTTTTCTAATAAAAGTAAGTAACACACCCGCCGTGATCTATTTTCACACACGCAATAAAGATTACGACTAGGATGTAATTAATGTTGTAAAAATAAGATTAAAAAAAAAATTAAAGTGGTGATAATGTATTTTTTCAGATTGTGAAAAATTTTATTTTAGCGTTACATTGTTAAGTCGTCAGTATTAATTCAAAATTTCAGGGATTTTACTCAGACAAAATTTTGACAGTTATTTTTGGGAGACCCTGTATTTTAATTGAAATTATTTTTTCGCGCCTCATGTCATTATCGGAATTTTGTTCGATATTATGAGCGAGTCTCAAAAACGCTTTCTGTGTCTCAATGACTTTACTTTAATTGTAATATATTATTATTTAAAGATTCTAAAGCTAGATATACAGGGTACTCGAAAACGGTGCCCTAAATTCGGGGACTAATAGAACATTAAAAAACCCAAAGTTCATTTTCTTGTGGGCCACGAGACTATTGTCCTTTGTTTTTGAGATACGGAACGCCAAAAATGATTTTTTTAAGTCAATTTTAGGTCATACAATTTTTTAGACTGCTAAAAGTGTTAGTGGGGTCATTTTCAACTGTCTTGTAAGGGTCACTGGTTACATTCTTTTTAATAGCGACATTTTGAGACAAATTTTTTTTTGGGTTGCTCGCAGATGAATGAGAGTGGCGGGGGGAACTTCGACGACATCACGAATCGCAAATGGCGGACTGAAGCGAGAAATAATTGTTATTTATTAAATACACATTTTTTTTACTTGAAATTTATTAAAATATGTTTCTTGAACAATGTTCATTGGGGAAGTTCTGAAAACTACATACAGTAGTTCTGTGAAATATCCAGGTTAGAATTTTGAAAAAAAATTTCTCGGGAACTTGGTTCGACCGCAGAAAAATAACTTCAGATTCGTGTTCAGCACCCTCGAAAATAGGGGGTAGGAAAATTTTTGTGACGATTCGAGCGGGTTACTTTATAATAAATAATTAACAAAAAAAAAAACGTGCTTACGCACAATATTTGTTAAAAACGAAAGACGGTCTATAGGAAACGACCGTCTTTTTCACATTGTATTCTATTAGTCTCTGAACTTTATAGCATCTTTCAAAAACCTTGTGTAATAAGAATAAAATATACTTGAATGTAATATAACAAATAACAAAAATTTATATAAACGTTAATTCAAATAAATTTTTAATAAAAACCTACTTGTTTTTTTCTGCATTTCCCTCTTGATAAATTTTAATAGCTTTGTTCCTAGTGCATTAAAAATGGTTTTCAACAGTAGGATACAATCGTATTTGATTCAAAACATTAAATTTTGACATATTTTCAAAACGTACATGCTACTGACTATTAGAAGCTATTTTGAATTACTCTATGAACACAACTAACACCTTAATTTCCTAAAAAGTAGGTTGCTCTGTGAGAAATAACCTATAAAGCATATGTCAATGCCTACCGGCAAAGTGTTATTTTGTACCTACTGCAGTAGGTGGCTTTGTGAAAAATAACCTATAAAGCATGTCAATGCGTATCGGCACAGTGTTATTCTGTACCTACTGCAGTAGGTGGCTCTGTGAAAAATAACCTATAAAGCATATGTCAATGCCTACCGGCACAGTGTTATTTTGTACCTACTGCAGTAGGTGGCTCTGTGAAAAATAACCTATAAGGCATATGTCAGTCAATTAATGTTTTTTAAGGTTATTCTCACAAAGGCGTCATATTTCTTCTTTAGTAGTTTAAATGCACGGACACAGCAGTTCGGATGAACAAAAATGCACTACCAACTTTGTAAAACGGGCGGTTAGGTAACCAACCCTCAATTACGTATTGTACAACATACCATTTGATAATTTAAGTTTAAAAATTAACCCAAGTTTTTTACAATCCACCCCAGTGCCTACCGACATAAAGCATTATTTTGTACCTACTGCAGTAGGTGGTTCTGTGAAAAATAACCTACAAGGCATGTGTCAGTCAATTAATGTTTTTTAAGGTTATTCTCACAAAGGCGTCATATTTCTTCTTTAGTAGTTCAAATGCACGGACACAGCAGTTCGGATGAACAAAAATGCACTGCCAACTTTGTAAAACGGGCGGTTAGGTAACCAACCCTCAATTACGTATTGTACAACATACCATTTGATAATTTAAGTTTAAAAATTAATCCAAGTTTTTTTACAATCCACCCTCAGTGCCTACCGACGTAAAGCATTATTTTGTACCTACTGCAGTAGGTCGCTCTGGTATATGAGCCACTCTGATGAAAATAAGGACAGGGATTTTATAATAAAATCGCCACCACTCTAAGTTCGACTAATTTTCTACTTATATCACATACCATTTATATTCTCAAATTAAGTTCGTGAAAAGAAACGGGAAAGTTCTGTAATAATTCTATATTTGTATACAGTGTGGTGTATAACATCATTAAAATTTTTATAAATGGACTATATCCTAACAATACATCAATATATAAAGAATAAAAAAATATTAATCTATTATGATATGAATTTCATAACTTCATAAGATGGCCACTTATTAAAATTTAAAGCTTTAACAGTAATATTATTTTGATTTGTATGGGTCGAAAATTCAGTGCGCATCGTTTTTGAGAGGATGAAATCAATTCATTTTGTACAAAATTAACAAAGACGTTGACATAAGGAAGACTTCCAACTGAAAAGGTGATATTTCTACACAAGCTAAAGTACATTATAAAAAAGCGTAGAACATAAATTTTATATAAAAATTAAATGAGAAAACATACATCACATAAATTTTGATATACAGGGCGTCGCGGGAAAATTAGGATAAGCCTTACATGTTTATACTAAAATATATTTTCTTTATATAAATAGCCTACAAAATTTCGGTTTAATATGCTTTAGGCTAAGATTCCCGCGATACGAAATGTTTTTTATTCAACTATTACTGAATATAAAAAACATCTTTGTCTCTATATTATCTCACCGTAGTACACTTAGAAAACACTTATCTTTTACGATTTAAAATAATTATCAATTTTTCTATTTTCCTTTCATCCAGTAAATAGATACTTATTTGTGGGGAATATTCAATTATAATAATTTTAAAGGCTGCCACAAAAACCACAATTTTTCAACACATAATTTAGTATTTTTTTTTATTGTTCTTTTTTAACTTGGATGCAATTCAATGCTGACAGCTGGGTCGGCTTTGTTCAGTCATAAAACAATCGCACATCTACTTGACAGTATATCACGTCAAACTGGTTGCGATTGTTTCGACATTTCCATGGCTTGCTCTGTACACCTAAAATGTTACGTTATCCATACTTTGCAAGGAAATCTATGGCAATTTATCGATAAAGTGCTGAACCGGAGAGAATTCGACGATATAGCAGATTTTGAATGAAATCGATTTGAAGATATGCGTTTTGATATCGTTTTGGAAAAATTGTGCTTTTACAAAAGCAAGAAGTACATATAAATACATTGATAAAAACAACTGATTAAAAATTAACAGTTTTATAAAATCCTATATCTACATATTTTTTTTAATATTTCTCTATTAATATATAAAAAACTAAATGCGTAAGCCTTAAACTTCAAAAAATCACACTTAAAAAGTATGCTAGATAGTCGATTGTTGTGTACAAATGTTATCGCTTATACAGGGTGTTTTTTAAGTAAAAAACAAAAGAAGGTCGAGTATTTGTTACTAAATAGACCCCAAGAATATCCTGTTCAGATACTCCAAGAGCCTTCATAAATGATTACAAGCCACGTGACCAGTAGTTTTGTTTGCAATTTTCCTTCGCATTGGTAAAAATTAAAAAAACAATAACATCACATTATTTTGAACGTAGAAGCAACAGTTTGTCACTGTTCATTATAAAAAAATCGTAACAACTGGCGTCGCTAAGATTTAGGGATTTCTAATCGACTGTATTAATCGTGCAATGTTGGTTGCATAAGCTCGACAATCATGTGAGTTGTAATCTTTTATGAAGACTACGACTTCCCCAAAATCAGAACTGTTAAGCATGTTACAATTTTATGAACTATTTTTTTTAAATTCTAAATATGTTCAAGGATGTAACAGTTGCTGGTATACAGGGTGATTCCTAAGTTGGTTCATATTTTTAACAGCGTGTAGAACTACTGAAAATAAGATGTTTTTTCAATTTCGAATTTTTAAATAACACCAAAATAAGGCCTTCCAATTTATCAAAAACTGCCAAAAAAATAAGTAAAACTTTATTTTTCGCTTTTGGCTGCAATATAATTTTTTCCAAATTAATTTATGCCCTCGAAAAAGCAAAAAATAGCGTTTTTTTAAAAACGGTATTGGAAAAAATTATTTTTAACAAGTTTTACTAGTTATAAAAAAATTTGACTTAATTTCGGAATCACCTTGTATTTGTATTTATATTAATTTCATTAATTTGATGAAAAAATACAGTTTTCCACTTTTACACAAACTATTTGTGCTTTTTACAATATAAGCCGAGCCAAGGGTTGTAGAACAACGGAATATTCAAAAATCGCCGCTTAAAATAAATTGAAACGAGCTTAGAATTTGCAAATTTTGAGGAAGTTACAGTTTGCTGCCCTACCATCTATTTTTAAAAATATTTGACCTATAAATCGCGACACCCTGTACATAAAAGAGTTCAAACGCAATCCCGCACAGAATGTTCCGCTTTTCTCTTCCGTAACCGGCATTTTTAATTATTTTAAGGTGCGCTGTGGACGTGGATAGGAAGGAGAGTGCGTTTCGGTAAACCGCGACGAAAATACCGCGATATATCGGGTGCTACGACGACTATCTAGCGTTTTCCCACATCCCGCTTCTACTTGAATATCTTAGGCAAACCATCTTATAATTTGTTTCTAAACAGACTTGTATGGCCGGCATAGACTAACGCTAGCCCTAGAATTATCCTCTCGAATACTGCAAAGGCACCGCTCTTGATTGCCAAGTACTCGCGTACTTGCAAAAAGAGCAACGGAAAGTATCCACTCAAGATCGGAATAGCACATGCGGAGCTACCAAAACAAAAGAGAGGTGGTGCCAGAGGAGGAAAAAAATAAACTACTTCTTGGAAAAGGTGACGGGCTCCTGCCTCTCCTTCTCTAGAATGTTTCTAGTGATGTTGAAGGCCTGCGTCTTCATGAAGTCCACTTGCTTGTAGACGGTGTCTGCCTGACTCCTCGCAGGCAACGTCTGTGTACTGTTACTTGAGAAACTGGAGCTGGTACCTTCGAGATCTAGGTCCAGGTACTGCATCCTACTCGTGACGTAATGGTAAATCTGTTCGTTGTCGTTCGGAGACAGAAGGCTGTCGTGAGATCGGCCCAGGCTGGGAGGCGTGGGGCTCGGGGCTGCCCTGACCTTTCGTTGGTCCTCCTCCACGTTGAAGTGCTTCCTCATGTGCGCCTCCTGCGGGTTTCGCAACGTTACAACAATGGAAAACGAATAAATGTTTGTTTTGTTTCATTTTTTTAGATGGAAGAGTTACACTCCACCAGTTAGAGTTCATCCGTAGTGACCTTAGGGCCAATGACAAGTGAACATCTGGGCGGACCTAAGGGCTTCGATAGTGGGTCAGCACCCACAGAACCTGGCCCGAGAACAAGGGCAGGTCAAATATTTTAGAAAGTATGTAATTGGTGGCAATCGTGTACGTAGACCACGACAGAATAATTTATTTATAATTTTTATTTGACTTTTGCGTAAAAATTTTTTTTTTTTATACAAAGCAACGTCTTCTTATTTAATTGTTGCCTAATAATGCTATAATCAAATTTTGTTCAAATTTAATTTAAAAAAAAAGGCAAGAATTGATTTTTTTTTAATTTACAGTACTACTGTCGGTATGCACGAATATCATGACATCCTGTATAACAAATTATCATTATTTTTTAGTAATCTACCTGTCGTAACACTTGATGAAAAAATCGAACCATGCCACATACTTTTTCTCGACCAAACATCAAATTTTTTTTAGAAACCGAGAAATTTTGTTTTCTTTTTTTTTGTATCACGTGAAACAGTCGAAATCCGGATAAACCTCTTACTTATACATGCACGATAAATTAAAATTTGTTCCAAAAACAATCTGGACCTACCTGTAAAGGTGTCGGAGGCTTTAGCTTTCTGTCCACCGAGGGAGCATTTCTCGGGGAAGGTGGCTCGTTATTCGACGATATAGAGTGGGAATCGGACAATTTCCTTTTTGGTTTCAAGTCGCGGTTGACAGCGGGAGGGGGCATCAGCTGGCCCTCGCAGTATAACGGACTAGGGAGGTTGGAGTAGACTGCCGTCGAGGAGCTGTGGGAATGGGCGGGGGAGGGGGGCTCGTCCTGGCCTTCTTCTATATCATATTTAAAAATCTGCAGAGAGAAGATAAAGCGACGTGAAATCTTGCCATAAAGCTGCGAGTAAAAAAGTTATGGCCCTTTTAACACTTTAAATCTAGCATACGTAGCGCCCTCTAGCAGCTAAATAGAAAATTTAAGGTGTACTATAATTTAACTCCCACCGACTGACTTTCATGACAAAATTCAAATTCTCCGCTACCAAGGAAAGCGATAAACATTCACACAAAGCTCCTTACCGTTGTACTGGTGCTTGTGCCCGGTTTTAGAGAAACGTCGTATCTGAAGATGGTTCCCTCCACGCAACTGACCGGAACTGCGTTATTATAACAGTGCGCGCCTTTTCTCAGCGTAGCTTCACTTTCGACAAAGTGAGAGCGAGGAAGATCGTACGTCTCGTCCGTCAAAATTTTCTGAGATTCCTTGGTCGTTTTAGGCTGTTCGTTTTCATCCACTTCTTTGCTGAAATCACACGGACAGTTGAAAGGTGTTAACCGAGCGGGAAAAATTCTCTTACCTCGTTCTGGAAGGAGTGAGGTTAAGGTAACACGGTGGCGGCGCTTTGTGGGTGGGTTTCGGGGGTCTCGGCGGTGGAGCAACGGCGAGTTTGTTGTCGCCGTTGCTTTTCGTGAACTTCTGTGTTGCTATGATGTCCACGTCGGCAGAACTATCTGAGGGTCTGGTATTTCTCGAAGTATCTGGAATTAAAGGAACGTACCTCAACGTACAGGATGTTTACAAACTTGCAAAGGGTTTTTTAATGGCAGCTAAAAAGTGTTAATAATTTTTCAATAATCAAAATTGTGAATAATAATCGAATTTGTTAAAACTTATTGAGAACTCCTGGAATCGTCACTGACTTACGTACTACATAAATTAAGGTGAACACAGAGTCCTGAGAATGTCATAATAAAACCGACGAAACGTTTTTGTTTTTTTTTTCAAATTTCCACTTTATGTTTGTAAACCTACTTACTTAAGTCGGCAGAATTATGAACCCAATCCTCATCATTGAAGACACTGTCAGAGTCTGTTGGACTTTGCAGAGGAGAATGATTTTTTTCCATGGTACTGGTACTTTTCATTGTAACTGGAGGTGCCAATTTTCTAGGACAATCGTAAAAACGAGGATCCTGTGTAATATTGATGCAATTCAAATAATTTCTCTGAGGAAGCTCGTAACTCTCGTTGACATGTTCAGATTTAAAAAAGGAATTTTTCATGTTGTACTCCAAGAGAGTCTTAAAATCCTACAAGACAATTATTTTTATTGCGAAAATTGTTTAATAACAAAGAATTATTTACCTTAGGATCAAAAATAGGCGATTTTCCCGTGATACATTCCGATATGGGTATGTAGGGGTTAGTTGTAACAGGTGATATAGGTGGGGTTTCGTTGAAATTATTTAACAAAGTCTCTCTTCGGCTTTCAGGTATTTCTTCTATTTCTACATCTGGACAGGATACAGATTTGACTAAAAACAAACAAAAAAACATAAGCTAACATATTTTAAGATTCAAAAACTTACCGTCTTCTTCGTCATTAGTGGATTTCAATCCACAGACCTTGCAAATGCAGTTAACCCAAGACCTCATTTCACTATCTGAATCAGCAGCTAGGTAATAAGTACGGGTAGGTGTCCTTATATCGAATACATGATCGAACTTTAATTTTCTCTCATCTAACTTTAAACCTAAATCTACTTGTTCACAATGATCTAAATCAATAATCCCCTTCAGTTTTCTACAGTTCCTATCAGTATAATATGTTAATATATATTGTCCCGGGAGTTCCCCTGAATGTGTCAACAAAAACCATCTCCTCCTCCATCTCTACAATCAACACAACAAAAAAAAACTGATAAGTGCACAGTATATCTGCAGCCACTAACTAGGTATTTAATATATGAATCATTAATTTGTGGTGGCTGGTTACAATCTATGATAAAAAAATGGTGATAACTCCAATTGGTTAAACCCAACTTACAGCTCTCCAGATTCGTTTTGTTGGAGGAGATTTCGTCAACCAACCCTCAAAAACGACTTCTTGCGGATTTTTTGCCATTTTCCTCAAATAAAAAGCTTTTCTTTTCAAATATCATAACTTTTGAATCGACATACGCTGATGACTAATAACACTTGTCAATATACTTTCTTTTTCAGTGCTTCCAACTAATCCACCGTGAGACAATTAAAAATTACTAGAAAAGGAAAACACTTCCTGAATGCGATTAATTTAAATGGACACAAGCTTATAAATATTTATTTAAGAAATATACTCCTGATAGTCCTGATTCTGTCAAAAATAAACTCCATACTCCATATTCCTCTAATTCTAATTCCATCAACGAGCAATTGACAGAAGTGTCAGCAGTATCAGCACGCAAGTGTATGTGGCACTTAATTAACAAAATTGAATACAAAATTATTTAAATATATATTTCAGAATCGAACCTCCCCATTATCTATACACTCAAACACTTTTCAAGCGTAAGCGTAAGCGATGTAAAAAATTGTAAATGAAAAGTAAATGATTCCACAATTTTAAAAATAAATAATGTTCTTTGATTTTTGAAAGTCGTACAAAAAGACAGTGTTCCTTTCTCTATGACTAATCAAAACTTCATTTCATTGGCCATATTAATTTTTATGTTTCGCGGTTTTTATTATTTTGAAAATAACTTAAAAATATATTAAAATTTTATAAAATTTACTACATACAATTCTAAAAAAAACTTGCATTTTAGTATGGGAAAAACCCTGTCTACAAATTACCTCACCTAATAATTACTCAATTAATTACCTCATACATACCATATCCAAATATGTTTAACGTAGAAATACATCATTCCAATTTATTTTTATGATCAGTGAAGTGGAACGCTCACTTGTGTCAATTGACCAATCAAGTTACATTAAATAGTTCCAAATCTTCATGCTGTCATCTATCTCCTAGAAGCTGCACTAAACTGCTGAAGAATTTTTTAGTAGGTAGCTAACTGTAACAACCTCACATTCGCTGGAGAATTAATTGAACCTTTACCGTATAGATGGCTCCGCCTTCTTTCTCAATAGAACTAATAATGATTTTTCTTCTTAACAGGTCACTTACAGAAGAACCGAATATCCCAGCGTGTTCAGAGACCCCAGTTTTCTGCGGTGCCATCCTTAGAAAAGCACTCTAGTTTTTTGAAAATTTTCGTGCTATTAGAAATTTTCAACATAGAGCATTGCATATTACATGGAGGAAACATATTTACGACAGTGCAGACAAGTGATAGAGAGAGAAAGAGATAGTTTGGGTACTCTCTCTTTCTCTCTCTCACGCTGGCACGCGATTGGCTAATGCAACTACTTTTTCACTTTTTCAACGATTAGCGAGAGAAAAAGTATCCAAACTATCTCCCTTTCTCTCCACACCGTCTACAGTTGATCGATACCTTATCACTATCCTCTACTGCATGCTGAACTGAACAATAGTATTTTTTTCGCGAGTGAAGTCGTATGTCGTTGTATGTATAGTTTGAGTGAGTGAAGAGATTTAAACTCCCACAGGATAACTAAGATCAAAAGAGATAGATGTATTCAGATATTCACCAATATTCAGTCGCGAAAAAAAGCCTATTCTAACAAAGGAACACGACCGTTGACATTGTTGACAGTATACTGTCAAATCTCAAATCGATTGTTGACGTTGACAGTTTAAGTTCAATTTTAAATGTTAGGTTACACTCATTTATATTTATATTTTCCAGTAACTTAACATTCATTACACCTGTTTGAGTTATTGTGTGCAAAATGCATTTCCTTGAAGAAGTGCTGTCATCAGCAGAAAAAGTTGAGCTTGATGAAGTTAATAAAAAAGTACCGGAACTAAAGTCAACAATAGAAATAATAAAAATTGAGGTTATACGTTACATCGAAAACGTTTATGTAAAATATAGTGGAAGGCCTAAACAAAATAGAATTTTGTTGAATAAAGCACTTGAAATTGAAGAAGAAATAAAGACATTAAAAAATAATGCCGAACATGCAATAAAGAAGGAATTGCTAAATTCCCAGAATGAACTGGAGAAACATATAACTTCTTTAGAAAGCATTAATTTTGCCTTACATGTGGTATTTAATCTGTGCCACATTAATGAATCTTTAGTTAATTTCACAGAGTTATTAGATTCAAAAATGTATTTAAACTCGATGAAGTTGATCTGTAATTTGGAGAAATTGATAAATGAAATTCCCGATGATGAATACATTGAAGTAATAGATGAGCTGAAAGTTAATATCAACACTAAAAAGAATATACTTTTAAATGAACTGAAAAATGTATTTACAGACAATATTAATATAAGTGAAAATGAAGATGAGAAATCTATTGTTATAAAAATTAAAAAAGACATCAATAACTTAGAGCAGGCCCTTTTTGCTTTATATTTTAAAAATTCTGTGGTATATCCTTTGCATAGTTTTGCCAAATCTTTGTGGAACTATGTTTTTGTGCCAGTTGTAGATTGCACTGTTAAAATAAACATTAGTGAAGACGATAAGTATCACATCCTCAAAGTTGTTACAGAAGATGCCACAAAAAAATGTGGATATTTGAAGGTATTTTCTAATTTGAAAATTGTTTTGGAATACCTTAAAAAGAATTGTAATGTACACATAAATGAAGAACTGACTTCCTTGGGATACATTGGCTTAGATATTAGAGACAATTTATCAGAATTGCTAATAAAAAACTGTCTACAGAACACTATTCCGTCGAATGCAGCGGAACTCCAGAAATATAAAGTCATTATAGAAGACACTAAATCATTAGAAGAGGTGTTAAGGGACTGTCACATATTTGCCGAAGATACTGCATCGATATTTGAATATGCAAATAACGTGGACATATTATTTATCAACAAAAAGTGTAATGAATATCTTGTAATCTCTCAGGACATAATGAAGAAAGATTTGCACGACATAGTAGAAGTTGGTACTCCATATAATCCCAACAATCCATTAGGATGTAACATAGATGAATTTCTACAATGTTCAGTTTCCAAAAGTACTATCGAGTTACTCCAATTTACCGAGAAAATTATTCAGCAAGCCCTCACAGCTTCCGATGTTTGTGGAGGTCGCCTCTTCTGTACAGTACAAAATATATTCAGAAAATACAGCAGTTTTGTTCCTGAGTACCATAAAAAACTGTTGCAAACAATACCACAACAAGTCGCTTTGTTTCACAACAATTGCTTTTATATAACCTTCAAATTAACTGAATGGAATCGACTGTATTCCCCAAAAATGTTGGCAGTTTTAAAAACGGATAACTGTGGGTTTAAAGATGAAATATATCAATTGCAGAAGATAGCTTCCGAGACTTTTACTTCTTACGTGGAAGGACAGCTGAAACAATTAAACGAGATAATGAAGGAATCTGGCCTTGCAGGTCACACTTTGGACAAACTGGAGTTAGTCACGGAGAAAAGCATAAGGCAGTGTTTAAGGCAGCAGGAGTTACTTAAAACTGTTTGGCATAAGGTACTGCCATATCCTATATATAACAAAACTCTTGGCGTGATATTGAATTCTCTGTGCAATATTATTATAACTTCGGTTGTGAGATTCGAGGACATTTCGTGTGACGCAGCTGAACAGTTGGTGGAAATAATGAAAGTTATTTTTATGCGTGGACCGAAACTATTCACGGATCCCAAAGAGATAAGTCTGTACGTCTCTTCTTGGTACAAACTGAATGAACTGAATTTTGTACTCGGTGCTAGTTTGTTGGATATTAATGATAGATGGGCTGACGGTAAAGGACCTCTTGCCCTGCAGTTCAAGCCCGTCGAGTTGAAGCAGCTGATTAGAGCACTTTTCCAGAATACCGACAGAAGATCAGCTCTTTTAGCAAAGATCCAAGAATAGAGTAGAGTGGTTCATTGGGTTTTATACAGTTTATATCTTGTACTTCACATCATTCTAGAGCTTTCATTAAATAAAAATATAAATTATTTTTTATTATAACAGAGGAACATTAAAATACTTGTTTTTTTAACTTTTTTCATTGACTTTCCTTATTTTAACTGTTAATTTTTTGCATTCGAGATGCAAACAATATTTTTTCGAAAACTGCAATAAAATAAGATTGTGTGAAATTGTTTCATATCATAACGATAGCATTTAATAAACAATAAAAATTAGTTATTTGAACACGTAGGGTCAGAATTTAATTGTAATTCATATTCTAAGTGTTTAATTCAAAAAGAGCTTGGAAAGTGAAGACGAACATTTACCAGGGGAAGTATTGGAAGCCGCACAAAGTGCTGTTTCACAATTAATTTCCAAAAAATCGTCAAGGCAGTACAAGATTGCCTACAACAAATTCAAAGGGTGGTGTAGTTTGAAGAAAATCCAAAAAGTGTCGGAAGCAGTATTACGGCATATTTTGAATATGAAATTAATAAAATTAAACTTTCGACGTTATGGTTAGTATATTTCACATTAAAAAGTACACTGAATGTAAAAAAAATGAGAATATCAGAAAATTTACAAAACTAATACCAATTTGAAAATCAAATCAGTTGGATAGCAGTATTGAGAGATTTTTACAAGAAGCACCTAATAATCGATTTCTGCTAGAAAACGTAATTCAAATTAATATAAATCGATCAATATAACTAATTTTGGACAACTTTTCAATTCATTTTAATAAATGGTGTTGTGGAGCATCAAAAGTTAAAATATGTAGTACAAAAACTTTGTAATTTTCCCACTTACGAATGGACAATAAAGCATATTACACAAAAGCTGCAAAATATTGAAATTAGAAATTTTTTTATTTTGAGAAAAAAATAAGGAATGTGCCAAAGGAAATAGCAACTTGTCTCAATTTGCCTCATCTGGAAACTTATATGGGGCACTGCTTTAGACGTTCTTCTGTCACTTTGTTAGCCGATGCAGGGGCCGATATTACCACCATTAAACGAAATGGGAGGGGTGGCGTTCTAGTATGGTAGCATAGAACATAAAAAGACTAACTTTGTCAACTGAACAGGGTATTCTTTGAGAAAAGAAACAAAAAGTCATATCAAAAATTTATTTCTGAAATATTTGGCTTCAAATGGAGTTGTACAATAAGGACAATATCTACAGTGCTTTATACCTTCAATTTTGTTTTTTATTTTCGCAAAAAATTATTTAAAATTCCTATTAAACTAATTATCTGTTATCTGTTTAAAACACTACTACCGAGTTTTTATTTACTATTCCTTTCTTCGGTTGTATAAAAAAATTAATACTGGATTGTTAAAAAAATAGTTTTATTGTTGCAAAAACCTTATATGACATATCTAATATCTATATGGCATATCTAAATGCAAAAACGTAGAAAATTAAAACTAATAAAAAATACATATTTAACAAAAAAAAATCATCATATTTTTCAGTACATTTATGTAAATCTGTCTTCAAATATCGTTACACCTCACAGAAGTTGCCGCGCACACTTTGCTGAGATTCTCGCGCAGGGTTTCGAGTTGGCGTAGCGTTTCGGGATCAAACTGGGGAATTTGCGAGACCCTCAGCCCCCTCTGGGGTTGTAATGTCAACAATCTGCCGTCCAAAAGAGGGATATTAATATTGGCCATATTTTCGGTTACTACGCTGGCGGTATAAAGGGGACTTCCCTGCATAGACAAAGCTACCTCTCCGTTTTTGGGTCGGCGCAAGAGAATCTGAGGCGTATTCGGTTTGCACTGAAATTGCAAACACGTTAATAACAATAACAACAATATCTAGGTCTAAAAACAGCATTAAACTGCTTATCACAGTAAAACGAGACTCAAAACGGCAGTACAAAAAGGGATGGTGCCTAGTCTTCCAGTCAAAATGGAACAAGTAGTAAAACTAGATAAAAATTGGACACAGGAACAATCTTTCATCTTCAGAGGAACCGTTTCACAGCAAATACTGTAATCGCCACAGACTTGCCAAACTAGACGCACAGGAGACCAATAAGGCCAAACGGGTTAGTTTGTAGCATGTCGAGTTTCGCCAAGTTATGTGGCGGCCACAGTACTATGATACCGATCAGAAACAAACGTACAAATTAATACAGTCAGTTACATCCCGAAACTAAGGGCAACCACTCACGCAAATCAATTTATATCGGAATATTCACATATGTCCCAGCACAAAAAGCATTCAATCGCATCGCACATATGTCTAGAGAAAACCATGAAAAAAAATCACCGTCCCTCGTACTAATCTCGAGGATCAGCCAAGAAGTGAGAAAATTGTGTGGAAGAAGGAATGGCACATTATTATTAACAGCCCGCATTTACGATCGTTATTTTATACCTTTGGTGTTACGACTCCGTATGTGTTGGGTGGCGTGACCTTATTCATGGGCGTCTTGTATGACGTAGTTGCTGATGGTTTCAGTGTGTTGGTTCTTGAGAGAGATCTTGTTTTCCGAGTCGATTGTGTTACCCTAGCCTTGCCTCTAGATTTGTGGCCACCTGAATGAACGCTTTCAGCTGTAAGATAACCTGTGATGGTGGATGATACCAACACCCAAATTAGATGCAATGAAGGATGAGGGTTATGGCGGTAAGAAAAGAAATTGAACAACTACATGCAAAGCACTTCATATTGGGTTATTGTTGATTTTTTTCTATTCAAATTTAAGCAGTGGTGCAAATTTAATGTATTAATATCGTGACTGTGGTCTAAATTGTTTTAAATCTACTCTTTTGGCTTGTTTGAACAGATATAGAGAGAAAAGCATATGATTTAGATTGAATAAATCCTTTACATTGAAGCGATCAATCATTACACATCTTAATGATTTTAGAAGTTATGTTAATCACTCATAACAAAATAGATTTCAAATGATCGCAAAATGCAACAGCAGGTGTCAGCAAACTTACCTTCGTCGTCAACAAATGAGGCACTTCTTTTGACATTTTTTCTATCTTTCTTCACGGATTTTGTAATATTCAATAAATTTTCTTTAGATATACAATTTACTGATCCTGTTGTTTCAAAAGATTCAGCGTCAGTCTAAAAATAAACAAAACTGATAAATACCCTATTCTGGAACAATATCATAAAAATAAGTCTTACAATTTCACTTATGGTCATATTATGATATTTATATGGAATAAAACATTTTTCTTCATTTTTGAATGCTTGTAGAGAAAAAACGGCTTTATTTTTTTCTTCTTTAAGTTTTAGAAGATATTCTTTTTCTAAAACAAAAAAGTTAGAAGTTAACTTTTATCTGCAATTATCCGCTTACTTTTATTCTGTATATGCTGCAAAACTAATCTCAGTTTTAATTCCTTTTCTTCTGATTCCCGTTTTGCATTTTTCTTAACTACTTTCGTCCGTGGCATCTAAAACAAAATGTATTACTATAATAAATACATTTCCTTCATGTCCTTACTTTTGGGACTAGGTACAGTTAAGTTATATATGTCTTACTACAAAATATACTCAGTTAATTGTATATTAACATAAGAAAAGCCAGTATTTGAATAAACGTCAATATTTAAAAAATAAGTTAGACATTCAGCAATTTGGGTGGCTCCAAAGTGACCGTTATTTTTTTGATTTCTAGGTTATAATACAAATTTCTCACCTTTTTAAATTAATTTATAAATATAAAATTATTTAGATAAAGTTCTGTATTAATACCTTACACAGCACCAATTAACAATGCAATAATAGGAAACTTAGTATGTAACTTTTAAGCGTATTTCATCAAGCAGTGAATAAAATTTATAAATTGTTAAAATTTCAAAGTATCAAGCATTTCTAGTCAGTGGTCATAGAACACAATAGGCTTTTTTTCGCGAGTGAAGTCGTATGTTGTAGTATGTGTTGTATGAGTGAATATTACGTTTTTGCGAGAATAGTCAGTCATTTAAACTACTATGTGACGTCACCAGTTTAGATCAAATGACTGAACTCTTCACCCTTCAGCTGAATATTCTGTTAGCATATTCAACTAGTATTGTCAGCCGGTAACTTAACCTATTTCTTTTTGAAATTTTGTTTGATTGAGGATAAAAATCGTTCAGCAAAATGATGGATTCTGATACGGCTGTGGAAGTGGTCAGTTTAAATTTAAACTTTAGAGGCACAGATATTTTAGTAAACGTAGACGTTGAAACAGCAAATATTTTACTTAATGGTCGTAAGATTAATTTTTTATATGGGACATATTTGCGATCCACTTTGCTTCAGGGATCAGGATTATCCTCTTTTTTTTGTGATCTAGGCCAGAGATAATGGTGGAATCATTTGTAATTCAGGTCTTTTTCGTATGAATTACATAAAATACCGACCTAACCTCTTTCTAGTTTAAATTTTTTATATAAAAAATTTAAAAACATATATGGGGAGCCTTGAAGCCATATGTCAAAGTCGTCAAAGTACATATGACAGGCTGCACCACTGAATAGTGAATAATACATTTTCGCGATCTGTTCAGGTTAGACAAGGTTAGAAATAAGATTAAAAAGAGATAGAAACAGTACCTACAAGTCAGACGTATTCACCAATATTCACTCGCGAAAAAAAGCCTAATGTTTCAAATTAATGTATTCGTGTTGACATCTCATTCTACTTTCTTTTGATATCAATGGTTATTGTGACGTTAAGCACGCCAAGTGTCAAGTTTCAATTTTCAATTATCAATTTGAATTTTGAAAGCTCCAGGTAATGTTTGTTTATATTTATAATTTTTAATAACAAAAAATAGTTCAGAAGCTGATAAGTAAACTAAATAAGTTTAATACTCAAATATAAAGAAAGGAATTATAATGCACGAGGCGTATCAAGTTTCTTCTTTGTTAAAACTTACGTATCAAGTAGAATCTATCGCAGCTTATGGTAATTTTTTTTCAACAAGAAAGGACTAACTAAACTTTAATAAATTTTTTTATTAGATGATAACCTGTTGGTTGGTACGAGACAGGGCCATCTCTGCATGTATAATTTGGTTCGTACAGAAGATAATTGCGAGGTACAATTGATGAGATACCATAAATCTTTTAGCAAAAAGGCTGTACAGCAATTAGAAGTAATACCTGACCATAATTTGCTTATAAGTTTAACAGGTAAAGAGTGATTGTATTTCTACCTCTTTACTTTGCTCATTTTTTTTTGTAGACAATTTAGTTCAAGTTCATGACTTAAATGCCATTAACTTTACAACTATTTATCAAGTTCTGAAAAGCAAAGGAGCTACGTTCTTTGCCATCAATATAAAGGTATGAACCAAAGAACCTAATAAATAATTATGATTCATCTGTGTGCATATATTTTATTTAGAAGCAAACTTCAATGACTGGAGACATAAGTGTTCTAGTACGCATGGCAGCTGTTGTAAAGCGTAAAATTCAGTTGTACTATCTAAAAAACAACGAGTTTTTACAACTGATGGATGACATAAATTTGACAGAAATTCCTCGGTCAATGGTATGGTGTCAGGAGTCCATCTGTGTCGGGTATCGCGGTGAATATGCTCTTCTAGAGGTATAAATCGTATACACGGCTTTCTGTGATTAACACACTTTTTTTTTAGTTGAATGGAAAACAAACGGACTTATTCCCTACAAGTAGTACTCGTTCGAATGAGCCGTGCATAATTCGAGTATCTGATACTACCTTTGCTTTATGTCGTGAGACTCAAACTGTACTGGTGAACGTTATGGGTGAAACTGAACGTAATAAAGCCCTTCGATGGTCCGACGTGCCTGTAACATTAGCGTGGGACGAACCATATGCCCTAGGAATACTTACAGATTGCATAGAGGTAACAGAAGTAATTAAATTGATGTTTTTATTGTCATATTTTACTCCAAAATTAATTTTAAATTAAATACAACATTATACCGCAGGTTTTGACTTTAGAACCGAGTGGTTTGGTCCAGACCTTACCCGATCTTTCCAAAGTTCGATTTATTGTATCGGCAAAACAGGGATTGTTATATGCCGCTTCTGTCAGTCAGATTTGGTGTATCCAGGCAGTGGATGTGGCGAAACAAAGGAAAGTGTTGGTAGACGCCAAACAGTTCCAGTTAGCGTTGAAACTTACAGTAAGCATTTTTTTTATTATATAATTTTGTTCAGGACAATGATGTTTTCAGCAAATATCTAACGAATCAGAGGAAGAAAAGAAGGAGAAAATTCACCACATTCAGACGCTTCTAGCTTACGATTTATTTCACAGAAAACAGTTCCACGAGAGCATGAAGGAATTTCTTAAGTTAGGCACAGACGCATACGATGTGATTCGTTTATTCCCTGACTTGCTACCTCAGCAGCAACAAGGCACGGATTATCCGGAACCTGTTCGAGATTTGACTGAGAAAGAACTGGAGACTAGCCGACTTGCTCTTATCGATTATTTGACTGAAATGAGGCATCGTTTACAATCATCGGATACTCTGGTGAGATCCTAAATATCAGTTTATTCCTTATTTGATCTGTCATTGTGTTTTTAAGGCCAACATTAATGCTAGGGGAAACTTAAACGAAAGGGCTACTAGCAAATCGACGAGTCACTTACTTCAAATAATTGACACGACTCTTCTAAAATGTTACCTGCAGACAAACGATGCTCTCGTTGCACCTCTTCTCCGTCTGAACCATTGCCACTTGGTGGAGACCGAGAAGATATTGAAAAAGATGGGCAAACACAATGAACTAATCATTCTGTATCAAACCAAGGGGCAACACAGACGGGCGCTTGAGCTCTTGCAGTCCGAAGGCAGTATCGACAGGACCATCGGGTATTTGCAGCACTTGGGATCGGATAACATGGGTTTGATACTCGAATTTGCTGATTGGGTTCTTACGGAGTCACCAGAAGAAGGCTTAAAGGTACGTATTAAAATAAAGATTGTCGTGTAATTCTCATGTAGGCATTGTTGTCATATCACATCAGGTGGATTGCTATTAAGTAGTTCACCTAAAGTAGGTGAATGTCAGAAGTCACTGACACTGAGATTCACAAACTTAACACGGTGCTTTAAAATATTAGCAACAAATATTTTTTATTAAACACTGGAGATGATTTCAAAAAATGTTTCAAATGTACCCAATTCGCAGGATTACAGGGATTTTATGAGTGTCGCCATCTAGTACTTTCAATCCCAAGTTTAACCTAAAACTTAAAATCTACAGATTTCCATAGGCAATGAATCGTAAGGACAAGAAAGAAGACAATATGCTGGTTAAAAATATATCAACACATTAATTTGTTAGTCTTAAAACCTTTTTTTTTGTTATATTTTTTTGTTTGTAAATTTTGAGATTAGTCATGTATATTTTTCAATTCTTCTGAATGCTTGTCCATGTTTTCGACTATTCTGAATTTCAGATTTTTACCGAAGACATAGCGGAAGTCGAAGCCCTTCCCCGCCCTAGGGTCTTGGATTTCCTCCTCAAATCGCACAAATCCGTAGTCATACCATATTTGGAACACGTCGTACACACTTGGGAGGACTCCAACCCTCTGTTTCATAACGCCTTGGTCCACCAATACAGAGAAAAAATTGTGACGGAGGGACCGGCAGTGGCCGAACACACGAGGAAAAAGTTGCTGCAGTTTCTAGAGAGCAGCAGACAATATACAGCCGAGAATATACTAAACAGTTTTCCGACAGACAGCCTGTTGGAAGAAAGGGCGATTATTTTGGGTAGATTGGGTAAACACGAAGAGGCGCTTAACATCTACGTGAGAGCCCTGGGTGACGTGGAAAAGGCGGAAACGTATTGTAGAAAAGTGTACGACAAAGGATTACAGGGAAGTCAAAATGTAAGTGATTACATTCTGATCTAGCAGGCTGCAGTTTACATTTTGTTTCTGCTTAAATTTAATATGACAGTTGACGTTTGACAGACGATGTGTTCTAGGTGTACGCATCGCTCATAAAACTTATTCTAGACCCGAACAGCTGCCAACTGACCCTCCCCGGTCTAGTGCTGTCTCCGAAAACCGCTCAGGCAGACCTCGAGTTGGCTCTGCAGTTGTTGGAGCAGCACGCGAGTCGGATGAATCCCTTGCAGGCTCTACAGATCCTTCCAGACAGTGTTCCCGTGTCCAGGATACACAAATTTTTGTCCGTGGCGCTTTATAATGTCATTCAAGACAGGCGCAGGGTACAACTGATGAAGGGTCTACTGTACGCGGAGCATTTGCAGTGCCAGGAGATGAAACTGGCGTTGCAAAGTCAACACGTCCTTGTTACCGAGCTGAACGTTTGTCCCGTCTGCAAGAAGAGGTTTGGGAATCAGAGGTAGGGGTCGATATACAGAGTATTTTTGTTAAAAAAAACTTCACGAAAACCACAGATTTTCACAAACGAAGATGTTGTTTGAAAATCATGGTTGTGACATTTGAACTACTTTTTTTTCTAACTCCAGGAAAAAGGAAAAATTTCACAAAAGTGTGGAAATTGGCCCAACCAAATATGAAATCGTGAAAATGAAAACGAGAAATTTGTAAATCTAAATTTTCTTTGCAGCGCCCTTGTGAGGTATCCAAATGGAGATGTGGTCCATTACTCGTGTCAAGAGAAGAAGCTGATAAATTAAATGATAAATTCCAAATAAAAACATCTACTATGACTAGTATTCCTTGGAAAGAATAGAAATATTTAGAAATGTATGTATTTATGTTAGATTTTGAAAAATAAGATTTATGCGATTTAAAAAAATATGCTGACATAATTTCTGAAACGTGATTACTGATTATATTTAACCAAATATAATATACTTTTTTTTTTGTAAATAAATAAATACCCAATATTAACTATGTTTTTTTTACTCCTTTGTCTTACATTTTTTAATTTCAGTAAATTTTGAGAATGTGTACTATATACATAGTTAGGAATCTTTGACTAGCTCTTGTTGTTCTCGGGCTAAGCTCTATGGGAGCTGACCCACTATCAGAATTGCCATTGGAAAACAAAAAACCATCGCACTTTAAATATCAGCACAAGCCTTGAGTTCCTTAAAACCACTATTAAACCACATTTTTTTTTCAGTTGCAATTTTTCTTCTCAAAATCTGCCATTAGATAAAAAAAATGTGGCAAATACTGAAATACACAATGACTAATATTTTGTAAATAATAATAGTAAAGGTGCATTTTTAATTATAAAACAAAAGTCTGTAGGTCGAGTAAATGAAAGTATTTTTCTTAAATGTCGGTTACTAGTGGTCACTTAAAATAACGTTTTTCTTTTCTTTTTGCCACGTTTCGAAAAATAAAGGCAATTTCAAAGAGTTCCGCCAAATTTTCTACAATTTCCGATTGGTTGCAAATAGAAATTACCGATAGAGGTCCGCCATGGGTACCCAGTATGTTTGTAAACTGGGTTTTTCTATAATTTCATCAAAATACTATTGTCTGAAGTAAATATTATTTGTTACAAATAGATCCTTGTTTTCTGTGTTAACTTATGTTGATATTCGCCAGGTATATATTCAATGTGTATTGTGTGATTTTTTTTAACTGACATTAGGGGTTAGGTTACCCTTGCGGCCTTATTGCAAACGTAAGATACGAATGTGATTTTCGTAAATTAAATTTTCAGAATGTAGTTGCGATGTTTTTGTATGTTTGTAACGCATATACAAGGTGAGTCCATTTAAAGAAATTTCTTCTGTTTACATGACCTACAAAGTCATTATGAAGGGATGAAACTTTCTCAAATGTCATCTGTTAACAACTTGTCAGATTCCTCCAAAAATTAAGTATATGTCATTCATTTTTCAAAATATACGCAAATATTTTCCATTTTAATTTTCCAAGTCTGCACTTTGTTAAGAAGCAGATTTTAATTCAGTGTTGTTGTCAAATGTGTCACTTGTAAACAAATTGTACATCTATATATTTTTGTTTTAGAAGAAATCAAATAATTTGAATAATAGCACGATTGATATAAAAATGTGGGAAGCTGAATGTTGATACTGAGTGGCATTAACGATGCAAAGCCTGGAGGCAGCATGTGAGGAGGGTGAAGTATGTATATATATATATATTGACATGACACGTATTTTTGACATTATCGCTGTTAGTCCTACATTCAACATACAAAAATACAGTAAATGTGATTGTTTTGCACTCGGAAGTATTCTGATTTTTTGGTCCTACCTATTTTGTTTCACAACACAATAGGTAGTTTTTCATGTCGACAAGTATATAAATTTTTTTTAATTGACTCAAGTGAGGCATATTTTGGTAATAATTGAATGTTTTTCTATCATTTTGCCATTCGAATTTGTCATAAGGAGAAATCAAATTTGTTCAAAAATTCGTTGACCTTTGAATTGTACAGGTTTTGAAAATATTAATTTTGGCCAAATTTTCTGGGTACTAAAATTTTGTGTTGTTTGTGTGTTTTTTTAAAGAACAGTTGTATATTTTAATATATTTTTTTATGAAACTCGTACAGCTTGATTCATATTTTTTAATAAAAAGTCTGTCATTTACGATTGGTGAAATTTTACTATTCATTTATTTATTACTATTTCAGTTATTGAAATAAATTTGAAATCTTTAAAAAATAAGTATTTATTCCCTTGTGTAAAATTCTTTAAAAAATTGTGGTTTTATTTTTCTATGTCAACTTGAACATAAAAATTGATGTAGAAGACATGCAAGACATTTTTTCTATGTAACTCCCATAACAGCCCAATTTATAGCTGAATACAAAAAATTGCTCTTGCTTTATTATTTCTTTATCATAATGAACCATTTAATTACACTTACCTTCAGGCGATATTGGATAATATTAATTGAAATTTTACCAAGGCATATCTGTTTTAGCGTTCAATAAAAAGGTTTAAATCAAGTCGTTCCTCCTTACCTCTGCTACGCCCCCAGGAACCATCAACGTCACCACTGACATCACCCAAGATCTTAGGGAACCCCCCTCCAAAACCTACCATTGATATCTTCGCTAAACTATTGGAATTATATGAAGAAAGCGTTAGAGAGACTGAAAATTCGGTAAATATTATTCTTTTAATTGATTTGTTTTTAATTTTTTTAGTTTTTTGACTAATTTTTAAAATTTATTTATTGCTAACTGCCACATGTAACACAGTAGTAGTAATCTCGATAGTTTTTCAAACAATTCTTTATTTTCGTGCTTAAGGTATCTGTCAGTTCCAAGTTCTGTCACAAATTAAATTAAATTGGTTTTTCAGAAATTTTCTTCGCCATTTCTTTTCACATAAAAATTGCGAATTTTGATCTAAACCTTTACGTTTGTCATGACAAACCTGTAATGTGGCGACTCCATTATTACTACACAAATGTTAAGTTGTAAATGTCAAAATTTGACATTTCATTTTGACACTGTGTCACATCTATTTTAAAACTTTAAAATACAAAACAAAGAGGTTCTATCCCATTTTTTTTGGAAAACTGTTTTTTACTTTTTTTTTATTCATAATGGGGAACACAGTATCACATTAGTAAATTTAAGAAATGTCAATTTAATGATTTAAACAATTGCCACTCTGTCAAATGTGTCGCATTGTGCTGCCACAAGTGGACAAACACAGGGACAAATCTACGGAACAGACGAGAAATAGCATAAGAGATGATTTAAAAGACTATGGTGGCTACTAATGTTTTATTTATCCAAGATTTAGGTTAGGTTACATTAAATAGATCTCACTTTTTTCGTACTAATTATATACTTAAATAGCAAATTTGAATTTAGTGGACCAACTGAAGACTTGTCTTGATGGTGTTTGCATTTATATAAGTTTTAAAACAACTACAAAAAAAAATATTTTTGGTGCATTCGTGTCTTTTTTTATTAAAAATGTGTACTTAGTTTTGGTTGTTCCAAGACAAATAAAAATGTACTTAATTTTTTGCCCTTGGTAAAAGTTGGCAACCCTGCACTTAATAAATAAAACACTGCTAAAAAATTGTTTAAAGTTTATTAAAAATATGAAATCCAAACACATGCGACGTGGATTTTTATCGACACCTTTTTTAGGGAGGTGTGAAGTATAAGTCTCTACTGTTAGAGAAACTCATAGCGAGAGAAAGACTGAACACGCTAATTCTAAACCTGTACCCCGGCAACAAAGGTTACTCCTTGGCTTTTAGAACGCTATCTCGTACCGATCCCAACTACACTGAAGATACTGCCAACATGATAGAAACCAAACAGTGGCCTTACGAGGAGGACGACCTTCTTCGATACATTGACAATGAAGAGCTTCCCCCTTTCATCATAGACTTACTAGAACCTCAGTTTAGTTACCTGTTCTACAACGGTTGCATCATCGCGGAAGTCAGGGACTACCGTCAGGCTTACCCTCATTTTAAGTGTGATATTCATCATGTTCTACTCAGGCCTACACTTAAGGTAATAACCACTCAAAATATTTTCGTTGCGCGTTAAGTTGTAAGTCCTAATTAGGTAGTTCATCTTATAATTTTCGAGTAATTTTAAATACGGTATAGTTCATTCATTTCGCTGACATCATTGTTAGTACCTTGTAGTAATTTGTTTGCAACAAAATAAATAGGACGAATCTGCAGTTTTAAATTTTGGGCTCGGTGAAAATTAAAAATAAAGTTATTAAAACATACTAGTGTTTATCGAAAAATAGAATTGAAACAATTTACAAATGACAATCTTTATTTTTTCCGATAATGTCAGGTTTCACAACATTGCAAATATTTATTTTTACGTGTTTCAAAAAATTATTTTGCGAAAACTATCGAACCGATTTTAATGAAATTTGGTGATTTGTTTTATTATACTCCAAAGTTTTTTTTGCCGAAATTAGAATGCCCTTGGAGCAATTAAAATATTTTTAAAAAATGATCCAAAAAACTTGATTATTTTGCCTTTTCTTCATCGATTATTGCTATTTTGCAACATCGGTAATAAATTTAAACATTTTTAACTTACAGTATCCTGTGTAAAATTCAATTCTAAAGCTTTTTTCCATTTCAATATTCTTCCAAAATGCATAGGTTCCAAGATTTAAGTAAAAAACTCAGATAAAATAAGTATTTTTTCAAATTTTTTTAAACATTTTTGCAATTTTGAAAATGTTCCGGACCTCGCCCAGATCTAGGGATCTACACTTTTATTATGTGGGTTGTACTGAAGGTATCCCAGCAAAAATTAGCTTGCCCCGTCTTAATCCAAGAAGTGGGATATTTCGACAGATCCGCCCTGGTCTATAAATAAATGCCTGTTTTTAAGGCGTTTTTATTAAAAAATATTTGACCTTCATTTATTTTTAGCTTATATTCAATTTTTTTGTTTGTTTTTTAGAGTCTTTTGGCGGATATAAACAATATAGTAGAGGAGAAACCTGACTGGAGTAACGAAGAAAAGGACCAATTGGAAAGTCAAATATTGATGGCGAACGAACCTGCTTTATGCCTAGACCCCGACAACTCCATATGCGAACAGGTGGCGGAAATCAACAATCGCAGGCACACGTGGAACACTCACAAGTTCAGACGGATGGCTAGGAAGTTTTCGCAGGTGACGGTGAACCGCAAAAGGAAACTGGACCAGTTCACCCACCGCCCGGGCCTGGAACTGTACGATTTCATCTGCCAGTCCAGAGCGAAATCGAAGATGGGACCGTCGCAGAACTTACCCTCGAAATATCCGAAGAAGACTCAAGAAGACCTGAAACCGGTGCCGGTACCGAACCTAGACTCGCCCCTGCTGAGTCCCCCGTCCCAGGGGGTCGTCATAAGGGAATTCAAGAGCTACAAGAGCCCGAAGGAGACGAGCGACTGTTCCCCGCAGTTCATAGAGGAGTACGTGCTGGAAACGGACATGCCCTCGAAGGAGAAGGGGAAGTCGCGCATATACCATATCAAATTGTCGATATTCCAGAGACCGTCGAATTCCGAGTACCTCGGAGAATTATATCTGGACAGGGACCATAAAAAGGACGAACAGAATGGTGTGGCGTGCAGATTTTCTCTGGGATCTCGCGCCAATGCCAATCGGTACATACATCAGTTCACTGAGATTTTCACGGAGAGCGGCAGGAAGTCCGTGAGGATACGTTACGGGCTGAGCCCGGGATATATAGAGCAGGTGGCCATCGCCCAGGCGCAGGCGCAAAAAGTACAAACGCAGGCAACTACCCAGGCGAACCTAGCGCAGCAACATTTGAACCAGCTGAGTCATTCCTTACAGAGTCAGGGTTGCAGCACGCCCGTCGTTAACGGAAGCAACGGGGCGAGCGTGAGCCCACAGAGCCAGGCCGTTCAGAACGCGACTGCTGTTCCTATTCTGGTAAGTTCTGTGTACACTAGAATCTGTGTTTGAATTTCATTAACCCTTTCATGACGAATAAACGACGATAGTCGTTCAGAATAGTGCACACACACGGAATATAAAAATTAGGACATAAAAATACCCAGTACGGCAGCTGTAACAGTCGATTTCTTTTGTGCATTTGCAAAATAATGTGTATTGTTTATTAGTGGTTTCGTTGAAATATTACACTCGTTGAATATAAAATTTGAGATATAAAAATAGCAGTGGCGTAACCAGAATGTACAGTTGGGGGGGGGGGCTAAAAATTTTTTCTAGCAAAAAAATCGAGTTAAACAAAATTTCAGGGTTTTTAGGTTATGTTTTCAGTTTTGACTTATTTGATTTATACTTTTTATTAAAGAAAATAATTTTGTGATAATTTTTTCACTATAATGATTTGATTTGACAATCTCTCCAGTTTTGAGGTTAGGTTCGTGGGTTAAGGTGTCAGATTTGGGTACAGTGTGGCACAAGGTGTGCGCTCTCGGAAAAATTGTCGATCGAATCTCTGTACAATAGATATTTTTCATTTTTTTTTATTAATCCTTAATTTAGTGAGTTTAAACTTAGTTAATGTTAGTTTTGAGGTTAGGTTTTTTAGATTCAAATTCATGGTTTGGGTATAACATGTTACGTAGGGTTCTATTGAATCTATTTCGTACCTTTGGCATGTAAAAAAACTTTTTTCCAATGTAAATTTCGTTTAAGGCTTTTAGGTTAGAATTAATAATTTTGAGGTTAGGTTTTTGAAGAAAAAACATCAGATATATCATCAAGGGTCATAATAATCAATTTTATTGATAGCAGATACTTTTTAAATATTTTTTTCTACAACTGAACATCATATTTAAAAATTTTGCCTAGTAGAAGAAAATTGTGGTACGCCACTGGTAAAAACATTTTTTTAATATTTTTTTATGATGCACATTTTATTTTCAACAAAATTACCCTCTTGCGTTTTATTTGTAGCTCTTGGAATTTTTCCATAAATAAAACTTTTGTAAATACCATTTTTTCCCGCTAACATAGGAAAATAAAAATAACAAAAACATTATGAAGTATGCTTTTACTCAGCCACCGAACATGGTCAAATAGCATTGAAAAAAGAGTTTTGCATTGGAAATGATATTAAAAAACTAAATTTTTTTAAATTTTTTAGTGCCCTGTACCTTGAAAAAGAAAACCCGTAGAGCATAACTTTATACGACAAATATTTTTTTTTTTTTAAATAAAAAATCCGCCATTTCATTTATTCCCAACCTTTATGTTACACCCTGTACAATAAAATTTCCAGGGTTCTTGTTTTTTCAATATCACCGCAAACAAGGCTGAAATGAAACTAAAGCGGATTTCCAAAATTTAGTTTTTTTCAAATACATATTTCGAAAACTAATCATGTAGGCCTTGATTTTTTAGAGGTGTAATGTTGGTCCCCTCAATATGCAATGCAACTTTACCCCCCTTTAAACTAGTTTGTATCTCTTACCATTTCCGAGATCCCTGTAGTGAGAACCAAAGAGTGACCGCAAAGAACCTGTGATTTTTGCCCGTTTTTTTCAGAATTTTCAGTCGCAAATTACTTGCAAAAAACTGAAATGAGCATAGCTATTAGTATTTTTAAAATTTTAAAAATCACCCCTACTTAGGGGTTGAAAAAATGCCAAAAATAAAGAATTTGAATATTACCAATTGATATAAAAACTATTAGCATGTGAATTATCTAAATATATTTAATTTTTTGGAATTTTTACAATTATGTCTGATATTCTCTATTTTTGGGGATGATTCCACCCCTCAGCGCGCTTAAGGGTGGATTTTCTAATTCAACATGCTTATTTCAGTCATGAGAATCTTTCTTTGTGTCAAGAATTATCCGATAGAAAAATTCACATGCCAATAGTTTTTATATTTATTGGTAATATTCAATTCTTCATTTTGAGCGTCTTTTCAACCCCTAAATAGGGGTGATTTTTGAAAATTTTCAAAAAACTAAACGCTATGCTCATCTTGATTTTTTACGAGGAGTAATTTGAGACCAAAAACATATTTTTATCTATTTCCTTTATTTCTCGTCGAATTGTGAAAAAACGGGCGATTTTTGCGGGCACTGTAACACGTAATAAGGATAAATGATATTTTAGCAGACCCATCTGCAAGGAGCCGCACAGGTTAAAGCTACTTCGCAGACGATTTCAAATCAAGAATTAGCAATAAACGCCTTGGCTACGAAGCTGATGAACTCTGCGCAGCAATTTCAAGCGGCCGGTAAGTCTTCCTAAGTATGATTTGTACGCTAATTCATAGCGCTGACAATTTCCAGCTTAATACATTAATTGCAGGTACTTACTGCTATTAAAACATTGTTAAAAATATGTGGTAGTAAAGAAAACAAAAAAATATTTTTCAATACGTAGAGGTTGTGCTGTTTTACACAAAAAAACTTATTTCCTCCCTAGAATTCGGTATTGGGCATTTAAACCGATATGTTTTCCAGCTAACGCGAAGCAGCAGCAGCAACAGCAGCAGCAGAAGTTGGTCAGCAGTAACGCTGCTATAATAAACCTGTTGAATAGTTCTCCCGCGAGTAACATGAACAACGACGCTAGTGCGGCAGTGGTGAACGCTATCAACAGCTCGTCCCTGTTGCCGCATCAGATTCAAACTATCAATCAAAAGATTCTGGCTCGTAAAATGACGATTCCGAGTGTAGCTAACGCGCGAGTGCTAAACCACAGTAACCTGATCACGTTGAACAACAACCGGATGAATCTGCAAGAACTGAACACCCAACTGAGTCAGCAGCAACCTCAGACTATAACCCTGACGTCGGTGAATAGTGGAAATTACACAAACTTCACTACCGTTCCGATTAAACAGCACCAAAGGATTTTAAGTAATAGTTCTAGTGATAGCACCAAATCGGCAGTGTTGTCTGCCTTACTGGTGGGTACGCCCGCCGCGGACAGACCCGACATCGTAGGGGCCAACACGAACTCTTTACTCACAGAGAAATTAGGCGGCGCTTCCAGCAGCACCGCCCAAAGCACCACGCATTTCATCCAGAACCCTAAAAGCGGTCAGTCCTTCATGGTGCAATCGCCCAAGGCCAACACAGTGCTTAGTCCAATGTCCAGTCCTCCGCCTCAAAACGCCAATACCATTAATGTTCAAAGTCTCAATTTTGCTCAGTTGCAAAGCATCCAAGGCTTGCCGAACCTGCAAGTGCAGCTGCCGGGTTTCGCGCAGCCCATCTCCCTGAACGTCTCCACCACGGGAAATATTCAGGGGCATCCGACGAGTCTCATTGTGACGCTTCCAGTTACTACAGCTACGCAGACTTCGAATACCATCACGCAGGCCGCCGTCAACACTACCGTGGCCGGGGTCAACAATTTGGGTGTGGGGGCGCAAACCGTCGTTCTGGCCAACGCGGGTACTTCAAATTTAGGTGAGTTCATTGTTACAGTTTGAAATGTATTTATACGCTAATGCAAAAAATTAAAGGGTCGAAGGAATTTCTGAAATTTTTCCGTGATTTTTGACAGACTGTATTTAGGGTGAAAAACGGTTGTATCGGGAATTAAAAGCTCTAAGATTCTAGTTTTTAGATCTTTCGGTCGAAATTTTTTAGGAGCTACGGTGATTATGCAATTCTAAGAAATATCGCGACAAAAAAATTTTGCAAGTCCACCGACTTGGAAAATTTTTTTTCAGCTAAGCTTCAATTTCCTTTTTTTTTTAATTTTAATACGACCATTTTTCATCGAAATATCGGATTTTTAATGGAAAAGGATCCTTTTGTCTTCGATCATTGATATCTCGGCGACAAATGGTCGTACAGAAAATTGAAGGGCAGTTTTGAAAACTGGAACAAATTTCCTATAACATACTATCGCAACTTTTCGAAAAAAAAATTTTGTTTCATCTTTCACACAAATTTAAAAAAACTGGAAAATAAGGGTAATTTATGGTTTTTTAGAAATTTGACGGCTAAATTAGAAATATTCACGAAACGACAGTCAAACTTTTGAAAAAAATTAAAGGGTCACGTTTTTGAGCTTAAACAAATCATGATTAAAATTTTTTTTGAGGTTTTCTCACATTTTTACCGCAAATAACGTTTAAATTGATGAAAAAAAAATTTTTTTTTTTGTTTTTTTGGAAAACCTTCCAGACATTGAAGAAAACAAAATCCAAATGTTTCCAGCACACTTCTGTTCATCAACTTTTAATTAAATTAAAATTAAAGTTGACTCAAACCAGATTTCGACCCTGTTTCATAGCGTTTTTTAAGACAAATTTGGAAATTTCTAATTAAATTTTGTGCAGTCTGTAATCACTTAAAAACAGTTTTTTCAAAACTACCCTTTTTCTTCTTTGAAAAAAATTTTCGAAAATTTTTTTTTTCAATTGACGTTATTTGCAGCAAAAATGTGAAAAAACCGCAAAAAAATTTTTTTACATTTTAATCATGATTATGAAGTGTTTAAGCTCAAAAAACGTGACACTTTAATTTTTTTCAAAAGTTTGTCTGTTTGAAACAAAGAAACCGTTCTTTAGATTAAGATAAAACTTCACAGGGTTCTTCTGGGTATATCGAACTGTAAAAGTCATGCTTAAACATTAGTCATTTCGTAAATATCTCTAATTTAGCCGTCAATTTTCTAAAAAACCATAAATTACCCTTTTTTTTCCTGTTTTTTAAAATTTGTGTAAAAAACGAAAAAAAATTTTTTTGCGAAAAGTTGTGTCAGCATGTTATAGGAAATTTATTCCATTTTTCGAAACTGTCCTTCTGTATTCTCTGTACAACCATTTGTCGCCAAGATATCGATGATTGAAGACAAAAGGATCCTTTTCCATTAAAAGTCCTATATTTCGATGAAAAATGGTCGTATCGAAATTTAAAGAAAAGGAAATTGAAGCTGAATAAACAAGCTATTTGGTCCATGCAATGGCTTAGTTGAAAAAAATTTTTCCAAGTCCGTGGAGACAAAAAGAAAAAAAAAATTTGCAAAACTTTTTGTTGCGCTGTTTCTTAGAATTGCATGAAAGCCGTAGCTTGTAAAAAATTTCAACCGAAAGATTTAAAAACTAGAATCTTAGAAATTTAAAATGCTTTTTTTTTTTAATTCCCGATACGACCATTTTTCACCTAAATACAGTCTGTCAAAAATCATGAAAAAAATTTCGGAAATTCTTTTTACTCTTTAATTTTTTGCATTAGTTTAATTATTATGACTTTAAAAATTTCATAGCCATTTTTTGATAAATGTGAACAATATACAGGGTGTTTTCTAAGTCCATGTCATAACCACGGAATATCTAGAAGCTAGTTTTACGGATGCGAAATTCACTGATTTTCGTCAAAATTTCACAGTTTTTGATGTAAATTGTTTAATCGCTGGAATATCTTGACCTTTTGCAAATTTTGCAGAACAGTTGAAATACAAGGGGGGAACCAAAATAACACATTTTCATTTTAATTGACAAAATCGGTCGGTCGTCAACTATCTGTCTCCAGTAATTTCAATTGATTTGCACGTAGTTAATAACCGACAACCTTAATTGATAAGTGAAATGCACACGACGGACCAATGACATATCTGTGAAAAAACAAATTAAATTGTCTACAATACACCACCATAAACACCGACGGATAGGAATTAATTACTCAACGTCCGCACGATAAAGGCAACAGTATACTAACGTGACGGGAACATGAAAAGCATTCTAAGCCAGCGGCTCGCGCATGTGCGCGGTTGACCCGCTTGGCACGTCATTGAATTGCGGCTCTCCCTGACAGCCCTAGTTATAAACCCTAGATCGTTAAATTAAAAAGAGATTTATCTATTTTTGAATAATATACCTTTTTTGTTAGAAATAACATTCTTTCAAAGTACTCAGTGGCGTCATAGTTCTGGGGTTGTGAGAAGTGTATTTTTTCCCCCTGTACCTGAAAAATGAGTGACTTTATTCATTAAAGCTTCTCCGGAAACTATGATATGGACATAAAAGACACCGCGTGTCAGATTAACGGAAAAGTTCATGATTTATAATCGTTAACGAGACGTTTCTCATTGTCAGCTCAATTAGTGACCTCCGGTGTGAAAGCGTTACCCCAACAAGGTATTAGGACGTCTACTTCTGTTCCCCAAACGGTGTCGATAGCTCAGGGGGGCCAACCGTTTCAGTTGATCACTCCCCTGCAAAGGTCGAGGACACAACAAACTTCGGGCACCCAACAAACTCTGGCTTCCAGGACCCTCCAAAGAACACCGATAACGATTAAGATGGCTGCTCCCAACGCAAGTCAGTTGACAGATTTGCAGTTAAATTTTGATAATTGACAGTCATTTTTACTAGTACATCTAGAGAAGTAAAGTCGAGAACTCAGAATAGTAATGCATGCTTAATTTGCTAAGTTAACTCTATTTCAACTCTAAATTAACTGTGATATAACTTAAAAAGCTTTTAAAAATTAACGTTTTATCTCAGATGTGTCGCAAGTTTCGCTGCCCTCGAGCTCCGCAATAGCAAGCCAACTGCAGAAACAAGCCCAGCTGCAACACTATCAGCAAATCTGCTTAAACCAACCTAGCATTTTGGGGAAAATTAGGAGGAGGTCGAACGCGTCCGAGCCGCAGTAATAGTAGTAATCTATTTTTTTATTTTGTACATTACATTATGAACTAGTCTCATTTCTGTATAATTTTTTTTCCGGAATACTTCAAATGCAAAGTACTTCACTAACACAAAACTGCCACGCATTGAAGTGTTTTCGTATGTGGACATCAAATTTCGAGACAAAATGCTTAAGAGGGCACAAGGCGCTATTCCAGTGCTGACTATCGGGGTCTCATAAGTAAAAACAATTGGCCAAAATGACGGGAACACAGTCTAAGAGGGCTCTATAGCAAATGGGCAACTAGCGATACATTTTTATAGATTTTATTACGCAGTTTGTCTAAATATGAATTAATGCACAAACAACAGACTTTCCTCCATTCCAACGCAGGTTTTCTATAAAATGGAGTTAGTTTGAAACTCAAATTACTTTTCGTTGTAAAGAAATTTGTAATTTGCATCGTAAATTACAAATTTCTTTACACCAAAAAGTTATTTAAGTTTCAAACTAAGTCCATTTTATAGAAAATCTGCGTTGGAATGGAGGAAAGTCTGTTGTTTGTGCATTAATTCATATTTAGACAAACTGTGTAATAAAATCTAGAAAAATGTATTGCTGGTTGCCTATAGAGCCCCTCTTAACCAATAAACAACTGTAGAACAGTTGCGTGCGTTATTAATTTGTTTAACAGTCCAATAGGTGGCGCTTCAGTTTGACATTTGACAGAGTTAGTTTGAAGTCACTTGCCATAAATTTTTAATCGTCCCAACCTCTTTATTTTATGGAATCCCGATCGTAAGCATGCGATAGTTTCCCCGTGTACTGATATTTTGTAGGTAGTACTAAAACATATTAATAATCTTTACTTTCGAGTTGGTTGAAAGTATAATATGATTAAGAAATTTTTTTAACCTTGATTTTGTGTCGAAGTTTGTTTGGAGAAGGAGATAGTTTGATCTCAGATACTGCGTTACATTGCACAATTACGGTTGTTCCTATATGTATATTTTGGTGCCAAAATGGACCTATTAGTGTTTATCCGAATAAGCAAAAACTACAGCTATGGCTTTGGGTGCCTCCGTTTCTTACATTTGTCGTCTTTCTTTTGAAACAGTACAAATCAATTTAAATCTCTAATTATTGTATTTATATGAAACAAAAAGCAAAGCCAGTACGGACCAGCAGTTGTGTGTATTTGTAATGGAAGCAGTCGTAGATAAATCATATATTTTTTGTTATGGTGTATATATTAGGCAAGTGTATACTTTTTATTATTTATTTTTTATTATAACCGATCAACGAACAATATTTTCTGTGAAAATATCATCACATAAGTGCATTAGCAATATTTTTTTAAATTAGATTGTTTTCGATGTTTTGTAGATATGGGGGCCCGGGGAGGCAGAAACGTCCAAATTTTGTGATAGGTACGGGGTTTTTGTTGCCTTTCGGGCCCGGCTAGTTTTATCGTTTTGTAATTAATTTATATATTTGTACATATTTTTAAGTTGTTGCGTCTACCTGTTTTTATTTATTACCTTGCTCATTGATGGGTACATTTGTACGCCGGGGTAAGCCAGAATACACGGTCCTTATGAACATTTCGTTTATGAACGAGAATATGATAAATTATCACTTACCGTTTTGGTGTTTGCAGAGTCTGTGATAAACGAATGAGCCGATTTTCAGAAATTTGTACAATATAAGGTAAGTTTCAACGCAAAATGACGTAAAGGATATTTCATTTTGTATAGTTACATCATATTAGTTCTTTTTCCTTACATTTACTGATATTTGGTGAAGTTTATTTATACAGGGTGTCCCGAAATTAATGCAACAAAATTTTGTACGAGATTCGTAAGACAAAGAATGACCGAAAAAATCTCCCGTCTTTTAACAATTCGCAGAGAACTAAAGAAAATATATAAAAATATGTATTTGGTCTCAAATTACTCGTAAAAAATTAAAATGAGCATAGGTTTTAGTTTTTTGAAAATTTTCAAAAATCACCCCTATTTAGAGGTTGAAAAGACACTCAAAATGAAGAATTGAATATTACCAATAAATATAAAAAGTATTAGCATGTGAATTTTTCTATCGAATGATTCTTGATACAAAGATTTATTTTCATGCCTGAAATAAGCATGTTGAATTAGAAAATCCACCCTTAAGCGTGCTCAGGGGGTGGAATCATCCCCAAAAATAGAGAATATCAGAAATAATTGTAAAAATTCCAAAAAAAATATATTAAGATAATTCACATGCTAATAGTTTTTATATCAATTGGTAATATTCAAATTCTTCATTTTTGGAATATTTTCAACCCCTAAGTAGGGGTGAATCTTAAAATTTTCAAAATACTAAAAGCTATACTCATTCAGTTTTTTATGACGAGTAATTTGCGACCAAAAACATATTTTTATGTATTCTTTTTAATACTCTGCGAATTGTGAAAAAAACGGGCGAAAATCGCAGGTTTTTTGCGGTCACTCTTTAGTGGATGCATATTATTTATTTTTGCCAAGTAGCCCCCTCTTTCAGAATTACAACCACCTGAAATTTGCCCCTAAGAATTTTTTTTTTTTATATCGGAACTGTTGTACGAGAATCACTAAATTTGGTACATAGAGGTTTTATGATGTGTAATCTGATGGTGCTAAGCTTTTTTCGGGGAACCCCCTTGTCTTTGGAGCCAAACAAATTTGGTCGCATATATAAATTTCTTAAAAATTGTTAGTCTGCTAAAGCCATTAAATTTAGAAACTTTTTTGTCTCTTGATATTTTTTTCATAAAGCGCAATGTTTTCGAGAAGAATGCATATCGTGATTTGCCATTTTCCTCAAAAACATTGCGTTTTACGAAAAAAGTGTTGAAACAAAGAAGTTTCTAAATTCAATGGCTTTTTAGCTAACTAATAATTTTTAAGAGATTCAAATTTGCGACCAAATTTCTTTGGCTCCAAAGACAAGGGGCTCACGAAAAACTGTCTTAAGGGGGTTCCCCGCCAAAAAGCATAGTACTATGAGATTCTACATTAATTTCGGGCCACCCTGTATTATATACGTGTTTTTAGTTTAATTTTCTTATCAACAAATTTTAAGAGCAGCTATATAAAATATTTTTAACATTAAATGTAGCGAGCCCATTTTTTGGGAGCGAGACTCGATCTTGGAATATTGGAATAAAAAATTTTTGTGCTTGCATCCCGGGACGTCAGGATCATAAAATTTAACTAAAAAATCGATAATACTCGCTCCTTGTCAAAAAATATTCTATAAACTTATTTTTTAATTACATACATCCAAGTAAATGTTCTGTGGGACTAAAAAATGCCCTTATCGTATATAAGTCGTCCAAGTGTTAGCGTCGTGAGTTAAATGTAAGTAACTAGTTTTTATTTGCAAATAAAACTCAATCTTAGGATAAAAAATTTTGATCTCTGGATCCCAGATCCTGAAATGTAACAAAAAATTACGATATTTGCTCTGGTTGAAAAACATGCTACAAACTTATTTTTCAATTTCATAAATCCAAAAGAAAAGGAAAATTTTGTTATAAATAATGAACAACTTAGTGTTGGTGTCATCAGTTAAACGTAAGTAACCAGATTTTAGTTGCAAACGAGACTTAATCTCTGGATTTCGGGATAAAAAAATTTAATTCTTACATCCCAGAATGATGTCACAATACTGAAATTTAACTAAAAAACGATAATTTGTCAAAAAAAAAACAAACTGTTTTCAGTCGCATAAATTCGAATAAAAATTGTATTGGACGAAGAGATTCTTATCGTTAAAAAACTGTCCAAGTGCTCGTGTCACTGTCAGTTAAATGTAAATAACCAGATTTTAGTTGCAAATAATCCTGAAGAAAAATCTCTACGTTTGCGTTCCTAAGTTGTTGGTTATTTACACTTGGTTTGACATTATACAGTGTATCCAAAATAAGAATGGGATAGCTTTAGGATCTAGGAAATGGTAAGAGATACGGGGTGGCTCAAATTAGAAAAAAGTTGTGTTTTTTTATACCTAACAATATGCTATTTAGAAGGTTTTAACATTTCGGGTAGTTTCGGAGATATCCGGAAAAACATGAAATTTTGCAAAATCGTTTTATTTTTTTTCTGGCTTTATTGAAATAAATTGCATATTTACACTGCCACATTTTTCGCTCTATTCAATGGCGTCAACATTTTTGCAATACGACGTTTCGTCTTTGAGGGGTCATCATCAGTTTTTTTTTTAAATACGTGGCTGCTATTTTTATGACAAAATCTAGGCTTTTTTAATTCTGAATTAGATGATATTACTTTTGTAATCGCTTAAAAAGGTTTTTAGCTTATTTTAGCAACCATTTAAAATTTTTCCGCACAGTTTTAATCAGTAAAATCAGTAAAAAAGTTATACCCAATAAAAAAATAATACGAATTTATGAAACTTTATTATTTCTAATTAGTATTGTGCTAATGGTAGAAAAAGAATTGTTGGATATTTTGTGCTGTATCGACTTATTTAAAAAAATTAACCTGATGATGGCCCCTCGAAAACGAAACGTCGGATTGCAAAAATGTTGACGCCGCTGGATAGAGCGAAAAAAGTGGCAATGTAAATGTGCAATTTATCTTAAAATTTGTTTTCAAATAAAGCCAGAAAAAAAATAAAACGATTTTGGAAAATTTCGGGTTTCTCCAGATATCTCAGGAACTACCTGGAATTTTAAAACTTTCTAAACTGCATATTGTTAGGTATAAAAAAACACAACATTTTTTAATATCAGCCACCCCGTATCTCTTACCATTTCCTAGATCCTAATGCTATCACATCCTTTGTTTTGGACTTCGGGATTTTTAGTCAATCTCTGTATGTGAAATCAATAAAATGTTCCAGATCCTGGGATAGAACTGCCTATTCTAGACTCAATCTTGTGATCAAAAACTTTGATTCTAAGATTAGGTCCCGACCCCAAAATCTAACTGAAGAACAGTAATACTTACTCTTTGTCAAATACATTCTGTAAACTCATTTTCCAATTATCTAAATTCAAATCTATGATTTCAGAGTATTTAGAATAAATCCTAAGATTTCGGTATTAAAAATTTTGATACTTATGCCTTGTCTACAAAACGTTATATTAAGACCAAATAATGTTATCATAAATATAGCATCCAAGTGTTGCGATAAACGAAATCAGATTTTACTTTCAAATGTTCCTGCTATAGAAAAATCTCTGTTAGCACTCGAGGCAATAAAAAAATCAAAATTTTGGTATTAATTCTGGATACTAAGGATTAATGGCAGGATTTGAAACCTATGCAATATCTGGGTTTACAGGATTTGACCGTCTAGTTAAAAATATAATTTAATCATTTATAAAATCTTACGTGCTTGGTATAACAGCAAAAATGTCAAATCATCCTCTTCATCGATAAATATTTTAAAATTTTGTCTTAATGTTATACGTTAAATAACAAATAACATTAATTTGTCCATTAAAAAGTGAAATTTTAATGCCATTTTTGACTACTTATACATTTAATTTCTGGCTTACTCCCGGTATGAAATTTTGGATTAGATGTAAACTGAAACATACCTTACTTTGATATTTGCACATTGGATTTGAGAAAAATAATCAAAACGACAAAAAAACACTCGTAGTTAAATTCGAAGGCTTCAACTTGATGCATTATAGAAGTTATTGCGTTAACAGCTGCAGCAAAGCAAAGTTTAATCTAATCTGGAAAATGTGATATGGAACAGGGCAAAGGTTTGTCTTTGGTTTACGTTACGACGAAAATCAGTATAGTAAATATGTATTTATTGTTAATTCCGGAACATGGAATATTGTAAAGTATGTTACATGCTTTCTATTATTTTTATTAATCGGTTCATGTAAAATATTGTAAAGTATGTTACATGCTTTCTATTATTTTTATTAATCGGTTCGTGTACTGTGGTTCCGTTTTTTCTTTTTTTTTGGACGAATGTAAAAATTGTTTGGTAAGTGAATATCACAACTTTTTGCCTTACCAATTTTTTGAAGGAAGATTTTCTTATAATTACTGGAGATCCGAGTGTTTGGCTAATAAAACTGTTCAGCTTTGCTTTCTAAGCAGTTTTTATGACATTGCGTAATACGGTTTTGTTACGATTTATAAAGGTTACGAGTTGCGTCGTTTTGAGATCTTACTGTAAGTGCCAATTTAAAAAAAATATTTTGTGTGATATAGCAAGAGCTAAATAAAGTTAATTTAGTGGACAGATTTCGATAATTTGCCTTTTTTGAGTACGTACTACATTAGGGTGGCCCAAAAAAAACAAATATTTTTTTTCGTGTTGTGAAAATATGTTAGTTTATCATGTTTTAAGAGCCCTTAAAAAATTAGCTCAAAAAAAATTTTTTAGAGGTTGCTCAAGATTTTTAAAAATTTCCAAAATCGTCAAAAATTGAATTTAAAAAAAAAAATTTTTTCTCGTTATTTTATCATTTTCTAGGTTGAAAAAAATCTCGATTCTGAAAATTTCAAATCGATATTTCTAAAGGTCACGCATAATTATTTTAACTTTAAAAGTAGTGTACCTAAAATGTTTTCGAGCGACCTCTAAAAATAAATATCTCGTGATTTAATACTATTCTTTTGTTCATCAAATTCAATAAAAAAAATTATTAGTTCGTCGATATTTATTTTTTAGGTTTTTAGGTACTTTATTAATAGGTACACTACTTTGAAAGTTAAAATAATTATGAAGAAATTAAAATATCGATTTGAAATTTTCAATCGAGATTTTTTTCAACCTAGAAAATGATAAAATAACGAGAAAAAAAAATTAAAACAAATTCTATTTTTGACGATTTTGGAATCTTTAAAAATCGACCTAAAAAAATTTTTTTTGAGGGGGCTCTTAAAACATGATAAACTAACATATTTTCACAACACGAAAAAAAATAATCTTTTTTTTTGGGCCACCCTAAACCACATATTTCGAGTAAACATTTGGTAAAAATTTAGAAAGCATGGAACGTTAAAAACTGTACATACTGTATCTAGGAGTATTTTCATGTACCAATAATTTTGTTCTTGTATTAAAATGGAAAAAAATCTGTAAAACAGCTTGTAAAAAGTTTGTAAAATAATGTCTAGGGTTGCAATTATAAAAGATGTATATTAAGTGGTGCATTGTTGTAGAATTTTTTAATAACTGTATATTATTTTACATATAATTTATGTAAATACGACGGATTTAAGTTATATATTTTTTGGCAATACGATCTTTATACTCTGGAGCTAGACGAGTAACTTTTTTTTATTCTTTATGAACTTACACCAACAAAATATATTGTATAATATGTAAAGACAATAGTTTTAAATTTAGTTTAAATGTGATCGTTCATCTAAACATAGAACTGAACTTGTAAGTTTTTGAATGGTCACTTTTCTACAATTATTAAGATGGAGAGACGATGAAAAACCTGTTACAGATTAATTTGAATAAATAGCAAATACATTTTCTACATCATTTCATTTTATTGCTCATCTCCAGTCCCGCCGGATCCCTTAAATGCAAAAACGATCGAACCAAGTTATCGTGGCTGAAAGTACGAGTTGATGTACACGCAGATATAAAAAGTGAAGGAGGGTATGTAATATTATTTTTTAAACTTTGAACTCAACATTGAAAAAAAAGGACAGATATAAAATATTGTATTTAATATAAAAACTGAAAATAACTATTCCAAGTTCATAAAAAATTGAGCGATACATGAAATACTGAATTTTTTTAGTTTTCGAAAAAAAAATGTTTTACAGAAAAAATATTTTCAATAATTTTTAACAATTTTTAACTAAAACCTTTCTATACGTGAAAACCTAACATAAGTATAATAAAACTCGCTTCCTTAAACAAATATCACAAAGAATATTAAATAAATAATACTAGACTTTTAAATTTGTGAAAAATATTCGAGTTGTTAAATGCACAACTACGTCATCAGTCCTTTAAGAAAATAAACGCTCGGACTGTCTTTCGACTACAGATTGGTGTATTTTTTATGCTTCTTTAGATGTCCCGACAGATACGTAGATGTGGCGAAAGCCCTGTTGCAAATACTGCAAGTGTAAGGCTTTTCACCCGTGTGCTTCCTTATGTGAACGTTCAGAGAGCCCGCCTGAGTGAAACGTTTATTACAGATTACACAGGCGAAAGGCTTCTCACCTAAAACGCAAGTTACAAACAACATATTCAAATTCATTTGCCCAACCGAGGAGCATCGCTGCAAAATGCAACAAATCCACAATGCTTTTTAGTAAAGTATCAATTCGAATACTCAAAACTGGTTTTTAGCAACAGTCAACCTTTTTTTAACTGATTAAATACGTGGTGCTTTCAAACTTCGCAAACAAACCATACAGCTCCGAACGAGAACATGGCGCCCAACGTGGGGCCACTCCCAAACGAGAATACAACCAACAGAACAAGAGAAGATCAGGAACTTCCTTTAATTTTATTAAATTTCAATAATCTGCGACTTTTCAAACTGAACACAAGACCCGGTATATCAGTTAATGCAAAAGTTTGTCTAAACGGATTCATTGCGTCGTGCAATAACACTCCCCGGTTACCCACCTCACCTGTATGTGTTCTAACGTGTTTTTCTAAGTACGTGGACCTCGTAAAGGTCCTGTCACACATCGTACAACAGAAGAGGTTCTCCCCCGTGTGCGTTCTTGTATGCTCCTGCAAGTAGGTTGCCGTTGTAAATTTTTTATCACAAGTTAAGCACTGGAATTTCTCCCCCGTGTGCTTCATCATATGGCTTTGCAATTCGGAGGCGTAGTTGCATATTTTATCGCAAATCGAACACTTATACGGCTGCTTCCCGGTGTGTTCCCTCATGTGGACCGTTAGTTGGGAGGAGTGCGTAAATTCCTGACCGCAAACTTTGCAGGGAAACTTCTCGCCTGTGTGCTTCTTCATGTGTACCGTCAGGTGAGACGATTGCGTGAAAGATTTGGAACAGTAGTTGCACTGCCACGGTCGATCGCCCGTGTGAGTTTTCAAATGCGAGTTGAGGATATAACCGGAGGAAAACTTCTTGTCGCAGTAGTTGCAGGCAAACGGCTTTTCACCTGAAAAAGAATCAACTGGCTAATGACAGAATTAGTGTTTGAGAATTAGTATAAAAATGGTCAGTTTGTTTTTCAATATTTGCAAATTTCATTTTTTTTTTTCAATGCATACACTTCTTGTCTTCGGAATAAAATACATATATAGAGGACAATACAGTATATCTAATCTTGATATTGGCTACAGTTTTAGGGGAGCTTAGGCCGTCTACGACTAGGACAAAGCACAATCGACGCTATCAGATCTTAAAACATGTGCCACAAAAAGAGGTAATTTCTTAAATGGTTATAATAGTGTAAAAAAATAATAAATGCAATAAAAATGAGATGCTAGATCACGTCGAGATCGTATAATTGTAATAAATAACACGGGTGTTGCGATTAAGCAGACAATGTTTCACTTATTGCCACTTAAGTCGCGTCGAGAATGTTTGTCCTTGTACCTATTATATGGTGTGTCTACACAGTCTACGCGCATATAGTGACATCACTTGAGAGCAAGGATATTATGGTTTTTTTAAATAATCTAGAGCTGTTGTAGCCTAAACATCGTCACATCATTGACTTTTTAATCACGTTTTGTACTATATGTATGTAAATAATGTGGAAATTACAAGTTTTACATACAAGATCAACTTAAATTGTCTTTCTATATACAAAGTGGTAGTTAGTCTGGTATCATAGTACACTTTTTATTTGAGTTTATTGGATTTTTTTTTCTATTAAGCGATACCTGAAAATTTGTTTTCATGCTACATAATAATTTGAAGCTTACTGCAACCAACTGAAATTTAAAAATCATCTGGTTACTATTTCCTTATATGCTTTGGCGCGAATAGAAATTTTGGAATAATAACATTTTTCTTACAGTTACAATTAGTTATCAAGATATGACCGATTTTTTGTAATCTCCGAGATTGATATCTATTAAATTCATAAATGTTACCTGCGTTTGAAATTTATGTGATAGCAAAGAGTGGTACTACTGATTGCCAGTTTCCTGGTTTTTACCCAGCGATAACTTAAAATAAACTTCAAAGGCATAGTTTACTGTGTAGTGATTGTCTTATTACCTGTAGTTATATCTTATTACCTATCTTTGTATATAATATTTAGTTATTTTTATCAGATCAGCTAGGATCTGGTAGCTAAGGGAAATGTATTAACAAACAAAAGAGACTTTGTATTAACAGAAAAAAATTAAACAAAATATTTTTAATAATAATAATAATAATCTTTAATTCGTAAAAACATTAACATTTACAATGACAATGTAAGAGCGAAATGGTGTCACAACAGTTTCCCTAAGTTAGTTTAAACAGTGGTCCAAATATTCAGTTACATTGTAGGGCTCAATATTTAACAAAAATTGTTTAATATGTTTTTTGAATAAATTTACACTCTGTATCTGTTTAAGTGACGCTGGTAAACAATTGAATAATTTAATACACATGTAAAGTGCATTCTTTTCTGTTAGAGTTAGTCTGTGATATGGGTACATTAGATTTAAATTTCTTGTATTATACTGAGATGATGAGTCTGTCATAAAATTATTCCAGTTTTTCCTTACATACATTAAGCACTCAAAAATATACAGAGCCGATATAGTCATTATTTTGCTATTCCTAAATACCGATCTACAAGATTGGATGTAAGACATATTATTGATAATTCTTATAATTCTTTTTTGAATGACAAAAATTTTCTGTATGTCAGTGCTATTACCCCAAAACATAATTCCATATTTACAAATAGATTCGAAACTACCAAAGTAAATGATTTTGAGGCCTCATACTTTGCAAATTAATTTATATCAACAAGAATTTAAAACATACTATTTATGTTGTGATAACCGTACATCGTCAACATATACTGCTACGTAGTTTTTTTTTATCTCGATTTTGTTGACTTCCTGTGTTTAGATTTACGATTTGCAAGCATTTGTTACTGTGATTTGCACTTGTTTAGAGTTTAGGTAAGTATTCTACATTTTAAATTGAATTATTTTGATTAGAAATAATGCATTTTAATTGAAGAAAACATATTTTATTTAGAAAATGTCAGAAGAAGAGAGTCGGGTGGTGCGAATTGTAAATCTCGATGAAACATTTACAAACGAAACTTTGAAAACTTTTATTCTAACAAGGTGCCAGCCTAATGGGGACATAAAAAATCTATATTTAAAAAGAGATGATATTAATAAAATATTTTATGGATACATAGTATTCGAGCATACCTATGATGCTGTAAAAGTGATACAGTGTTTGAATGGTTATGTTCATGGCACAAACCAATTTGAAATTGAACTAATCGGTCCAAATCTAAAATATCGCATATTTCCATCAGAGATTTATTGTCCTTTAAAAAGTGCTATATCAACAAGAAGCAACCTTTTATGTAGGAGGTCAGTTTTTGGTGCTGGTAAGAAAAAATATAAATAGTCATCTTGATTTACTTATTTTATTATATTATTCAATTTTGGTCAGTTCCTGTTTGTTTTTATAATCAAAAATTGTTTTCAGCGGGTGGTCGTCGAATGGAAAAAGTTTCCGGACTCATTATTCCTAAGCTGAACCCTAAAGTCGACGCCGCATATAAAACACCGCAACCTGGCATGAGCTATGCAAATATATACATCAGTAATATACATCACTCCATGACTGAAATAGACTTAGAAGATCTTGTAAACCCATTTGGACCAATTCAGAAACTTTACTTAGCAAAGAATAAGGAGACTGGCTGTGTCAGAGGTTTTGCTTATGTAAATTTTAAATTCAGATGTGACGCAGCTGAAGCTATTTCTCAGCTCAATGGAATTAGTTATCGAGACCGTATCCTTAGGGTCGAATGGTCGAGATCACAGGCGAACACAAATTTTGTTATGTACAATAAGCGATAAGTATGTACAATGTACTTAGTTTTTTGTTTGTAATATTTTCTCGAATAGTTATAAAATTTAAGTTTAAAAAATAAAATTTAGCTTTCCATCCATACTTTCAAAGTGGCTCAATTGCATACAGGATGCTAGAAATTTAATGCCGAGTTTAGTTAACTTCAAACCTTCATAAGTCGTTTTTTTTTTAATAGAACACCCTGTATATTTTTCTATATACTGCTTATACACAATTTTATTCTCTTTCGAACGATATCAGGATTCCCTATACCTATCTCTTCTAGTTTTTAAGTTATCTACTATTTTTTGTGTAATCACACTAAAATCATGTCATTTCTTGTGAAGATAGCTGTGGAATTTCTAGCAAAACTTTAAAACAAACAACTAAACTGTCAATTTGTTGTTAGTCTCTTGCAGTGACAGTTTAATTTAGTGTTTATATGAAATGGAAAACAATACATATTCAAATGCTGATATTTTAAATATATTATTCATTCACGGACGTTGCAATGGGATTATAAGCAGAACATGTACAGTTTTTAATGAGACATATCCAAATTTGCCACCAATGAGTACAAAAAAGTTAAGAAGAATTTTAGCAAATCAACTAAGTATGGTCAAATTTGTGCAGAAAGAATTTTACCAAAATCAATAACTTCAAATGAAGATAATGTAATAAAGGTGCTAGCCTATTTTAATGTTCATCGAGAATCCTCAACTCGCGCCGCAGGGTATAATATAGGCATTTCACGAGCGTCCATTCACTGGATGCCAAGAACTAATGACATGCATCCATACAAATTTAATCTACTTTCTGCTCTTCATCCGGGTGATGCTGTGCAATATGTATAATTTTGTGAAACAATGTTAGTGCGACACCAAGAAGATCCACAATTTTTGCAACACATTATATGGACAGACAAGTTAAAATTTTTGAGAAGGTATTTTTAATAGACATCATGTGTGGTCATCTGAAAATTCTCATGTTATCCGGGAAAGAAACTTTCAAAATAAATTTAGCGTAAATGTTTTTTGTCTAATTAAAGATAACCAAATTTTTTACCATATCTACGAAGAAAATTTAAATGCTGACAGATATTTCAATATTTTGCAAACGGTTGTGGCAGATTTTCTAGATGATATACCTTTAGACCAACTAAGGAAGTGTTTGTATTAATTAGACGGGGCTCCACCTTAATGTCACAATCAAATCGATCAACAGCTGTTTAGTTGTTTGTTTTGAAGTTTTGCTACAAATTCCACAGCTATCCTCGCAAAAAATTACATGATTTTAGGTGATTACACAAAAAAAGTAGATAACTTAAAAACTAGAAGAGATCGGTATAGGGAACCCTGATACCGTTCGAAAGAGAATAAAATTGTGTATCAGAATATAGAAAAACATATAGGGTGTTAAAAATTAAAAAAACCGACTTATGAAGGTTTGAAGTTAACTAAACTCGGCATTAAATTTCTAGCGCCCTGTATGCAATTAAGCCACTTTGAAAGTATGGCTGGGAAGCTTAGGGGTCTAGCTATCCCCCCTATAAATATTGTTGCTTTATCTTTCTTACTATAAAATACACATGGTTTGAATTTAGTCACTGTTTCTCTCAATTTTTTTGAAAAACAATTAAATATCTCGAAAACAATGAGCAGTCACAACAGTTAATTTTAGGAATAGGGAAACTTCATAAAAGTCCACCTAAAATGACACGTACAATCCAAAATTGCAATAATTCCATTTAAAATAAGCAACCAAGATGGCGACTTCCGGTATAACCGGAAGCGGTACGTGGACGCCATTATTTTAGTTGAGAAGGGCATACCCGAAAACCCGGTAACCCAAATTTTCAAAATTCAAATCGAAGTAGTCTCTGAAATAATTCTAATGGGCCGTCACCATGACACACCCTGTATATTTGTTCCATAGTTCAATGAGTCTTCACCTGCGGCAGCACACTCACTACAAGACTGACAAATATCAAAAATTTTTGTTTACATATTTTTAAGTTATAAATAAAAAACCTTATAATAAACTGAAATTTAAAAAATCATCTGGTTACTATTTCCTTATATGCTTTGGTGCAAATTGAAATTTTGGAATAATATTTTTTGTACAGCTACAATTAATTATCAAGATATGACCGATTTTTTGTAATCTCTGAGATTGACATTTATTAAATTCGTAAATGTTACACGTGTTTGAAATTTATGTGAAAGCAAAGAGTGGTACTACTGATTGCTAGTTTCCTGGGTTTTTACCCAGCGATAACCTAAAATAAACGTCAAGGGCATAGTTTAGCGCAACATATTCTTTTTTTATCTCCATTTTGTTTGCTTACTATGTGATGTGATTTGCGACGTTTCTTGCTTAGAGCTTAGATAAATATTTATTAAGTATTAACTTTAATTATTTTGAATAGAAATAACGAATTTTAATTGAAGCGTCGACTGAAATAATCATTTTTTATTTAGAAAATGTCGGAAGAGAGTCGTGTGGTGCGCATTGTAAATCTCGATGAAACTTTTACAAACGAAACTTTGAAAACTTTTATTCTAACAAGGTGCCAGCCTAATGGAGACATACAAAATCTATACTTGAAAAGAGATGATATTAATCAATTATTTTATGGATACATAGTATTCGAGCATAGCTATGATGCTGTAAAAGTGGTACAGGGTTTAAATGGTTATGTTTATGGCACAAATCAATTCGAAGTTGAATTAATTGGTCCAAATCTAAAATATAACATATTTCCAGAGACCAAAGAAAGTGATATTTGGATAAGAAATTCTCACAGAATTGAATATCCTTTAAAAAGTGCTATATCAGCAAGAAAAAACCTTTTACGTAGAAGGACGTCGGTTGTTGGTGCTGATAAGAAAAAATATATGAGCAGTCGTCTTAATTTAATTTGTACGTTATTCAATTTTAGTCAGTTCTGTTTGTTTTTTTTATCAAAAATTGTTTTGAACAGGTAATCGTCGATTAGAAAAAGTTTCCGAATACATTCCTTCTAATGCAGAACCTAAAGTCTATGGTGCAAATAAAGTAAGGCAATCTGGCAGGAGCTATGCATGTGTATGCATCAGTGGACTACATTACTCCACGACTGAATCTGACTTAGCAAAGCTTGTCCAGCCATTTGGACCAAGGAAGTCGCTTCGGTTAGTAAAGGATAAGGGGACTGGTGTCAGAAGTTTTGCTTTTGTACATTTTAAATTTAAATGTGACGCAGCTGAAGCTATTTCTCAGCTCAATGGAATTAATGTTCATAATCGTATCCTTAAAGTTGAATGGTCGAGGTCATAGACCAAGACAAATTTTGTATAACGATAAGTATGTATAATGTACTTAGTTTTTTTTTTGTAATATTTTCTCGAATAGTTAATAAAATTTAAGTTTCAAAACCAAATTTATTCTTAAAGAACTTTTAAAATCTACAAGTTTCGATATAGGAGTGTAACTAATATATGGTTGACAAAATTTTAATGGCAGATTCTGGATCTGCAAATTAATGTATACATTTTTAAAAAATAATACAGCTTCGGAATACAGTACTTTTTTGTACTAACTTTCAAGAATCCCAAAACTGTACAACTGAAATTAGGGATTAACCTAACCTCACTTAAGCTGCCATTTTTGTTATGAAAAGACATACATTTTAATCGTGAGATTCCTTGGAAAACCTATCTTATCAAATAAATGTTAGGTTTGTCAGATCAAAATTGGAGTTTATATAAAAAATTAAGTGTCTAAATCTACACCTTTATCAAAAATTTTATTGATAGAGTAGAGTATATAGAGATAGATAGATAAACAGATATATTACTATTCATTTAATAAACGACCTCTTTTTGTGGTACGTGTTCTGAGATCTGACAGTGTTGACCGTTGGAGCAATAGTTTATGGTTTACTTAATTGGAATACGTAAACTGAACATATTCTTACCGGTATGAGAGCGCATGTGAACTTGCAAGTCGCTGGCCTTGATATAACGCTTGTCGCATTGTTCACAAGCATAAGGTTTTTCTCCCGTGTGTATCCTCATATGAACTGTTAGCTCGGCAGTAATCGTAAATCTTTTTAAACACATAGAACACTGGTACGGTTTCTCGCCGGTGTGTCGTCGAATGTGTTCTCTTAAATGAGACGAGTGGTAAAACCTAGAAGAAAGTAGAAATATCGAAGAAGTTTTCAAATTTCCTTGTTTCTAATTGTTATTTGGTATTAAGACGAGCACGAATTATTAAAATTTTGGTGAATATTTATTTACAATTTTTGAAATTATCATACACTGCTACTCAATGCCACTGGCACAAAGCATTGCTTTGTACATTCTGGCAGAGAGCAACCTACTAATCAGTAGGTATCATGAAAGCATAACTAGTGTCACACTAGACAAAATATTTTTTATGGGGCTTTAGTCCGCAGAATAGTCGTTTGCCACACTATCACTAATTAAAAGTCACTTACATGTCATATACATACCTTTTCTCGCAATATTTACACTCGAAAGGCTTCTCTCCAGTATGCGTTCTCATATGAATTTTTAAATTGGAATTTTTTGAGTATCTCTTCCCACACTGTTCACAAGAAAATTTGTATGGGTCTTCTTTAACAATAGTGGTTTTATTCTGTTGGGATTCCAAACGGGCAGCTGCCGGAGTGAGCGACGGATATTGCGGTAAAGGTTGAGTTTGAATTTTAATCGACCTTGTACTAACATTTTTTTGTTGAGTCTGAAACAGTGGCTTATCAAAATAAAAACTGTAAACTTGTATCAATTAACCTTATCAACGCCTTTGTTGTTTCCCGCAGTTAATATTGTGCCGGGAGCATTATTCAAATTGTTTGTATTGTCTTGATTTGCAGATTTCAGCAATTCTTTTTCATCCAGAAATTGTTTCAAATTAATGCAGTCTGTATTTTGATGTTGGTTGACACACTTTTCGATGGTTTGCAAGGTCTCCAAGTGATTTGCATCAGATACGTAATTATTTAGTGTTTGATAGTTAATAGATTTGTCTCCGTTAAAATACTCTTGAATACTGTTTTCAGACTGTAAACATAATATTCGAAAGTCATATGCTATTCTTAAGGTACATAAGCAATTTGAACAAAGAATATTCGATAATCCATCCCTAAACCATACCTACAAAATAAGTTTTGACAAGTAGTAAAAAATCCTTAGACTTGTTAGATAAAAAAAAATTAGGAAAAGTTTCTAAAGCTTACTATATCAGAAACGCAGGCTAACAATTTATCACATATTTTTATATTATCGATGTCTAAAGTATTTAAAGAAGTACCACCCGGTTCCAGTCTCAAACAAGTGCGACAACAATTTGTATATGAAATATTCAAATTGTTCATTTTGAAATAGAGAATAAATAAATTTCTTCGAACAACATATCTGTCAAAGTCAAAATATGAAGTCAAAATAAATGTCAAATGTCAAAATGTAAAATATGCTACGAGTTATGCAACACATTATACACACCAATTTAAACTTTTTTTTAAGAAAAGGCATTTTTTCTAGGCGAACCTTGTCAAACTGTTTTAAAAGTTATATTTTCCTGTTCAATTTATGATGTCACAAATGGAACCGGTTGATTCTGCCTTGAAACGTTCGAAGGAACCGGTTCGATTTTAGGTTAGTCATTTCGAACAATTGCCAAGTTTTCATTTTTAAAAAATCTTTAAAAATTAGTCTATTAAATAAAATTAATACACTATTATAATATTATAATAATGTGTTAATATTATTTAATACACTGTAATTTGTTAATTTGCTGGTAAGGAGTTATCTGTTATATGTGATAAAGTAGAGCTTTTGAAGGGGTGATAAATCCTTTGGGACTGTAAGTATACACTGGCTGTGAAAAAAATCGTTTAATTTAGATCTCGAAACGGCCAGTCGGAGCTCTAATACGCAGCTTTAAATGTACATGCGCAATCCCGTTGGAATACGGTTCACTCGCCGAGTCCTGTGAAAATCATGTAAACGGGCGTGGAAATGCAGGAAAGTGATATGGAAAATCAGTATTATCCAAGTTCACATACGGGTGAGTATGTCAAAACTTCATTATTTTTGATACCATGCAATATTATATTAAAATCGATATACAGAAATTCAAAAAGGAAGAAATATAATCTTCCCGAAAATTTGATAATAAAATGTTAATTGTAATAAATTTTTCTGCAGTAGGTAATTAAGTATCGCAAAATGCTTCGAAATCGGACATTTTCCTTAAATATCTAAAAGCTTGCTTCCGATTTTAGACAATATAGCACAAATACGTACGCAACAACTCAGTTTCGTATGTTATTGATCCACGTTTTCTGTGCACCCATAGGTGTAGGTACGTTGTGCTATTTTCCATTTCCAATAGGGGTGTTGTGGAATTTAGTGACCTCGGTTGTACGTTTTTAACCAAGTAACGATTTTTGCTATTTAGTGACATATCAAATATATTTATTAGAGTAAATCGATTGCTAATAGCGATATTAAAACATACATAGGGTGAGTAAAAATTGGGAAACAATGAAACTGACACATTAGGGCCTTTCGATTTGGCAAAAATAGTAGCTATCAGCAGCCAATAGCAATTTTAGAGTTACTCTGAACTGATATTAGTTGCTAATAGGTACTATTTTTGCCAAAACGAAAGCCCTCATTATTATAAGTAGTACATTGGAAAAAATTATTGTTCTTTCAAATTGTAAACTTCGTCGTCTCATTTTAATCAATTAATGAGATTCAAATTCCGCTGCAAAAGGAAAGAAAGAAACGAATTTTGAGCTTTTGTCTAATATAATTATATTCATCAGTAGACCTATAATTAAAAAAATTTACCCAAATAAAATGTTTCATCTTTTGAAAATCGTTATTGTTTTTACTGTTAGCTAATTCTGAAAACATAATGAGTCTAATTTTGTAAAATTATGACAAATGTTGAAACATTTTTGTTTCTCGTATATTTATTTATTTCTCTAATTCTCTATTTCTCTATTACAGATACATATTTGATAGTAGTACCGCCTAAAAATATTTTGTTTTATTATATTATTGTTATTATATCAAAACTGTATATCAACATACACATTATGTTAATAACCCGCTTAATAAGAGATAAGCATTTGCTTATCAGTACCGCGTAGACTTCCGTTTTACAAATAAAATTAAGGAACCGTACTTATATAGGCACCTCCCATGGCGATGACCACTTTTGATGAGTTTTTCTGAATGCAGGTTTCTTACTTCTATTAAATTGTTTGCTGATGAGATTTACAATTTCGATTTTTTCTCAAATTTCTATAGATTTTTCATATTTAAACATGAATATTTCAAAACTTGACGTAAATTTTGCGTAAAAAATGATTTTAATATGTTCGACGTTGGCTTTTAATTTTAAGATTTAATTTTAATAAGTTAATTGCCGCGAATATTTTCGTATTCCTTTCTTTACAATAGCGAATTTCATCTTAACTCATTTTGTAATGTCGAGTTTAAAAACTGTTTTTTTTTCTTCGAAGAATCTACCTACAGGCTTATTGTTTGTACAGTATTTATATTAACTGATAATCATTTACTCTGATTTTGTGTTACCCGCAACAAAACCAGAGTAGATCATTATCAGTTATAACTTTTATCAGTGTGGGCTTAATGTTTAATGAAAGGAACTCAACTACGTACAAGTAGTCATTAATTTTATCGATTCCACCTATTATTCCACCCAACTGCCAGTTTCATCGAGTCGAGGGTTTTCGTCATTCTGTTTTACTGCCTACACAAAGTAGTAGCACAGACAAAATAGTCGTCTCGATCGCCTAGTAAATTTTATTTGAGAAGGATTTTACTGATTAACTTATTTGAAAAATTATTTTCTTATTTTGTAGTTGGTATTAATTTGAAACTTACCGGAACCAATAGAAATTTAAAAAAAAATCGTCTGGAACAATAACACTTTTTTCAGTGTTACAGTTATAGAGATAGAGATATGACTGACTTTTTTGGTTCTCTGTCTCTGTCTGATATTTATTAAATGGAGAAATATTAGACGTTTCAAATTTCTGTGTAAACGAAATAGGAGTGGCAGTACTGATTGTCAGCTTCCTGGATTTTACCAGATATATATCTATATCTCTGGCTTTTACCCAGTCATAAGATTGTAGATTGTAGAGTAGAACCATAACCTGTAATAAGGAACAAACAAGTGCATAGTTTGGCTACGTAGTTTCATAGATAAGATAATTTATACAAAGAACGTAGTTTTTATCTATTGGTCTATTTTTTTAGACATACAGCTGTTGTGGTTGTAAAATAAGATTAGTTTTAATACGTTTCTTTTTTTAGACTAGGTAAGTATGTTTCTCTTTTTACACCATTTTTTAAATGGTTTAACTCGAATGAATTATTTTATATGAAATTAATTACTTCTAATTCAGGCGTCAGTTGAAGCAATTTACATTTTTTAGAAAATGTCTGAAGAGAGTTGTGTGGTGCGAATTGTAAATCTGGATGAAACTTTTACTAATGAAACTTTGAAAAATTTTATTCTATTAAGGTGCCAGCTTTACGGAGATATAAAGAATATATATTTGAAAAGAGATGATAGTAATAAAATATTTTATGGATACATAGTTTTCGAGCACAGCTATGATGCCGCAAAAGTGATACAGAGTTTAAATGGTTATGTTTCTGGCACAAACCAATTTGAAGTTGAACTAATTGGTCCAAATCTAAAATATCGCATATTTCCAGAGAATGAAGAATATGGGGAGTTGCATTATTGTGGTATATGTAGGGGACGTCACCACAGTTTTGAATGTCCATTAAAAAATGTTATATCGGCAAGAGAAAATCTCTTACGTAGGAGAAGGTTTTTGCTTGTTGGTACTGGTAAGCAAGTTTTTATTGATTTATGTTATATATTCAATTTTGGCCAGTTCTTATTTCTTTTTTTTTATAATCTAAAATTGCTTTAATTTTAACGTTTTCATTAGGTTCAGATCATCTAATTCCAAAAGTTTCCAAAGAGAAAGACGTTCCTCCTAACACAAAACCTAAAGACGATGGTGCCAATAGGGCATGGCGGGATGGCACTAGCTACTCAAATATTTACATCAGTAATATACATTACTCCACGACTGAATCTGACTTAGCAAAGCTTGTCGAACCATTTGGACCAAGGAAGAAACTTCATTTGGCGAAGGATAAGGAGACTGGTCGTGTCAGAGGTTTTGCTTACGTAAATTTTAAATTTAGAAGTGACGCAGATAAAGCTATTTCTGAACTCAACGGAACTACTTACCGTGATCGTGTTCTTAAGGTTGAATGGTCTAAGTCGTAGACGATTACAAATTTTATATGTAAAATAAGTAATGTATTTATAATCTATTTAATTCTTTAATATGTTGCGTCTCGAATAATTAATAAAATTTTTTTGAAAAATGTACTTTATTTTTAAAGAGATTTTTAATGTGTATCCGTCTACAATTAGTGAGATATATTGAGTGTAAATTAAATTCTTGACCAAACTGATTCTACATCACAAGCTAACAAAAAAATTCCTATAAGTACGTCGGGAAGTACTTTGTTTTCAAAATACAGTGCTCAGAATTCATTCTTTTATTAATAAATGAATTCCTCATAAAAAAAATTACGAATAACTCATTATTTAACATTTCCTCATATTTTCAAAGACCAACAAATCTAAAATTTTTGTGTGATTATTCGGTATATAAAAAAATATTGTACTGAGACTGAAGTCCTTCCTTTCACATATTTCCTATTTCTGACATTTTTATGTTGCTATTACACATGAATTTCTAAGACCTTATACTTAGCAAGAATTTAATTTGAGAATTTCATAAATCACATCTCTAAAGAGACTCCAATTACCTTCAGAAGCATCCTCTCTTCGCAACGGATTAAACCATAAAACTTTAACTTCCCTTTATGCCGAGAAACATAAACTTTAATATTGGTTTTCAGAGTAATCCAGTCTTTTCTTACCGCCGTTCCAGTATGTGCTACTTCACTTTAGACTTTATGAGGGACAGGTGACCCAATTTAAGGCAACAATGTCTCTAGATGCTGAGAGACAATTTCTATGTCCCCGGCTCATAGATTACCTAACTATAGTCGGGGCGAGGCACAGCAATAACCCTTCTAGGCAGAATACCAGTCCACATATTCAGGTGAGTGCGGAGAATAATAGGTATGTGATGGATGGGTGCTTTTAACTTGATTGTTATGTTCTGATATTGTTTTGCTTGAATATAAATCTATTGTTTCGCTACTGACATCACTGATAAAGCAAATCTAGAACATCAGTCATAGCGGTTTCACACAATCAAAGAAATTAATGAATTCTTAAAGAGGTTGGTGAATTTATTGAAAACATTGCAATAAAAATCGGCTTATCCGTAAATAATTGTACATTAATTGAATAAATTTAGGCCCCAGAACTTCTTCGTCGTTACCCAGTCCAAGACCACAAAGACTTCCCCCTTCCCCTGGACATGGTTTATTTCTGTCAACCCGAAGGTTGCTCTTCTGTCGGGCCTAGAAGGACCGCCCTTCGCGAGGCATCCTCCTTTGTTTTTACTCTTACTGACAAAGACTCGGGCAAAACTCGGTTCGGAATCTGCGTCAACTTTTACCGACCTATTGAAAAATCTTCTGCCGGTATAGGGATTGCCAAGGGCCGAGTAAACACGAACCTGAGGAGAGACTCCTGGAGGAAGAGTATGGAGAAGAGTTCCGACTCGGCTTTTTCTAGGTGAATATTCATATTTACAATAAATATTATAATTCAGAATGGTATAGAAACCTACGACGTTTCAGCGATTACAGAAGTAGTAACGTTGGTCCGAGTGATTCAGAGAAAGACTGCCCTAGTAGAAGAGACTCGGAATCGACGGCCGTCAATCTTCCCCGTTTAGGGGTCATCCCCGCAAACGATTCTGAAAGTGGGGGAAGTCATTCTCCTTCACCGAGGGCAAGTCGCCGACGTCAGGTAGTTCTCATTTTGTTCAAATGTTTATTTGTTTAATTACTATTGCATTTTTAGAGAATAAGAAACCTTTCGCTCACTTCATTGTGTATACTGTCGCACCACCCATTCTTCACCATGTTCCGGGAATGCCTTTTTATTCTTAAGAAACTGATCGATGCTTGCAATGAATCGTCCAATCCTAGGAGGGTCGGAGGGTCTAAGCAGCTGTCAAGGTAAATACGTATTTATTTATTTACTTCTCAACAGGGTACAATCTAGTTATAGAGTAAAGAAAAAACTACAAAGAAGAAATAATTATACAAATAAAACTATAAATTAGCAACAAATTATATTTGAATTTTTTTTTTTTTTTTATATTAGGACACTATAAAAGGTATCAACGCTGTATTGCACATTAAACAGTTTCTACACAATACATGTAAAGTAGTAGTTACTGTTTTTAAATAAAATGTTCACAAAAATGTGTAATTACGAACTATAGCGAAGAACGGCGAAACATTTGGATATTTTTTTCTAATGTATTTTAGCATATTACTGGGTCAATTCTTTCACATGTACATGTATGGTGTTATAGGGATAACGTTTGGAGTGTCCTATCTGGACTCGCAACGGATTCTACCTCTTCAATCGTTCTTCACGACGTTAAAGAGATCGAAACATGGATTTTAAAATTGCTTTCATCACCTGTGCCCATTCCAGGAAAAACAAAGTAACATATGCTTTAATGAAATACAGTCGATCAAAATTAACTTTGCTGTATTTTTAGGGTGGAAGTAGAGATATTATCTCCAAGCGTATATGACCCGTTAGTGTTCGCATTGCCCAATCATACCAGATTTAGCCTTGCCGATTTTCCATTACACCTGCCTCTGGAATTGTTAGGTAAGTTTCGTCGAAGGAAAATTCGTAAACGGGTCAACTTTTTTCATTTCCAGGTGTGGAAACGTGTTTGAAAGTGTTAACCATAATCCTTTTAGAAAATAAAGTAGTGTTCCAATCGAGAGACTACAACGCGTTGTCTATGTCTGTGATGGCTTTCGTTACGATGATTTATCCCTTAGAGTACATGTTTCCTGTGATCCCCCTGCTGCCGACGTGCATGAGCTGTGCTGAACAGGTGGGTAAAGGTTACTTAAAGTTTTTATGTTGTGATGTTGACTGAATGTTTTTCAGCTTCTTCTCGCACCAACTCCATTTGTGATCGGTCTTCCGGCCAGTTTCTTGATGTATAAGAAAAATTTCAAGTAATGCCAAATTTAGTGTTTTGACTTATTGGAAGGTAAATATAATTTATTTTTAGATTACCGGATGATGTTTGGCTGGTCGATTTGGACTCTAACAAACTCATATCTCCTTACGAGATACCCCCTCTACCCGAACCAGAAGGCACGATTTTAAAAAATCACTTGAAGCAGGTAAAAATGTTACAAGTACCTGTATTTAAAATCTTTGAACTCTCAATTATTTGGGTACTTTCAATCCATTAAATCCAAATAAATAAGAGTCTCCGATTGATATTTTCAGAATATATTTCAAATCTCTGTGTGTGTTTTCTTCTTTTAACTTCTTTCTCTTCTGCTTTTGCAAATAAGGCTATGCAACTAATGGATCAAGTCGGCACCGGAGTAAATATTTTTAAATTTTTGCACACGTTGACATGGCACAGCATTATTTACAGATAGTTTAGTATCAGATAGAACCGCTATGCGTTTGGAATAGGCAAATTACACTTTACGAAGTTGGATTGCCAGATCACGTGTCGATCATTGTTTGTCGCATACATATGGCAGACGTAAATAAGTTTTTGACAAAACGGCCAAAAAACGAACTGCCACATTGATAATCCGCTTAGTGGGTATTCCGTGCACGATTAATTGAGGTTCTGCTGTAATTGCAGTGTTAAACGGTGTAATGAGCCTATAAAGTGACTGCATGTTTGCTTTGATTTGCATATAATTTGTATGTTAAGGATAGTCTTAAATGTACGGAAGTAGTTAAATTTTAAAAACTATGAAAAATTTGATGAAAATCAGTACAAGATGCTTTTTTCGCACAAAGGAAGGAGGTTGATGCTTTCATGTTTGAAATAAATTTTATTCACGTAATGAAGTTCAGCTAATGAGAGTTACACAGGGTGTCCCGATAGTTCATGTCTGTATGGAGCTTCAACAGATTGTTATTAAGGTCGGAAGAAGATGATTTCACTGAATTTACCTTCGATCCAAACGTCCTTTGCTGACAGGGTGCCAAACTCGAAGAAAAATTTAGTTTCTCTCTGAATAAAGAGTGACCACAAAAAACCTGTGATTTTCACAATTCGCAGATAATTAAAAAAAAACATAAAAATATGTTTTTGGTCGCAAATTACTTGTCGTAAAAAACTGAAATGAGCATAGCTTTTATTATTTTCAAAATTTAAAAAATCAGGGGTTGAAAAAATGCCAAAAATGAAGAATTTGAATATTACCAATTGATATAAAAACTATTAGCATGTGAATTTTCTTAATATATTTTTTTTTAATTTTTACAATTATTTCTGATATTCTCTATTTTTGGGGATCATTCACATGCTAATAGTTTTTATATTTATTGGTAATATCCATTTCTTCCTAAATCTAGGCGATCCTAAATAGGGGTGATTTTTGAATATTTTCAAAAAACTAAAAGCTATGCTCATCTTAATTTTTTACGAGTAATTTGAGACCAAAAACATATTTTTATCTATTTTCTTTAGTTCTCTGCGAATTGTGAAAAAACGGGCGATTTTTGCGGTCACTCTTTGAAACTTTTGTCCAGTTCAAATGAAAATATGCTGGTGCTTGTGTATATTGTGTGCTATTCTTTGACATAGCAACTGAAGTAGCTAACTGCAATTACAGAAATTGGAAATTGTAAACACTCCACCTCTAAGCAAATTTGCTTTTTTTTTGGGTAATATAACGGGTATTAAAAATTAAATAATACTTTGTGGAATGCTGTTGTAATTAGAAGTTCTTTTATGAACATTAGTAATGATCATTTTTATGTAGAAAAAAATTATCACACTCATCTTAGTTTCTACCATTCTGTGATTAAAAAATATTAGTTTCTCATCAAATTCTTTTAATTTTAAGCTTCCTAAATAAAAATAATCACAAAGATTTCAGTTTGAAAGCCCTAATTTACACAATTGCAGAAATTTGGGAAGAGATTGAGATTTATTTTACGTGAAAATGTTGATGAAAAAACAATTTGTATCATAAATGTTTTGGGACACCCTGTATAATAAAATATAAACTATTGCGGTTTTAATTGAATCAGAATTATGAACATATTTAAAAAATTTTTTTCTTTGCTGTTTATTAAAACGTATTTTGAATGCTATATTTCAATGGCTACAAAATCTTTTAGGTGTATCAGGCATGACTGTGTTCATGTATTTTATAGCAATACGTAAATAAATAATTATTATACAGGCCATAGGATCCCTATCAACACCCAGTACGTTAAACCAGCAGCTTCAGCCCTCCAGAAGAGAGAGCATACCTTCTCCGAACACATTAAGGTGAACATTTTTCATTCAATTTAACATTGAAGGCAGTAACGACAAATTTTCGTAACAATTTTCACTGATTGTAAATTTTGCTTCAGTATAACAAAAAGTAAGTCGTCTGAGACGGAAGTATCTCCTGCGCTGTCTCCAGTAAACACCAATGTGCAACAGAGATTGTCCATAACTCCAACACCGCCCGCATATTCGCCACAAACACGGCCTTCGACACCCTCGCTAGGTTTCAATCCGTTCATTTACGGGAATGACGTTGATTCTGTAGATGTAGCCACACGTGTAGCAATGGTAAATTATGTGAATTACTTTTAAGAATTTTTAATAACTGTAAAATTTTCAGGTCCGTTTCTTTAACTCGCAAAACTTGCTAGCAAACTTTTCCGAGCATACTCGAACATTAAGGTTATACCCAAGACCCGTCGTAGCGTTTCAAATTAATAGTTTCCTGAGGTCACGACCACGAGCTTCTCAGTTTCTCAACAGGTTCGCGAGAACTCAAGCCGTGGAGTTTCTAGCAGAGTGGTCTCTGACACCCACTAATGTGGCTTTTCAAAGGGTTCACACTGGGGTGCTGGACCCGGCTCTGATCGGTGATAAACCTAAGTGGTATATACACACATTAGAACCGATTAAATTCGTCGTTTGGGATGACGGCAGCTCTTTAAATGGTAAGTAACACTTTAATATGACGGGAACATCGTTCGTGTAGATCCATCCATTTATTATTTTAATCTATTTTACATTAGGTGCTTTAAGAAGCATACAGAACACAGAAAGCCAGCCAACGGACGAAAGTGGCTCGGACTCTGAAGAGGCGGAAAGTACTAGCTCCAGTTACTCGTCATTAAGCGACTTTGTATCGGAAATGGTATCGTCAGACTTATCGCCGGGTTACATCTCTTACCACGAACAAAGGAAAGTCTCAGCACAAAACATGTCTTTCTCGTCCAGCGTTGACGTCGCAAACGTATACAAACCTCCGTCGGAATTATGTTACCCAGACGGGGAATTGCCCGTGGCTAGATCGGATTCGCCTCATTCGTCTTCTAGTAGTGATTCGGATTTGAGTTCGCCATCTTTCAACCGAGATTCCGAGTTAGAGTTTGGGAACAAGTTAAAAACGGAGCAGGTCAGTACTGTGAAGGTAGACAAGGAGGAAACTGGTAGTTACGAGAACGAATCTGACTCGAATTCTACAACTACCCCGAAGACTGTGGTTAGTACCAATAACGTAAGGCAAACTTCCCCGTCAAGTGAAGTGGAAAGGCCTATTACGCCACGGAAAGGGAGAAGGTCCATTACACCGGTGAGACAAAAACTAAATTGTGTCGTTACCTTGATTAAAAAAATATGTTACAGGTACCTCCTATAACACCATGTTTGCAGAAACAGCCGAGCGTTGGGAACGTGCTAGCCAGAACGTCTAGTTTTGGATCCTCCGGAAACGGTAGTCCAAATCTACCACTGTCTGCTGGTAGCGGGGTAACGAGGCAAAGCTCGCAGAGTTCTATTTTCGAACAGTTTACCTCCCAAGCAAAGGAACTCGTGAGAGAGACTACAAGGCAAAGTAGTCAGGATGGTATTCTCGCACAAATGGATAAGGTACAAAGAAATCAGATCCTCTTACACAATTATGAAACTGTAAACACTATTACTATACATCAGTTGTCTAAACTATTTCTAATATAACCTAACTTAACCTATTTGTGTCTAACCTATTTTTTTTTTTAACAAAGATGGCAGAGAATCAGATGCTGATAATTTTGTATGCATTCTATTTGTTTTTAAAATTTCAATATTCTATAGATCAGTTTCTCTAAATAAACACAATTAAAATTTACATTTGTTTTCTCAGAAGAAATGTGGTTGAAAGTAATATAAGGTTAGGAAGTTTAGATTAAGTTAGGTTAGGTCAGGGTAGGTGACGTCGTCTCGCAACAACTTCAATTTGGAATTTAAAAGTCATGGTCTGAATTAAAAATAATGAAGATCCGAAGCTGTACCATCCTTCCGTATAACCATATTGTCAGCAAACTGAGAATACGCCCCACACGTATAAATTTACATGTACACTTACAACTTCTTACATTATTTACAGTTAAAGATACAAGCCAAAGAAAAACTTACAGAAGCAGAAGAAAGTAACATATTTGCTCCATTCGACAAGGTTAGTTTGATTCGAACGACTTCTTCGCGACTTCTGTACCTAATGCAACAGCTTCATTTATATGTTGTTCTAGCTGACGACTCAAGCTAAAAAAGCAGCTGAGGAGGCTTCTAAGAGTGTCCAGGAGGCTAGCAAAAGTGCCATAGAGGCTAGTAAAACCGCCACCGCCATGAGCAAGAACACTCTAGACGATTTGACTTACGTGGGGAAGTCGACACTGGGCGATTTAACCAAAAGTGCCAAGGAAGCGGTTACAAAGAAAGGATTATTGCGGGTAATAAAATAAGCTAACTATTAATTATCTAGCAGTCTGTTCAAATAGTCTTACGAAAAAAACACATATTGAATGAATATTGCAAAATTTCAAAACACTTGTAAACATTATTTTGCACAAATGTCAACAGCCCAATTATTTCTGTGTTGGAAGGATTGTTTTTTCAAATGTAGAAATGGTATAACTAAGTTATCGGAGCTGAGTTTCCTGTTAATTTATTTTGAAAGTGATGTTATAAATGCAACAGGATTCGCATCATAAATGATCGTTTAATTTTTCTCAGGGAGATTCTTTCACGAAACAAAGCGACGCGAGGAGAGAATCTACAAGTAACACGTCTATAGTTGCAACGTCGAATGTCCTGACTGGAGCGAGCCGAGATTTCTTCTCGAATATAAGTTCCGATATTAACGGTCTCGCCGCGAGCACCACCAGCATGTTTTCTGACCTATTCGGTACCAAAAAGGAGGCCACGAAAGCCGTGGAACATCACACTCAGCAGCAGCAGCAGAAGCCGAAACCAAAAGATAACTTGAAAACTGGCATGTTCGGGCCTTTTAATAGAGGTCCGAAGGGCTTGGCCGAAAAGAGCCCTTTGATAAAACATGTACCGAGAAGGCAAGACGACTTACAGCGCAAGCAGTCCGTGGATAAGAGCGCTACCAACAGCGAAAATCAAGCGTTTTTGAAAGACGTAAGTCCAGTGTGAGTTTGTTTCCGAAATATTTCATGTCTGATCGTTTATAGGTCGTCACTAGTGTTTTGGAAGGGGAAGGCGTGGGCTGGTTGAAGATGAATAGGTTAAAGAAACTGATGGAGGACGAGTCGTACCGAAATTTTGTCGTCAGCAAGTTAAACAAAACTTTAGACAAGAGGATTGCTCCAGATGATCATATCGATGACATCGTAAGTAGATTTATTTGAAAGTTTAACTATTTCCTTCACTAATTGTTGAATTTTTTTTTTAGTGCGTATCGAAAGCAATCTGGAAAGGGATGCTCAAAGTGATACAGGCCGTTGTGCATGGTTTGGAAGTAACTTACAGTAATTACGGATTAGGAGGCATGGCTTCCGCGTTTCAGTTGTGCGAAATTGCGCATACCCATTACTGGACTAAAGATTTAAGCGAATACGGGGCCGATCTTACTCATGTAATTATTACACATACACTATATTGAGCTATGAACATGTTCTAATTTTTTTAGAGCTCAAGTCCAAGATCACCTCAAAGTCCCAGATATTCAATCCAGTCCTCTGATTGGGAATCGTCAAGGAAGTCATCTCAAGCAGGTAAATATTTTAAAATGTGTGTTTCTGAAATTCTGACACGAAAATTATATTTTTTAAAATCTTTTTATTGTAATTTTCATACCTCGCTGCTGGACAGACTAGTCTAACCTCAAATTACGTGTTAACCTAATTGGAAGCAGTGACGTGCATTGTTTTTATGAACTTTTTCAATTATTTTTGGTAACCAAATAATGCAGTATCAGGTACATATTTTTTTAATTTAAAGATCCGCCTGAAGTTCGGTTAACCGGAGACGATTCCGACAAAGACCAACCCTCGACGGCCGACATGTTCAAGGACATGCTCACACAGAAGAAGAACATGCTGTTCAGCAAGTTAACATCGTTCGACTCTGACGTAAGTGAAATTCCAATATATATATGCACGTTTCCGTACATGTTTCCTTTGAATTATTCCATTCTATTTTCTCTATCGGGCTTTGGTTGTCGATTCAAATATTTCATGAAATGGAACGATTCTTAAATGTGCTTGACATTCCGTGTTGTGTGACAGGCTGAGGGCACTATGCATGGTTCGGGGGGCACTGTGTCTCCTTCCGGAGGGTCGATAACTACCGGTCCAGCCTGTAACCTTAACAGGGGCGGCGGCCAGGCTTCGTTCCGGTCCACGGTCTCCGATACGGAAGTAGAAACGCTTCAGGTAAGTCTCTTTTATTTAACTCTGTGTTTTCGCTTAAAGGCCATTTCTACGGACCGAATGTCAAATGCCAATATGAATCTTGCCAGTTTGGGGTTTGTATTTTGTATATAACATTGTGGCTTTTTTTATATTGGTATTTAATTTAATTTTCGGAAATAAGGACTGTTTTTTAAATAATATTGTTGAACATTTTATTTTAACGAGTAACTTTTAAATTTATCACAATAATGTCATTATTAGTTTGTTTATAGTGTGCTAGATGGCATTTCATCATAATATTTATTTGAGATGAGCACCTTTCGGAAAAGTGTGTTACGGACATGTCAATGAAATGTCCGGACATGTCAATGAAATGTCCGGACATGTCAATAAAATGTTCGGACATGTCGGGAAATGTGCTTTTGACCTTGAATCTAATAAGGCACCTATGAGTGACGTCATGTTTTCACACGTCACTGCTTGAGGATACACAAAGCAAAACATTACTTTTATTCTAATATGTGTCGATATATTTGACTTATTACCTATCTTTAGACTTTTTTATAAACTGGTTTCTAATTTTCCCCGCACAGCCAATACACTTATTTAAATGTTTTTCCATCCTACTGGAATTCTTAAAAATTATTTTTGACCAGAAGTTACATTTATAATGATTTTTACTTAATTCAGAAAAATATAACCAAACTGTTGATTTTGGCGTCATACTTCATTTATAAACTATTTGTGTATTAAATATTAAATTAAGAGTCAACTGATTACTATTTACTAATCATTAACTTTGCCAAAAATAATATATTATATAATATATTTTTAAAATGTCAGTTTCAGTTAAACAATTACCAACAAAATTACATGAAAATGTCTAAATATCTTTAATTTTACATGTACCAACCTCAAAAATTTTTGGCGGGAACTATGAATGCAACAAATAATTCCGCGCATGCGCATACAACTTTTCAATATTGAAAAGTGTCCTCAGGACGGTACATCTCTAATATCTGTTAAAGTTCCTACATTGACCAAGTACCGCTGTCAATGTTCCAGTTTGCCTTAAAATGGCGGTTTGACATGTCACTTTATACCATTTACATAAAAAAACAATTAAAACTTAATTATTGTAATAGAAATATCATGTAATGCTATTTTCGAGTAAAATCTTGCTTTCACATAAAAACAATCAAATGCAGCGCTCTATTAATACAAATTTTACCATTCGTTTTTAGAAACAGTAGTGAAAATTCGATTAAGCACTTCCGTACATTTTAACCCTCTTCCTTTCAGTTCCCGAAGCTGCCGAAACAACGCACCTCCAGCGTCTGGTCTAGTAAATCGTCGCTTAGCACCGGGTTCAGGTACCACGGGGGCCACATAATAAACACGGCGACGTCGCCGAGCCCCGACGCCATCCGAACTTATCTGTTCGAAGGCATGTTGGGCAAAGAAAGGTCCACGCTCTGGGATCAGATGCAGTTTTGGGAAGACGCCTTCTTAGACGCCGTGTCGCAGGAGAGAGACATGATTGGAATGGACCAGGTAAACGTTGATATTTGGATTTGTAAATTCCATTGATATTTTCGGTATATTTCGTCAGGGACCGAGAGAAATGATGGAGCGGTATAAGAGCCTGAGCGACACGGAGAGAAAAAGACTAGAACACGAGGAGGATAAACTGTTAGCGACGCAGTTGTATAATTTAACGGCTATTTTGGTCATGCTCAATTGTAATAAGGACGAAGTTAAGAGGAAAATAAGGAGGCTACTTGGGAAGAGTCACATCGGCTTGGTTTACAGTCAAGAAGTGAATTTGTTGCTGGATCAGATCCACCAGTTGGTAAGTGAACGGCGAAAAAATTCAAGTTTGGGATAATCGATTTAATAATTTTGTAGAATGGTAACGATATCGATTTGAAACCTTTGGGGTCTCGTCTTTTGCATCGGCAGAGCTTTACGGTACATCAGGGCGTCGATTGCACTGGAGAGTTGAGGTTCGTACACAGTAATATTGAAGAACTTTAATTTTATTTATTCGTACTTCGGTTTCGCGCGTACATTTAAATTTTTTTAGGTTTATGGAAGTAAGGGACGACGGATTGGTGCTCAGGTCTGTGTCGGGTGTAATCGTGGAAAGGTGGTGGTTCGAGAGGCTGGTCAATATGACCTACAGCCCGAAAAATAAAGTTCTGTGCCTTTGGAGACGGAACGGGCAACAGACGCAGTTGCATAAGTACTACACGAAGAAAGTACGTCTACAAATTTCTTTTTTAGTTTTTTTGGATTTATGTGACCGTGAAACTGTTTTTTTTTTCAGTCCAAGCAGCTCTATTACTGCATAAAGGATGCCATGGAAAGGGGCGGCGTTGCCGGAACCGCCCCCGAACTGGGAGGCGAGTTTCCCGTTCAGGATATGAGCACGGGCGAGGGAGGCCTGTTGCAGGTTTGCATGGAGGGAGTGGGCCTGCTCTTCGCCAACAGCAAGGTATATTGTAGTAACGAGCAGATCATCAGTTTATTAATAGATTTAGATTTTTTTTGTATAGTGCGGATCTATAGTTTTTATGTACATTGGATGAAATTATTTCAAAACTACCGTACTTTAATTTAACTGTGTTTCTCAATTAATAACGGAGACAGTGATGCGAACCAAAAAGTAAATTGTTTGGAATTGGGGTTCATTTTATTTTTTTTTTAATACGAATTCTTCCAATGTAGATAAACCCGTTTCATGAATCTATAAACAATAATTAATTTCTACACGTTGAAGATCAAAATAGTAAAGTAGCTATATCACCTACCCAAAGTTTCCGACGTATTTTGATCTTCGATGTAAATATATTTTATGATTGTTCCATGTCGTTGGGTGCGCTGTTGTGCATTTGTTTTGCAAGGACCACTCAAACTTTCCTATTTGCTCTCGCCACTCGCTCGGTTGCCATACTTGTTCTGCATTCCGTACTATTTTTCAATATTCTCTTCAGAATAGAACGTAGGTTTGTCATATAAACAGTCTACAGGCTCGTGTCATGGATATTTGTCCTCTTAAGGTAGTAATTTGGTTTGTACTAATGTTTTTTTTTCGTTCGTTCCTCAGTCTCATCACTTTTTATTCATTGTTCCATACCACAGGGCGATTCCATGGCTAAAAATTAATTGGACGCATATCACAATAGAGAATTTATACATTTTTATTAATTGTCACGTAACCACAATTTTTTTGTTACTAATTTCGGCAAAATTTGATAAGACGTTGCATTACTTACTACTACTTTAGAGTTGCCCAATTAGTCTTTGGATTGAAATGTTTTTCTCCTAAAAAAAATGATGTTATTTAGGCAAAATATTTATTGAGTCAAAAATTGTTCAATAAATTGGTTACAAGAAGTTGTTACAATTAGCAATTTTTGAGATACTGTTACAATAATGTTACTCGTTACAATAAATTAGCCCATTTATTGGCTAAATTTAAACCTGCCAACTTTTGGTATTGTGTAACTAATACAGGGTGTTTCAGAAATACCTCCCGTAAATACAGGGGGTGATAGTAGGACAAAAAATAAGAATTTTTTGTCTTTTTAACTAGATGTCTATCTCCTCTTGTTTTCGAGATATAGAGCGACAAAATAAAATTTTTTAAATAGAATTTTTACGAAAATTTTCAAACGGTGCGAAATATTTTGATGAAATTTGGTATTCCGGGGTTTTTAAGGATGTCAAATCACTGGTCTAATTATTTTTTGTATATTTCATAGACGACGCTAGTTATGCTACATTCCTATAACGTTTTAAGTTCTAATTTTTTTTAAGGTTAGGTTTTTTATCATTCGGGCTCCAATTTCTAATGTACAATTTTATTTTTTTAAATGTAATGTACCCTTATTAGAACTTCCTAATGTGGACGGTTTTCGAGAAAAAAGGCTTTTAATTGAACTCTTACAATATTACGGTTAAGAAAATAAGTGACTTTTCTCAAAGTAGGCTATGTCAAAACTTATTGATGGATGTCTCATAAACAACGCATACATTCTCAATAATATTTTAAACTCTAATTAACTTTATATCAAAATTTTAGTGATTGTTAGTGACTGTAGTTACTAATGACTAATGTCACTAAAATTTTGATATAAGTTAATTAGAGTTTAAAATATTACTGAGAATATATGCGTTGTTTATGAGACATCCATCAGTAAGTTTTGACATAAGCCTACTTTGAGAAAAGTCACTTATTTTGTACATCGTAATATTGTAAGACTTTTATTAAGTGTTTTTTCTCAAAAAACATTCACATTAGGAAGTTCTAACAAGAGTACATTATTTTTGGAAAATATAATTGTACATTAGAAATTGGAGTCCGAATGGTAAAAAAAAACCTAACCTTAAAAAAATTAGAACTTAAAATGTAATAGGAATGTAGCATAATTAACGCCCTCTATGAAATATCCAAAAAATAATTAGACTAGCATATTTGGCATCCTTAAAAACCCTGGAATACCAAATTTCATCAAAATATTTTGCACCGTTTGGAAATTTTCATAAAAATTCTATCCAAAAAATTTTATTTTGTCATTTTTGTATCTCGAAAACAAGAGGAGATAGACATATAGTTAATAGGATAAAAAATTATTATTTTTTGTCGTACTATCACCCCCTGTATTTACGGGAGGTCTTTCTGAAACACCCTGTATAATGGCAAGAACAAAGAAAATGTAACTAATGTAATATAAAAAAATATCACTAAAAATCCCTAAAATTGACCAACAAATTAGAACTAAATTTTCTGCATTAAGCGTACCAATATAACTTGACCAATTTTTTGAATAATGTGTAAAATTGTTAAATGAAAATCAGGTTTTAGAAACTGCAAACTGTAATTGGGTAATATTGTTTTACTCGATAAAGGAACGCGATTACTTTTTGACGAGTTAGAGACGTTTTTAAGAAATCGTGGTCATATTTCTTCCCCGTCTTTGGTGTTTGTTTATGGATACAGTTGTTTTAAAGGTTATATTTAACGCCTTTTGGAATGCTAAAGTGGATGACCCCGATATTACATTATTAAATGCATGCTGCTCGATGTGCAAAATATATTAGCTGGACTGATTATTTTTTATTACACTTTGTTGAATGTTGGATGTTCTTTTTTCAATATTTTTCTACTTTTACAACTGTTATATCGATGTTCAAACTGAGTGGTCATGTTTGTCATTTTAAGATAAAATTCGTAACTGAAGGGAGGAGCTGTCTTGACCCGGTGAAAGACACAGCGCCGGTACAGCGTCAATGACTCAAGGCAGCTCCTCGTGAATTGCTTAATAGGAACTTTTGAGATGGTCCTTTTTTGTCAGAACTATACTAATTGTTTGTTATTATTTTTTCTTTATATGTCCACGTCGAAACGTTGCTGCTTGCAGGATTTTGAGGTATCTACAAAATTGGTCTATAATTAATTCTTGATCGTTAGTTTTAGTGAATAGTCTTTGTTTAGTTTAGAAGCTTTTCCTGTAGATTTCAGCTAATGCATCCCAAAAATGCGTTGATTCCGAATTTTTAAGATAACCGAATTCTGCCGCACAGTGAAATACGAAGCAAAGCGTTGTTTACCGCTTTTATTTATTACTGTGCCGAATTACAGTCTTAAATAAAAGCTTAGTCATCGAGAGCAACGTTTGTGGTAACATTAATGTTATGTAAACGTTGTGTTTTTTTTTTGTTGTGTTGACGCATTTTAACCTCTTTCCTCTCCTAAAGAACTGAATAATAAATAAAAAATAAATATCAAAGTTTTGAGCCACGGCTACGTACTCGAGTCCCCCAAGTTTAGTGTTGTGCATATAACTGTAGCTGAAGTAGCTGCTTATTTTGCGGGGTCAAGACCGCATGGCAACTGATACACATTTATTGCACTAGTTTTTGTAACACTTTTCCGACACACTGAGACACCCCACACACACGTTTATCAGTTTTTTAACAGTGTAGGTCCATCTTTACATTGTCAAACCATCTCTAAAGTTGCCTAGGGCTCTGGCATGGTGCTATAGCGCATGTAATCTATTGCTTTTGGCTTTCCTACCTTTACCGAAATCTCATATTTGGCATACCTCGGTTCTCAGAAACTCCGATTGACGTAAAATAAAATTCAAGCTAAGATTTTGCAATATCGAAATATATTTGACTTTTCGTCTAAAAAATTGTTAAATATGAGATTTTGTTTGTTAATTTTTAAAATTTTGTAAAAAATTCTGTAACTTTAAATTGTTTTTAGTTTTTCGTGAGGATCGTTCACATTAGGAAGTGCTTTACTCAGAAGGGAAACATTTTTGTTATCGAAGAGTTCAGTAAGTATATTTTAAAAATATTTGTGATTTTTCTTTTAATTGCGCTGTATATAAAATATCAACAAATTATTTTTCGAAAATTGTCATCAAAAATCGACATTTTCGGTAGACAAAGTGAGTCTTTTTCGTTCTAAAACATACAACAAATGTCAAAATAATTTGTCATTTTTTCGAAACTTATGATTTTATTAACTAAACAATATACGTAATAATATAACAGTAATATAACATTTCAATACAAAACAGAACGATTACAATTTATTTATTTATATTGCACTACGTGTAAATTGAAAGTGCCGATACTAGAACGCCGCTATCCCCCATGTTGTTTAATGGCAGTAATATTACCTTTTCTAGCAGAAATCTATAATCAGGTGCTTCTTGTAAAAATCTCAAATTTTCTCTTTCGTTAGAATTCTGAACTTATTTCGAGGATATCCAACTGATTTTCAAATATGGTATTAGTGTTTGAAATTTTCTGATATTTAAATTTTTTTTTGGCATTCAGTGTACTTTTTAACGTGGAATATACTGACCCTAACGTTGAAAGTTTAATTTTATGTTTGCAATATGCCCGTACTACCGCTTTTTGAATTTTTTTCGAACTACACCACCTTTTGAATTCGTTGTAGGCAATCTTGTACTATCTCGAAGATTTTTTGGGGATTAATTGTGAGACAGCACTTTGTGCAGCTTCCAATACTTCCTCTGGTAAATGCCCGTCTTCACTTTCCGAGCTCATTTTGAACTAAACACTCTTAGAAAATGTATATATGTTAAGTATACATATAATTCTGACGCTACTTTTTCAAACAACTAATTTTTAGTCTTTATTAGGTTGTTGATAGTCATGATAGTCACTGCGCCTAAACCGTCTTGATTCAAACACGGTTTTTCACACAGTTTTCAAAAAAAATATTGTTTTGTTTTTTTCTTGAATGTGAAAAGCTTTTACGTTCTCGAATGGATATTTTGCCTTGCTAAGCTCGACAAAATAACTTCCATTTTTGAACGCAAAAGCATTTAGCGTTCCAGATACAAAATTAAGGATTAAAATATATTTTATCATTTTAGATCCCAAAACTAGGCACGTTATCCAGAGAAAGTATAAATCGCCCATGGTAAGTTGCACATCTGGCTATTTAGTAGTTTAAAGCATTTTAGTAGAATTTTTAGTAGAGAAAATAAATTGTTGTGATATATATAAAAAAAAAAAATATCTCGAAGATTTACTAAAAAGAATTTTTTAAATTATAAAAAAATTTGTTTTTCGTAATATGCTTTCCCATTTTGATAATTTGTTAGTTTTTACTTTTGCATGTATTTTGTGTGAAATGTTATAGGCTAGCCAGATGTTACATAATTTCCACAGGATTTTTTCAATTTGCATGGCACAGAAAATTAATGAGTTGCACTCCAAATCGAATGCATGACATTACGTATGTAAAGTAAGAGTTTTTGTTTATTATTTACCTTACTTAATTCATAGAAATTTTTAAAACTAATATATAGGGTGAACAATTTAGGAATCAACTAAAATTAAAGCAAAAGATTTCGTTTCATGTCCCTTTTTTGCATCACCCTGTATATTATATCTTCCAGCTAACTATTATGGGAATACCATGTATGGATATTTTTACTTAGTAGTTTTTAAAAGTCCTCATATTTGGTTATAAAAATGGAATCCTTGTTTTTATAACTTAAATTATTAAAATTCAGCGTTGAGTGAATTTGCGTTGCAAAAAAAAAATAAAAAATAAATAAAAGAGAAGTAAATTAATGTTTCTCTCGATGAAAATTTAGTTATCAGTAAATTTAAGCGATTTTAAATATTTTACTTTGTATTTCTCCTAAATTAAAACGACCAGATCATATAAAAACTGCTACTAGAGCTATAATGTAGCATTTCTTTGTTGATTAATTTCTACTACACAGGTGTTACAAAAGGATTAATCACAGATTCTTTGGGCGAAAATAATGGGATTTATGCAATATCTTATTCTCATCGTGATAAACAATTTAGCTATTTCGATGTTTAACTACAAACATGTTTTGAGTGTTAAAATGTTTATTTTCCCTAGTGCTACAAATTAGTAGGTCGCTCTGTGCCAGTAGGTACAAAGTATTTTTTTTTAAATTTAATTTAATTTTATCTTGAAAAAGAGCCTCTAAATGAAAAATGGTATAAGGAAAGTCCAATTATTTTCGATCAAAGAATGTGTGGTTATCGGTTTCGTAATACCCTGTACACAACAGCGAATATTATCATTTATTATTATTACTTCCAGGCTGACCAAATCTGCTACTCCGTGCTCTGCGTCTTCTCCTACGTGGCCGCTGGCGTAGACAAAAACACCCAGAAGCGGAAACAGTCGGCTTTGTCGCAACTGCCCGGCGCTTCGTGCCTCAAACCAGCCACATCACCTCAGGAACGTCCCGTTCCACCGAGTCCAAATCCTTGCGTCATTCCGCCTCCCGTAAGTCCCGACCCCGGGTCGATAACACCCATGGGAGGGCCCCCTAAGTATCCCCCTCCGGCCCTGCCGCCCGGAGTTGCACCCCCTGCCCCCCCGCCCGGTATAAAAACTATACCAGCCCAATTGTCTACCACGATCCCCCCCCACATCACCCCCCCGCCTATACCGAGCAGGACTATCCCGCCCAGGCAGATTTCGATATCGCAACCGCCTCAGCCCCCTCCCAGGCCGAAGTGACGCCATAAAAGGTATTCTCTGCCTTTTATTTACGGTAGTCAGTGCAGAGGTCCGTCTTGTCTTCCTTGGGTTTAGGCGTTAACTTTAGGAGTGGATAGATTTATAGAAATGTCGTTATTGTCGCTGATACTGACAGCAGTCTTCAGTTGTTAAAATTCGATCCAAGTAATCGGTCATCATTAGCTCTTCGAAAGTTTTTCGGTTTTCGTGTTGGCATTACCTCTTTTAAATTTGAAACATCTGGGATATCGCTTTACTTTAATATTCACTCAAGGGGGCCGTTTTTACGGCCGACAGATGTTTTTTTTTTAACAAAGGTACCATGAGAATAAAAGTTCAATATTCTTTTTTACTAGTGGTTGCGGAAATGAGCGTACAGGTTTGTTGTGATAAATATACAGGGTGTCTCAATTTATATGTGTACAGACAGTTAATATAATAAGTAAAAAACAATTGAAGTCTTTTGGTGATACATTCTGTATTTACTAACCTTACTTTTTTGATATTTTATATACTGAATCTACCATCTGACCCGGGTCGTAGGTGAGACAGACCTGATTTTTGCTGATTCTTTTTACTTCTTTCTACGTACTTTATTTATTGAATCTTTTCATGAAAACTTGTATGTTGAATTACCAGAAAATTGACATCTAGAAAAGCGTAGTTGGCTTAGGATTTGCAATTCTATGGAAGTTGTATTTTTCAAATATTTACATTTTTAGAGTCTACGATCTTTGGATTTCATTTGTTTTTTATGTATTATATTAAAAGCCAGTACACCTAGAAATCAAGACACCCTTTGCATACAATGCAGTCTATTAAAAACCAAGACACCCCTCTAAAATTTTAGGTTCGTGCCTAAAATTGTGAAGCAAACTCTACTAAATAGAATTAGTAGTCAGTAATTGGTGGGTAAAATATTCATCTTGAGATATTTCCAAAGCCTCTTAGGTTTTTAAATTGGAACTTCACAAATTTAATATTTTAAATACTTAAGAGGGCTCTATAGCAAATAGCCAACCAGCAATACATTTTTTTAAATTTTACCACACAGTTTGTCTAAATATGAATTCATACACAAATAACATACTTTCCCCCATTTTTACGCAGATTTTCTATAAAATGGACTTAGTTTGAAGCTCAAATAACTTTTTGGTGTCACGAAATATGTAATTTACGATGCCGCTTGTTCAAAATCGGCAAATTACAAGTTTCTTTACAACAAAAAGTAATTTGAGTTTCAAGCTAATACCATTATATGGAAAATCTGCGTTAAAATCGGGGAAAGTCTGTTATTTGTGCATTAATTCATATTTAGACAAACTGTGTAATAAAATCCATAAAAATGTATTGTTGGTTGCCTATTTGCTACAGAGTCCTCTTAAGTATTAAAAAAATTCATCACTTTTAAAAATGTTTTATAATTTTTTGTAACGCTAATTACCAGATTTTTGTGTCCTGGTTCTTAATGGACCACCTGTATATAACAATTTTTTATTTCACCATTTAAAAAAAATATAAAAACAATCGGGTTAACAATAATTCAAACTCAAATAATCTGCAAAATTTCTTTTTATCTAGAACCACTAGAATTTGAAAAGGTTGTATTTGTCACGTCGAGATATTTTTTTTTATTATAAAAATACTCTATTTTTATTCGTCAGATATAATTCTATCCTGCACAAAAGTTTTATATATCTATTATTTGTTGATGCTTACGTAACTGATGTACGTATACAGGGTGCAACTTTTAAGTGGGGGTCACTTTTTTAAGGGTAATAGTACATGCGAATCTGAAATTCTTTTTTTTTTTAATCAAATAAATCGTCAAGTTATAATTAGCTCTTTAAAATGCACTTTAATACATGTGTACGCCACCACTGTAATCATGTATTACAAACGCGTGAATTGTAGGCAATCTCCAATGCATGTGAAGGGAGATAGTGCTGGTAAACGGTGACGAAGCGAAGGGCATCAGTTGTTGTTCTGCTTTTGGAGACGGTACATATAACTGTGAATTTGAATGTTTTTCATTGTTGGAAGCGATAAAAAAAAACGTTAAAGTTTTTACGACGGAATTTGAAAAAATAAACTATTGATGCGTGTTTCTCAAGGTCAAAGGAAGCCTCCTGTATAAATATGACCCCCACTTAAAGACACACCCTGTATTAATGTTTATTTGGATTAATTTATATTCATTCCAAAAAAAAAAACAAAAAACAATGTAAACGATATTAGTTGCTAAAAAAGGTAAGTTGTAGCTCTGGACAAATCTAATTATTTATACAGAATATTTCTACAAGTGATTTTCATTTTATTATCGTGCCATTTTTTCGTCAGGATTTTTACCGCTTTGGGGTTTTGTACAGACGGTTGGTATAGAAATGTTGAATGACCTTCATTATTTTTGTACTCATGAAAATTGCAATCACAAACGCCATATCGTCGTATTATGTTGTACATCAGATATTAAAGATTATATTTAGCTAAATTAATTTAGAGTCGATGTAAAATGCAATAATATCTGTATACCTATTCAAAATGTTAAAAAAATTCAGTAGGTAGATATTCATTTAAATGGCAGGCATGTAAATATTGAAGTGTAGTTACATGTAAAAATTAAACCTTAATAAATATTGTGCCTCTATTTTAGTCCACTTTGTGTAATATTATTGTAAATATTTATGTTACCACTTTGTAAAAACTATACATTTTTTAGTAAGCAATATTAGTTATTTATTGTTAATTTATTTAGAAGCTTATATGTATTTAAACTATTTTACATGTTACAATAAAATATTTGAAAATTCTAATTTGTATTTTATGCGGTATCACCCTTTTTCTGCCCGAAAAAAGATACAATTTTCATTAACGAAAAAGAGGTAAGTGAACATTGAGTGTTTCAAAAGTAAGTTATAGTTTTGAATGATCGCCAATATCGACTTTATAAAGTGACATCTATTATTTTAAAATCAAACTCGTAGGATGGAAATACCTAACCTCGCAGTGTTTTCTATTTATTTCCAGTTTTGTACTCGGTGCGCACTGAGACTATTTCCATCCTTTATTATCTGATTTGGTAGTAGAGAATGAACATATTGTCAGTGCTCACTGAGTGCAAAAGTGAAAATGAATTTCGCTGACGTCAGAGTGCACTGAATGTCAAATTGCAAATAAGTCAAAAGTTTTTTTTAATGTTGGTTCAGATTATTTATTGTAGAATAGGGTTGTTGACCAAATTTCAAAAAGTAGATAATATAATTCTACACGTACTAATTAGTGTGTATGCACAATTAGAGATTGAGAAATGCGTTGGAACAGTTTTAAAATAATTATTTAAAACTGATTTTTTAATAATATTTCAAAACGGCTGTGACGTCATAATGGGTACCTTGTAGTGAAATTATGTGTATATGATTGCGTAAAGGAAAAAATTGGAGGAAGAAGATGCTCTGTCAACACTGTCAGTAGTGTCAGTCTGTCAGTGACATTGTTGCATAAAATATTTTCAAGTCTACAAGTTATTTTCCTTAATCTTCAAATTCCTTTATTAAGTAAAATTATTATTTAGTAATAATCATTTAATATATTCCTTCCCTTAGAATTAAAGCAGAATGTGTGAAACAGAATTTGTGAAAGCTACTTCGCAAATTTTACCGAAAATTGATATTTTTATGATCATGAATTGAATTTTTAAAAAGAGACGACCGTTTTAATATTGGCGAAATCAGAGCTATAAAAGCATTCAGGTAAGAATTAACATATTTAATGAATGATTTTATTGTGTTTATTTATAATATAAATAATAAATATAAATACCTATTTATTTAAGGAAAATTATAGTGCAGTTCGGGAGTCTTATGGAGATAATGCATAATGGCTATGTGGAATGTGAAATGTGGAACAAAACACCACTTAAATTTTGTTGAATCCATTACAATCAGGAAATTAATAATAACTATCACAAATACTCTTAATTGATAGACTGCTGTCACTAGTGTCACTACTGTCACTTTTGTTTAAAAAACAGGAAACAGGGTAACAGGGTTTGATGGACAATTTTGATATATTTTCTTCTTCTTCAAAATTATGCAATAGGATCGCTACTAGCTTCTTGTTCAATTGCCCCTTATGACGTCAGTCTAGTTTTTAAGTAACACAAAAATTCATAAATGATTTCTACCACTAATTTGTCATATATTTAAAATTTAACTATACAGGCAGGTTCTTTTATATAAAATCTTTGTATCAACAACAATTTGTATATGGTTTGTTTTTATAGTCAACAACCCTATTCGTGGTCCCAGACTTCGTTTTTTTAAAACGACTGCGCCTCCAAATTTTACGACCCGGCGTTATTGAGTAACACCACCACTCTCTAGCTCTACCAACCCAAGGACGGTAAAGATGTTTCCGATCTTGCTACCAGCACCAGCGAGCATATCGGTTTGTGGCTCTACTATTGTCATAGAGGGTAGAAGAGATAGATGTAAAAAAGTCTACAATTATTTATCTGCGCACAAACTGCCTTTTTCCGCGTATGGCGACATGCCTGGTATAATAATAATAATAATATAATAATAATTATTTTAAAATAGACGAAACTGCACAACTGAGTTGTTCAAAAAATATAATAGTAGATAGTGGGGGCGAGATATTTGACAGCTTACGAAGCAGTATGTTTTCTATCTGATCTTCTTAAATCTATGGTTATTTTAAACAATTGCCGATAACAATTTTTTGCACATCTCCAAAGCTGTTCTTTTACCGGCGTTGGTTTGTTTTTATAAGTTTAATTGCATTTTGTGTTCGTGAATTCGTTGTTAATATATTTAATTCTTTTTAATGAGGTAAGTCTTTACTGATTTGTATTATATATCATATATACCATAACATAAAAGATTGTATTAATATTGAGTGACTGAAAAACATGCTGAAGTGTAATATTTTGAAATATTCACATTCCCCGAGTTCTGTACTGCTCACTTCTTGCAATTCCAACGTTGTTGTAAATCATATTTAAATGGCGGCGTAAATTTAAAACAAAATTCGAGGCTTCTGAGATTTTTTTTTAAGTACAAAGCGAATATGTAAATTCGGATGCAAATTCAGTACGCTCTTAGGTATTAGTATGCAAAGCCTTACTGCCTTTTAGACCAGAGTGTTTAGATGTAGCGATAACTGTCATTCTCTTCTCGAGGTGACAAAAATGAACATTTGCCTACAAATGACGTGCCGTAACAGTTTCGGAAGAAAATTTTAAACGTAATGGAGTAGTAATATAATAACGGGGCATGGTAATTAGTTGGGGTCCATTAACAAGTCGTTTTAAATTCGGGGACCATCTCAAATGAGGACGTTCTATTACTAGATAGACGTTAACATTTTTATTCGCAGGATTACAACAATGTAATCATTTGAAACTCGTACTCGATTGTTACGGATGCAGATGCTGCTTATTTATGGAAGTTAATTTCTAGACAAGTGTATAAAAATACTCAATGCTTTACAGCATAGACGTAGGTACACAAGGGGAGTCCTTTATCCCTCGATTTTTACTCTTTGTCGTTACTTGCTGTACTCCAATACCAAAATTACAATTTCTCTATTTTGTTTCATTTCGAATCTGGAGCAATGACTGCGTCTTACCATCATGAAATGGTTGAGGGGAAATAAGTATATTAAGGCCATTGAACGAGTATACAAGTTATTGTATTATAAATTGTATGTTTTCCCAGCTGTTATTTGATTTTAAATTGACTCCGTTGTGTTTTCATTGTTAACAATATTGAATGACAGTTGATTCCATGAAATCTACCTCTAATGTTTATGGCTCGTTAAAATAGAATTCCAGCCTTTGGGAGTTGAATTTTTATTGCCAATTGCCTGATTTAACGGTAGCTATTGCTATTGCGGATGCGAATATGTCCAGATAGCTGTTTTCCTGATACAGTTGAGATTCCAACTAGAGACAATAAATTTTATAGCCTGTACTAGAATATATTAGAAAAAACTAAATTGAAATAAATTTTAAAACTGA